ACTAAGGGCACCGCACACCGGCCCTGGAAGGGGGAGGGGGGGAGGGGGTCTGGTTTGCCCCCCCCCCCCCCCACCCAAAAACAAGTTGCTACGCCACTGTGGCTAGGACTCGTCGATATCTGTCTCGTTCGTGCATGTTTCGTCATTATTTTAGTATTATATACTCTCCCAACTTGATCACTCGACTGTGAACGAATTCTATTTTTACGGGAACTTGGCGTGTGCATAACTATTTTTTATAAATATTATTTACAACTTTTTTTTTTCTTACACGGAACGATCACTACGCTCTCGTAGGCTTTCCTTTTTACCGGTGTGGAAAAATTTCTTCGGAAAAGGGTCTGGTGGCGTAGCTACAAACCACGGAGGGGCCGCCCACCCGACCAAGCGCCATCGGAAGGGTCCGAGCCCGCTGCACTTGTCGTCTGCACTACGTGCACTGCCGGCGTAAGCCCGACGATCCGACACCTCCTCTGGGATTGTGCCGGCTTGCGAGACAAAAGAGCCGAACACCTGGGGCCTCACATCGACACTTTAGAGGCCTGTATCACACCGGTTCACGAGGCACGGGCCAGGGAGACGCTACTCTCCCTATGGGAGTTCGCGCGCTCGACAGGAGTTCACCGCCGAATGTAAACTTTTCCTAACTATGTTCCCCTTCCCCGAACGAGGCCATGGCGCCACCCTATTAAAAATAGAGTTAATCATCATCATCATCCTCAAGCAACGAGACCGCACTCCACCCCCGTCTGCATGATGAGCCCGCTGACACGATGAAGAGCGTCGCAAGTCCGACGGGTAAATTATGGCCGTCGTCGGCACGACCTTGTTATCTCTGCGCGATCGGCCGGAATAAGGAGGCACCCAATGGCCATCGAAGGAGCCGCGCGTGACAGACGCGACGCGGAGCCACTGTATATGGAGATACACATCCTCGCAGAGTTTACTGAGGTCGACTTTTAGGAAATCCCGTTTAGAATTGATATTTTGGGGCGTTCATAGCCTACTGAACAGTCATTAGCTCTCTTCTCTCCCAACAATAGAAATCGCAGAAGAAAAAAATAAGGAAAACGAGCAGTATTCAGATTGTGTACAGTTTTGTAGGCATCTAAGTTCAAACTTCTGCTTCGGGTCTTACCGCGAAACCAAAACTGCCGGGCTCGAAGGGACGGCAACACTGGTATCATGTGCCGTGTGACGTCAGGTTCGTACCGCGGAACACTCGGTGTACTCAGTTGCACAGTCGGAGCTAAGAAAATCACACATCATTTGTCGGACTCTTTACCGGGATTCAAATATGCGATAGTTTTTCCTTCCTCAAAGCACTGAACAAAATTATGCGTCCACGACCACATCAACTCACAGAAGAAAAAAAGAAAAATAATCAAGTACCAAATATGTCGTTCTTCTGATTTCTAGACCCTATTAGGAATAATGTGACTTAGATCTTTGAATACATTTAAATATCCAAATGTTTGTCCACCAGAAATTTTTGTTATTGTTATCTTACGTATTGCCATACTTTCTGTATGTATCAAAACATCCCTGAAAATATTAACTTTTGCTGCAACGTCGTTTTTATATTCTTAAACTTAGAAGGGGCATTTTAGTTTTTTTCTGTGTTTTGAAATAACGAGTGAAAGAACAGGACAAGAAAAATATACGAGCAATAACGACCATTTCAACTCAGGTTGATAATCGCTGTAGGAGGACCATATAACGGCCATGAGCGCTCCTATCAGACATAAATAACGGGAACGAATGATTATCGAAGCTGGCGGAAGAAGTATTCAGCAGCACGTAATAAAACATGCAACGTTTTTTTTTTTTTTTTTTTTTTTTTTGTGTGTGTGTGTGTGTGTGTGTGTGTGTGTGTGTGTGTGTGTGTGTGTGTGTGTGTGTGTGTTTTGTGATTTTCTTATTTGTTATTACATTACTCTGAGCAAAACCCTAGAAGGTTGTGACTTGTAGCTAAAATTCATGGGAAAATAGTGTATTTTTTAATGGCACCGACCTTTACCTTCCAAAACCTACCAATGCATGAAATGCAATATAAGAAGTCTCGCCTGACGTATATTTTCCCTTTAAATTTAGCGGGAAACTGAATGGTTGCATAGGTAACGTCAGGTCACGTGACGTCAATTTCTTCCGCTAAGTTTAGCGGGAAAACGGGATTCATGTTTAGGTTACAGGACGTGAATTTTACCGCTAAATCTGGTGGTCAACTGAATCGGTGCATAGGTCACGTGACATCAGTTTCGTGCTAAATTTAACGGTGAAACTGAATTGATGTTTTGGCCACAAGACGTGAATTTTTCCGCTAAATTTAGCGGGAAAACTGAGTTGACGAATAGGTCACGTGCCGTCAACTTCCCTAAGGTGCATAGATCACGTGACGAAACTTTCCCGTCAAATCTAGTGGGGAACGCGAATTGAGGTATAGGTCATATGACGTCATTTTTTCCGCTAAATTTAGCGGGGAAACTGAATTCGTGTATGGGCCACGTGACATCGATTTCCCCGCTAAATTTAGCGGGAAATGCAAGGACGGACAGACGGACGGACGGAATGGCAAAATTTTGGAATTTGGATGTAGCGTTAAAAAGCACTTCATGCTTTAAAAGAAAGAGAGCTTCACCATGTGTGCTCTGGGGGACTCAGTCCAGGGCCCAGGGGTGGGCGACCTCGGCGGTCGCCCAGGGCGCCATCAATAGGAAGTTTTTGTAGATCGTTTGCTCCGTTCCGCAAAGCTCCCCTCAACCCGCTACGATATCCGGAGCTCTACAGTCAAGGTCATCGGCGCGCAGGCGCAGTAGTGGCTTCTTCGTTGCGGAGGGCTTAGCGGAAGGGGGAACGCGGTCTACGTAAACTCCCTGATAGGGGGGCGCCGTTTTACTTTTTTTTTATCAGGGAATCTTCATAGACCTTTTTGTTACATCGCGTCGGTGAGCAGACCACTGGTCGAATCGGCCGTCCTTACAGGTTTTTCAAGCACAACACATTTTAGTCGTTCCAAAGCTGATGGAAGTTTTCTTCCAGTGGCGTAGACTTTCCATTTTCCCGGGGCGGGAGGGAGGGGGGGGGGGGGGGGGGTGGAGGGGGTACTTTTCTGCGCAATTTTTCTTTACACCGGCAATAATCAGTAGTCTATTTTAGGGGGTCCATTGTACACGTATGTACAGGTGTCACAAAAGAAAATTTACACGGTCTTTTTTACCGCAAAAATAAACTAGGCATCGCCGAACGCTCATTTTCCGCCCAAAGTAGAGCTAAAGGTCACAACCAGATGCCAAAGTTTCAGCCCGATCTGATGACTTAATCAAAAGTTATAAGTTATTTTCTGAAAATTTCAATGGGAAAATGGCGGCCGACGGAGTTTTCGAACACATGGGGCTCTATGGCACCAGAAACCGAAAACGGGCAAAAATGGGCTCCATTTTCCCATTGAAATTTTCAGATAATGACTTATAACTTTTGATTAAGTTATCGGATCGGGCTGAAACTTTGGCATCTGGTTGTGACCTCTAGCTCTGCCTTTGGGCGGAGAATGAGCGTTCGGCGATGCCTAGTTTATTTTTGCGGTAAAAAATACCGTGTAAATTTTCTTTTGTGACACCCTGTACATCGCCATGTGTCCGTCGCTGTGTGCGTTATTTTGTTTACATGCCACTACTAGAAACTCGTTACATGGCACGTAAACAGCGCGTCTCGGTAAGGATCATGGCCCCGGAGGGGGAGGGCTCTGCCCCCCCCCCCCCCCCGGATCTTATAAGGGGGGGGGGGGGGGGGGGCACGAGCCCCGATGCTCCCCCGTAGTCTACGCCTATGTTTCCCTCCATACATCAACCAATCTGGCGATTTGCCGTGGCGAGGTGGATGGTGGTATGTTGCTTAAACAAATACCTTGCCAGCGCATTCCGTAGTGTGCGCTGTCAAGTTCGCATCTTGGAATGTGAACCGCATTCCAAAAACAAACGGCGATCGAGCATGTAGGGGGCGGACCCAACACGAGAATTTTGTCAGACGAGAACCTCGTCTGACAAAATTCTCGTGTTGGGCCACTATACTTTTACTTACAACGCGATATTCTACGTGTATGTAGATATCAGGAAAAAAAAGGGGGGGGGGGGGGGGGGCGCCATGGCAGGAGCTCGCGAAGGGCGCTTCATGGTGTGAGGCCGGCCCCAGCTGGCTGTACTCATTTAGTAATCGTTTCATAGATATCCGCATATATTTCTTTTTTCAGGAGCGACATTCGCGACTTGTGTTTTTATGGCTAACCGTAATAATGTCCTACCCTAGGCGTTTCATAGAGAGAGAAAAAAATGAACGGTGCAGCTTTTCTTGAAAGATTGAATATTGAGCAGTTTAGCCCAAAATGTGTTTTAATTGTTGTTGTTGTTTTGACGAAAGGGATATTGCTTACCTGAATTGAGTCTCCATCTCCGTCGCTCAGGGAAAATCTTGATACTTTGGTCTCGTGGTCTACGCTGCTATCATTGGACGGTGCACTGTAGCAGACGAAGATACTTCTTCGGGACGGAAAACCAGGGTCTAAAGCGAAACTGAGCAGGCCGCGCTCATCCGCTGGTTCATTGCTGGTTAAAACTCGGTCCGTAATATTTAAAACTACCCTGCGGTGGTTTGCATTTGGTTGCGCAAGCGACAGAGTCAAGATGATTCCCCGATGCTCTCCGACGAGAACATGGGTATCACTTCTCGGTACAGGAAGTACGGTAATGGGGTGTCTTAGTCTTGAAACTATTCTTCTTAAAGCGTAGCAGTGTTCTTGAACTGGTTGACATAACCCGCCTAAGGCGCCAAATGCAACGATAAAAATACGAAAACGCGATTTCGCGTCCATTTCGAACAAGCGGTTCCGAAGCTTTGGCGATAGAGGTTGGTTTCCCCGCACAACGCGTCGTCTGCTAGCACATTGAGCTTCCTGGAATCGAGAGTTCTCGCGCAGCCAATGGGAGCTGTGGAACGGTTAGCCAATCAGAGTGACCGGAGGCGCCATCGTTTTCGTTGCGAGTATTTTGAATTCTCAGACTACTTCGGGCGAGATTTGATTACTGCACCGTATCGTTTCAACATTACCGATTGATAGTAATTATCAAACAGCAAGTGAAAGTGTTAAATTTGGAGGTTAGCTGTGGCAGTGCAGCGATGGCGACGCATCCGAACACGGAAACTGGTAAGCTTTCACGACCTTTATTTTTACGTGGGAGCGAAACCGTGTGAGGGCTAATTCAAATGACAAAATAAACTCCATTCAACCATTAGTCCTACGTAAACACTTCCTGAATTGCACCTAGGCTGTGTTTAAGTACACTGTAAATAATCGTAACAGCGCGTGAGATGATATACCGCAATTGTATTGATGTTATGTGACTTGCAAACAGCTACGTCCCGCCAAAATGTCTTGAGCGGTCTTTAATGATGCCTTTACCTTGCCACTCTTATCGTACGGATTACCATTTTGATCTTTCAACTTATCGTTCAATTTCCTTTTTTTAATCGTAGGAAGTGCTCAACTGTCGGCGTGGGAGCGCCGACGGCAGTATGCCGAACAATTGTGAGTGTTCCGTTGGTTTTCGTTACTGTAATCAAAACAAATCGCACAAAACACCGGAGATGTTTTGATTGTTGCATTGTTTAGTCTGCAAGTGGAATCGGTTCAGTTGTACTGCGGGAATGTGCCCAAGTTCCCAGCTCGTTGATTTATGCCTGGCGAGCTTTCTTGGTCACAAGTGTTGTGTAACGTCATCATTAGCCAAATATTAAGCTTCCAACTTGAAGTATATTCATTCACCCACCTCGAGTTTCTTTTTCATACTTACTGAAACATTCATATTTGTGTTTAAACGCTTATCTAGGTTTATTTACTTAGTTTTTCTTCGTTTATAATTACTCATTTCTTTCCCGTCGTTCCAGACGCAACAAATTGCTACACTGGCCCCTTAGTTGAAAAGTTTGGAAACCCCTGTCGTAGAAGAACCCGTGCCCGCATAACATGCTGGGACCCACGATATAAAACGGGTCACTTTGCTAGTCGTGAACACAGTAAACAGGTAACCGGAGACAGGTTTGGAAAGTATGCAAACCTATCTGGTCTGTGTTTCATATAATGTCCCGCCGTCATCAGGTTGTTTATTATGGAATGAAGTGATACGCAGGCGAGGTCGTAAAAAAAAGAAAATTAATTTAAACCCTGGGATGAAGAGGGGAAAAAAACGCACAGCATAAAATAACGCTTGGACACGAACAAACATGCAAAAGCAACATGCCAGTGCATGTCCGGACTGTGCTTGCTGACCTGTACTAACTGGCAGTGAACCCAGATGCCTTAGAGACTTTATTGTGTTGTCAGCTCTTTTTTGCTTTTTTTTTTTTTTACTTTAGCCTGGGCTTTAAAATATGGTCACACGTTAGTAGTACAAGTATACCATACAATACCGGAGGAGCACCCACCCCACTTTCACTGTAAACTGGATTAATCAAGACATGGGCGCTTGTTCGATCAAATTGGGTGCTTAATATATAATTTGCAGTATTCCCAAATGTGGGACACATTAATTATGGCCACTTTTGCGGTATTTTATAGTAGTTAAATGGTGGTACACGGTGAACACAGGCACCTATACTCTCATCTGGATGTCACAGAAGCGTATATTGCCGTGTCCTTGCACTAAAAACAAATTTGTTACGACATGGATATCTGCCTTCCTCAATCATGCTTTCATCATCTCCCAATGAGACGACTCGGTGTTTATTCTGCACATTTTGTGGCATGGGAGGCTCCCTTAGTACATTGATTTCAACTCTGCATATCAATGTGTTGGCCAGCGCTATCATCATCGTTTGTGCACCGTTGGACCGGAGAGGGGGGGCATCCTTTGTTTGCAGATTGAATTGATGCAATGCTGGCAGTGCTACATAAGTCCAAAGACTGCCTGTTTTTCTGGGCATGACAATTGTCTACAAAGTTGTGAATAACTCAACGCAGATCGTCCTCACAGAATGCTGCAGTCAGAAATGCCTTGGTAACAAGTGATCGCCAGTGCTACGTTGCTATGTGCCACTCCACCATGCCGCTGCACCATGGCTACTACGTCAAAGGTTGTTGAATATCGGAATTCAACCGCAGTACAAGCTTATGGATGTCTTGTTACGGGCGGCTACAGTTCTTCCTGGAGGCAGATAAGGTCAAGAATGCTTCCAAGAAATGTGCCCGTTTACTCATGTAGTGCGGGAATGAGATGTAAGACAAAGTTTGCGCACTTGTGTAACCGAAACAGCCTATGCTCGGCGACAACTTTTCTTGGCAATACAGTCGAAGTTGACGAGAGCCCGCGCACAGCCTTATCCAGCGCTCAAAATTGGATAGGGAACACGTGCCTGTACCCTCTACTGCATTGCCAAGAAAAGTTGTCGCCAAGTATAGTCAAGTAACCTTTGACGATATCGTTCAACTGCGGAAGGCCCACTTCGACCCTCAGCTGTCTGAACTGTATTGCAGGGCGCGTTTCTAATGTCGCGATTGAAAGAGCGGGGAAACGGTCAGCGCCTTTGTTGCTACAGCATTGAAGAAGCTAGCAGTTGACGGCAGTTTCGAGCCGAGCACAGAACAAGCGTCGAACCCGACAGTGCTGCCCTTAGACATAATGCTGCGGGACCAGCACACGGACTCACCTACCTTGTTGTAGTAGATGCATACGAAAAGTGGGTTGAGGAACGTCATGTGTCGCAAGCAACGTCTGCAGCTGTCATCGATGTGCTACGAAGACTCTTTGTTACGTTCGTCATACCCCGAAAGGTGGTATTCAACAATGGAGCTGCGTTCGTCTCGAGGATCTCTACAGATCGAACGGAGTGCATACTGTAACAGCAGCAGCAGACCATCTGGCGACAAAGGGACAGACTGAACGCTATGTCGCAGAGCTCAAGAGGGCTCTCATCAACGATGCAGCTGGGAGCAGAGAGTGGCAAATTGCCCGTTTCCTATTCGACAACATTCCACTCTTCACAATACAACAAGAATGACACCTGCAAAGGCAATGTTCGGCCGAGAAGTGCCCAGTTTCCTTGATCTGCTGAAGCTTGAGACCAGTACTGAAGTCTGGGCACTTTTCAAAGGGAGAGAGTGTACTTGTCCGACAATTCCCGACGAAGCCAGACTGGATTCACGGCGAGAACTTGTGTCGTCTTGGTCCACATACCTGGCTCATAAAGTGTTTCAATGGCAAGATGACTCCATTTGGACCATATCGGGAAGACAACTCAAACGGCAGAGACAGCACCACAGCTGGCAGATCAAAGTGTGGCGGGTGACTTTTCTGGGTAGAAAGCAAGACTTCAGGGGAATGCAACCACCACCATTTCTCAGGAATCCGTTGGCCTTGGAACACAGACCGAGCCCACGACATACTCTCATGAACCGGTCCAGTCGTCCAGGACCTGACAGCTGTGACCTCCAGGGGCCCGATGTCCCCTAGCTTGCTATAAAGACTTCACCTAATGGGAAGGAACTGATGCGTCAGCCAGCACAATCATTGTTGTTTGTGCACCATTGACCCCCTTTCCCCCCCCCCCCCCCCCCCCCCCGTCGTTTGTTTGCAGACCAAACTGACAATATGTTGGTTATGCTGAATTAGGCCAAAGGCAACCTGCTTGTACACCACTGCTTTCTGTTTAATACAAAGTCCTTTGTAATCTGTTATTTCGCTTCCAGAAAAGAGCTTGAAAAAGCTGTTTAGCAATAGACTGACTTATTTAAGGCAATTTCATACTTGCTCCTTGTTTTGTTTTTTTAATTTCGTTTTCATTACATGTTGTTCCCGCAGACGAGAGAAGAACACTTCCGTCAGAGCCAGCTTTTCCACCCCACGCCAGCAGACTGCGGACCACAGCAGGTGCAGTAACGGTTTTCTGTCGAAATTTACAGCTTTTTTGACCTATTGGGGGGGAAAGCTATACAGTGCATTCAACCTATAACGATAATGAAAAAAAATCCGTAAATTCAATCGTCGTAACTGATCATCATTGTATCTGGACTAGAAACCAATCGTTTCTAGTCAAGGAATTTTAGAAACTGATCATTGTACGTGGTATTGTTATAAGTGGATTGCATTGTAGTCTTGCAGGTTAAGAGTAGCGGGACGAGCTACTCGCACAAAGCCCTCTGCTCTTTCCACTTTAGTGGAGAGAATGCTGTGGATGAGGCGAGGGGGAGGAGGAAACAACCAATTGCGGTGAGCGGAGTGCTTTCTGGGAGGAGCTTGTTTCGCTTTTCTTCACCTGCAAAAGACTGCAGCGAATACCAAAATGACCGTCGTTCGGATAATCGACGTTGAACAACCATACAAGATTAGGTCTCTGACGCATACTTAAATTTGTCAAATGGGAGTGATTTCTGAGCCTCACATTTGTTGTCTTTCTGCACCAGGTAGGTGTAAGAAAGCGTCTTTGCGCGAAGTCTGTCACAAACTGGGGGGCACGATTGTCGTACTGCGGTGCCACCATTGCTGAAAGTTGGAAAATTTTTCTAGCCATGTGTCCCTCATAATGGTGTCTCGCCATTTCTCGCCGATCTCATTCTCGTCTCTTCGCTCCATCAGTGCCACGGGTGCTCCGCCGTCAAAGAAACCTCGTCTCCAGCCGGCGGAGGCGGAATGCCGATCAGTCCGGTGCGTACAGTTTCTCTACTCCTGGCATGAATCCTTCATACTTTGGGTTTTCGGTTAGTCACCACTAAATGCAGTTAATATTTTCGCTCACTAAGCCACTAGGTGGTGTTTAAAGGAGCTGTGCAAAGATTTTAACGTTAAAAGAATTGGCATTTTCTGCTTTTAATATTGTTCACTATGTCACAAATGGCAGAAAACACACCTCCTTTCATCGAAATGTTGCGATTCGGCCGCGTAATAGCAAGGCAAAACTTAGAATATTTCCCGACCTGCGGCCATGAGAAACAAGCGGCGTGACGTCACTTGGGAGTTGTAAAAAGGGTAGCAAGTTGTGCAAATACCTGCTCGATAAAAGGTAACTTTTCTATAAATCGTGTTGTTCCAACATAAATATAAATGCGTCAAAACCCTGGTATCCTCGACAAAACTTTTATTATACAGAGTTTTAGTGGCGCCATCTATCCTAGGTCCACAAAACTGCAAATAGCCGCCAAAAGCCGGAGGGGGAGGGGGACAGCGCTCGCAAGTGAAGCGTCGTCTGCTCACAGCGATAGGCGGCAGGCGCGGAGAAGCAGGGTATCGGAACAAAACGAAAACCAAAAACGAAAAACGAAAAAAACGATATTTTTTTGGCGGAACGGAAACGTAATCGAAACGTTATTTATTATTTTGTTCCGGAGTGAAACCGAAAAATTTACTTATCGGTTTTCGGTTCAAGGGAAAATATCAGGTATTTCAGTAATTCGTTTCACGCAGCGAAGAGACTGCCGTTGGTTTGTACCATAATTAAAGAGAAGACAAGCAAGCCATCGCTCCCGCGTCTAAACTCCGGGCGAACAAGCATAGCAAAAACAGACAAAATATACAACGAGAAACAAAAAACATGACTCAAGGCGCCATTGCTTCCCACCAATGAGAGCGCGGTGGCGCGACGCCTCCACACGCTCGCAATGCACTCCTTGGCACTTGCGCCCTCTCCCTCCATGCTTTCTTCGGACGACACAGACAGACGACAGATCACGGCAAGCGCGGGAAGTTTTTGACCCGGCGTTGTAGAAATCCATCTTTTGTTTTTCTACGGATACGGCAGTCTGACACTTTGTTGCAAAAGTGCACTTCTTCATCCCTATGGGCCTTCAGGGCCTTCTTGGCGCTGAAATTTATTTTAATCGGACCAGAGGTCCTGCCTTTCACCGAGCACACTTGATGACGTGCTGCTTCTGAGATCATGCTCGGTGCCTTGATCATGATCTCATTCTCAAGGCTATGAACATGATCTCAGAAGCAATGTCGTTTCCGCGGATTCCTCTGGAGCGCCTGAATTATCTATTTTTGTGTAAAAATAAACGTTACGTTCCTTTTAATTTTTGTTGGGATTTTATTTATTTTTTTTTTTTTATAGAAAGAAACCGTTACGAACCGTTACGGAGCATTATTTTTTCGTTCCGGAGCGGAAACGGAACGGAAATTTTTCGTATGGAACGAAAATGAAAACGGAACGAAAAACATTTCGTTCCAACACCCTGCGGAGAAGAGCAGTTGATTGCAGGACGACTCAATCTTTGATGTCACTGCACCGGCGCAGATCGCGCAGGAATTTCAAATTCGGCCTTTGGGAGATTGTGTATTTACTTCACAAACAGTACTGAGTTACCAAGTTTTAAATTTTGAGGGTAATGTCCAGGCATCATCTTGAATTGTTTTGGATGGTAAAAAAAAAAAAAAAATATATGATTTTTACCTGTCAGTGCCTGCCTCTAAGAGCTTATCGCTGAGTGCGATAATATCTTGTAATTTTTTTAAGCTGTGTGGTTGATTATCTAGACTTGTTTGACTGATCACCTGTGCCGTGCCAGCATATTTTTCGGCGAATATCGTCTTACAAAGTTATGCCATTCTTGATTGTAACTTACCATAAGTGATAGAAAAAGAAAAAAAGCACTTAGGCATATCTGAGTTTTGGAGCTTAGATTTCCTAAAGCAAACCATCAAAAGTCAACTCCTGTCGTCTGTTCGTTTAGAATTAACTGGTCAAAAATACTTATAACTATGAAGTAGGATAACACCTTCTTTACAGAATGGTTCAGCATAACAGTATGCATACCACTTGAAATAGTTCCCGCATAGTTAACAGTAAAACAATGTCACTCAACAGCACCACACGCTTGGACACCGTTTCCAAAAAGCCTATGCTGCCACCGCGCGTCCCGACCAAGGTGAAAACTGGACTGCCTGTCCAGAAAAATCAAGCAACTGCTGCTCGTCCCTCAACCACAACTAAGCCGCTTCAGCAAAACAAGCTGGCAACTAAGGTGAGATATCGAGACTATAGGTGGCGCAAGCTACTGCCCGATACAAAGGGCATAGCCAATATCATTCGTCCATCTACCAGATTCCTGCATACTAAGTGCAGAGTTTCGTTTGGAAGCTGTATCTTATTTTCGGAACCTTCCGCTCTTACTCGCATTCCATTCGACATTACTAAAGGGCACTAGCATGACTGCATATGGCATGCTAACTGGTGGCCATAGCCGAGTCCGTGGACGCTGGGCAAGTGCCGACTGCAAGCTTCCACGGTGCTTTTGCAATGTACATTCTACACCACCTGAGATTGCTGTCTTAGCAGCCTGTAAGTGCAAGCTTGTTCTACACCACCTGAGCCTGTGCTTTGAACGGTGCACTCAAAGACGGCATCTGGTGAATACTGCCTGAAGTCCCAGATTTCTACACTGCATGCATGCTTGAGTAGTGAGAGCTTTTCCTTATACCGTTATTGATTTGTGAGACCATATATGCTCTACTTTTTCTCTAGTGTCGGGGGTTTTGAAACATGGCTTTACAATCACCTTTAGTTAGCTCCAGATCAGCTGTAATCATCTGCAATGTGACTGACATTGGTTTTTCTAACAGGTGACAGCGAAACCACAAGAGTTATCCGCCAAGGTTATTCCGGTCAAAGCCCGACACGTTCCGGTGAAAACGGCCGACAACGAAACCAAGGGAGTCGGAGCGACGTCCCTGCAACGAAGCACAGCAAAGAACAACAAACCTCGAGTTCTCGGCTCACTTGAGCTGTCTTCCTCAGCAGCACCCAAGCGGCACGCTCTGTCATCCAAATCACAAGCGGTCACAACGAAATCTCATCTGGCGACTGGAAAAAGGAGCCCGCCACTGAAACGACTGCAGCAGGCAAGCCAATTCAAGCCCAAGCCTGCAGCCAGAAGCCGTGCCGAACCGGAGCGCAAGTCAGTTGGAAAAAAGAATGCGGGGAGGAGCATCTTCGTGAAAAGCGCCAAGAAGGACCGTTCATCAAGCTCGTTCGCCGCCGTCGAGGAGGTCGAAAAGAATCCGGCCAAAGTTGAGCCGACGCCTGCCATTCTTTTGGATGAATTTCCGCTTGTTGGCGCGACCGACAAACAGTCGACAGACGTGCTGACGACGCTGTGTAGGACGCCGGAGTCGCAGAAGCATAAGCATTCTGCTGCGGACTCGAGCATGTTTACCAACGTGGGCTCCGCAGGGAACACGCCGTTCCAACCTGCGTGCGGAGCGGCGCGGAAGCTGGTCGAGATGACGCCGCGTGACCGGCTGCGCAACAAAAGGACGCCGTTGCAGACAATTTCCTCCGGCGAGCTATCCGGCGACTCGTTCAAGACGGCCGCCGAGACAACGCAGGACATTCGAGACCTGACCGACTCCGGGGATGGTTTGGGAGACGATCTCGACGGCACGTTCACGCTAGAGGACGAAGACAAGGTGGCGTCTCCGGCGCCGGCGGCGAATATACGCGAGCGGAGGGGAGCTCCGACGGGCACCCCGTCGTGCCTGCGCAAAAGCACGAGGGGCAGCACGTCGTTCAAGAAGTCTGTGTCTTTCTCGGTGACTGGGACGCAGGACAGCACGCCAAAGAGGCTGCCCAAGACGCCGCGGAGGGGGCGCACGATTAGGTGAGTTTGATGTACTTGCTTGCAACGGAAGCCTATCTCAAGGGCTCCCAAATGGTTTAATCTAGGAAAATGCCTACCGTAAAACTGCGAGATAGCCCACCTAAAATCAAAAGCAAGTCTTGTGAAGATGACGAGTAAACTAACTTTCAATGGAGCAAATGCAAGGTTGTATACTGGAAGCTTCTTGGAGCAGAAAGCATGTAGGGTTGTAACGGGTACACCTTTCTTGGTAGCACTTTTGTTCACGTCCACGATTCCAGAACTTGTGTGCCACCAAATGGAAGTTTTTGTGTCAAGCCGCATACAGTGCCCATTACGGATGCAAACGTGACTGTTACGATGGTCGCAGTGCCACGCCAAAACTTTAATCCGAGGCGGAGTGGGCGCAACTTAAAAGAACTAAGATGTAATCATAAGCACCAATTTAGACTCCCGAAATATCATATCGATGCATATAGTAGGTATTCGCTTTTCCCTAGAACTATATGTGACTGGAATACACCTTTTTCAGAATGTTGTGTCAATAAACTGTCCACGGGATTTTGCAAATGCCATTTCAAATTTGTGAGGGTGTCTGGCGGCCGGGAAAACCGGGAATTGTCAGGGAAATTTTAATTACCGGGAAAAATCAGTGAATTGTCAGGGATATTGTTAAAAAGCGAGCCCAGTGAGGGAAAATGAGCCGGAAACGCCATCGAGTGCCCTGAGCAAATACTTAAGGATTTGGGGGCAGAAAGATAGGCAATAAATCCTGCTTAGAGCAAAGCACGGGCTCTGCTCACCCGATCTAGAGTGTGCTACCCGATGGAAAGGGAACAGCCGACAAATCAAGTCCAAGCTTTGGATTGGATTGAGGACGCAACACTAGGCCAAATCCAGTTAGCGCTACTAGATTTAGTAACAAATGGAAAAGTCTCAGACCCCAATCCTGTCCGAAAGTGTGCGTCTGGCGGACATACTGCCATTCGGTTATTGACGTGTGTGGTTGAGCGTCGTGTTTTCATAGTGTTTCCGAAAGTGGCCTCTTCACTGACGATGTCGGCGGCAAGAAAGTGCTCGTTTAATCCATACTGGACAAACCCGAATATTTAGGAATATACAAGTGGGATTGAGCCCGTGGAAAAGTATCCTCACAGTGCTCAATGCTCGCTGCCTTGTGTTGTAATGGTCTTATATATTTAACTTCCTGTACAGTGGTCAGGGAATTTCACCTGAAATTGTCGGAAAACCTGGAAAAGTCGGAGAATTTCAAAATAATAATCTGCTAGGCACCCTGATTTATGTAATATAACCTGTAAAGCATGTTTTTTTCTTGTTTTCATCACGGGAAGTGATAACTAGTGTTGACTGTTTGGATTCTTTTTGTCTATTGAAGTGTACAGCGTTTCAAGCACAGTTTTTCTTTTATTGATTTCGTACACCTTTTGTGGGCTTAATAGGTAGTAATAATCTGAATCTTTCCTCTTTCTTTTGCTTTCTATTGTATATTTTATGTGAACTGCTGTCGTCTGGATGATGGACGTAGAACGGCAGCATGGTGTGTGACATGCAAGTAATTTTAATTTTGTTAGATACAAACAATATTTGAGTCTTGCAATTTTCTTCTGTGGTAAGGAACATGTAAGCGCAAGCACCCTTATTGTGAAGTGTGATCATTCGGGAACTAGGGAGTGCAACTCTCGCGCCGCGGTACCACCACCGCTGAATGTTGCGAATATTATATTATGTGTGAAATTCTACCTTATACCTGTAACAGTTCCTAAGGGGGCAGCAGCATTAATAAACAGATAAAAATTAATAGTTCTCCTTTGGGCCACACTGCGAGTTAATAACTGATCTTGACGCAATCTTTGAAAGTGGTAGAGCTGTTTCATGCATTGGTGTTTGAGTGTAATTGACTGCACATGTTTCATAATGTTTTACACCAGATTCTTTTGCCGTATTTTACGTTTAGGCCTGATAATCGACTGCATGTGTTTTGTAATGCTTTGCACACAATGCTCTCGCCGTGTTTTGTTTTACACACGATAATAGACTCCACATGTTTCATAATGTTTGACGCAGGATTCTTTCGCCGTGTTTCATGTTCTAGGCACGATAATTGACGTTGCATGTTTTGTAATGTTTTACGCATGAATATTTCACTGTGTTCTATGTTTTACGCACAACTCCTTCACTGAAATGCGAATGTGTACCACCCTTTAGTAGCCAATATCAATCTAATTTTTTTAAGTGTTGCCGAGTAGACATTTTGTTCATCCCTGCTGGCAATGAATTTTTTTTTTTATCATCATTGTAGCGAGAGCATCAATGCATGGCTCAAGGCCAGGGGCAGTCCCTCGATTTCCAAACTGCGCCACTCCAGCTGCTTCGAAGAGCACACCCCAGAGCCGGCAACGCGGAAGGCCACCCCCAGGAAGAACAGCCAGCACCGACCAAAAGCCACACCCGCAGCCACTCCAGTCCCCAATACAGAGGCCGACAAAGCCACTCCACTCCCCAACGTTGGCACCTCGGAGGAAACTGTGAGTGCTTCGGTTCGGGTGGGGAGCGGGGCAAAAGTTTGTGCTGCAGATCCCAGCGATCCTGGGTTCGATCCCCACCCCTGCCGGTTTCGATCTGGATGAGCGTCATACCGGCATGCGGTCGTGTATCGCTACTGCAAGATGCACGTTAAAGACCCCAGGCTAGTGGCTGTACTGCACTGGCTAAATTTCTGATCAACAGCGTGAACTAGTGTCGCAACACCTTAAACTCAAACCCTGCTGTATAAACAAAAACATCAATGTTTTTTTTTTTTTTTTTGTGGAGCGAGTTAGTTGTATTGGAGGGGCCTCCAATGACGCACTCATACGCTCCTTGATTCTTAACGGAAACACAACCCACGACAACCGAACACTTGAGAAAAAATATGTACAAATTAGAACTCAACTTTTTCTTCTTCTTTTTTTCTTTGCATAGGAAATGTTGTTTGAGGCTCAATATCATAGTGTGGAACGGACGGGTCCCTTGCAGTGCTGACTCAGTTTAATACAAAAATAAATGTTCAGTGTGTGCATGTATGACACAGAACACTCTCGGAGGCAGGCAAATAGAAGTTTGTGTTGCTCGCATGTGTCGAGATTTGCTCGTGGAGCTCCTTTTGTTCTCTGTCTTTCGAAACTCAGTCACAACATTGTAAAGGTTTTAGACTCCTGGAGTTCTGAATTTTAGCGTGTGCACATAGAAGCACCACTCGTTCCTCCTTGTGTCCCCAGTTTTGTAACACTCTGCTCGGTTTCAGCATAACCGAGCAGACTGCCAGGGTTCTCCCCAGAAATTCTTGAGATCTGGACATCTGTTAAGGGGAGACACCCCCTGGGAGGGTCAACTTTTGAACCCTTGGCTTAAACTTAATGAAATTTACAAGGTAGGCTGGTGGTCATGCTAGAGGGTGCATAACAAAATTTCAGGTTTGTCGGTTAAGGGGGAAGGAAATTAGGTCAGCTTCTATCAGCAACACCCCTACATTGTTCAGTTAATCTATTGTCGGAAAACTATCACAATATTCAAGATCTTTATTCGCTAGATATGTAGCAGAATGCCTAGGAGGTGCACCTATGGAAAGTTTTTTTTGTAAAAAGTCATTGATTTCTATCAATTTTCTCTTCTGCAAAATTGGTCAACTTTTTGGTCTTCTGTGTCTCCGACAAAATGTCAACATTTTTTATAAAAGACATTTGTAAGGTAACAAACAAACTCCATAGGCGCATTCCTTATTAAATTTCAGTCAGGAAAAGTGAAGATAGAGCCTTCCCTGTATTGCCATTATCAAACGATAGATTGACTAAAATGGAATTTATGCCAAAAAGTGGAATGGAGAAAAACGTGTTCAAAGTGCTCCAAACCCTACCTTATCTTTAGCTTCGGTGGACAGCAAAATAATTTATAAAAAATTAACTATGCAGTGTAAACTAGTGAAAATTTCTGGGAATACTCTCTGGATGTAGATGGATGTAAATATGTAATTTTTCAAAATCAATGTTTTTTGCAAAATGTTTTTTTCTCTGGGTAGTGTCCCCCCTTAATTTCTGGGGTGGGGGGGCAGGGGGGAGGGAGGGAGGGGTTGCTGCAACTTTTGGTGTTCTCGGCACTTTATTTGCTGCACAGCTGTGATTTTGTGTGTAGGGGTTATGCACTTCTGTTGCGCAGCACCACACAAGTCCGCCAAACACATCAATCTGGGGCGTCGGTCATTTTCAAAGTCAGCGTTGTTTTGTCTAGTGGAGGTGAAATATGCAGGAGCGTTGGACATAGTAGAGGTGGACAGTCAGCCAGACTGGTGGGTGGTAAAGCCACTGCCGCCCACTGTGGAGAGAACCCTGCAGACAGCGGAGGCAAGCCAGTCAGAAGGAGCAAGGCGTGTGCTGACTTAGTGTTTGCGGGAGCTCTTCTTTTGGAGAGCTGTCACATGCTTCGCTCCATCTCTCCGATTGTCTCAAGGGTGCCATTGTGCCGGCTTGTAAAGCAGTAGCTTTGTGTGAGAACCAGGCACATATCCAGGGGGGGGGAGCGGGAGCCATGGGGCCCAGGCCCCCCAACTCCCTTCCTCGAAATCTTCCATTTTGCTGGAGCCTCCTCTCCGCCTCCCCCCCATACAGCATTTTGTCATAGACGGGCGCCCCCGAATCAAAATCCTGGCTACGTGCCTGGTGGCACTGTAACCAGCAATGCCGTGGCAGAGAGTGTTAGCAACAGAGAACAGCTGCTGGTTTGATGTCGTAGTGTGTGCATCTGATGAAATAACGCTGGGCGAAGTGTCTGTGTGTGGGGGGGGGTAATTAGTGCACTATCACACCCTTTCACCTTTTGCTGCATAAGAATGGGAGCATCAGCAGGATAGGAAATGCGTATTAGTGGACTAATCTAGTTGGCGCGCAGGTATTTTATGATCAGATATACTCGGGGGCGTTTCTGAAAAAATTGTGCAGTGTCCCCGAAAAAAAGGCGCATGGATGAAGGTGTCACAAGTAAACCTTCCGCCGTAAATGCATAGAAAGCTCAAACCTTTGGCGAACGTGCGCTGAACAGGTCAGTTTAACTGTGCGAAATTTGAAGGCGTGGTTCTCTTCCCGTCAAAAATAAGATCAAAAAGCTTGCCGAAGTCAAACAAGCGGAAGACTCATTTTGTCGTCTACTCACTGCGCCTATCGGGAGATGGCGCCGCAGGTGAATAGCGTCGCTAACTCGGTCTGCGAACGCGTCCAACCTTCAGTTTGGCAAGGTTTTTGCTCTAATTTTTTACAGGAAGAGGACTATGCCTTGAAATTTCACACGGCAAAACTGACCTACTCAGTGTACATTCGGTTAAAGTTTGAACTTTCCATGTGTAGGCGACAATTTTTTCCACTTCCTTTTACAGTGGAAGGACTGCTTGGGACACCCTATACATTCACGATTCCTTTGCCACATGTCTCATGGCATATCATTTTGACAATAACAAATGCTGCTTATTGAAAAAAAAAAAAAAAAAGTTAAGCTGAAACGGAGTATAGCTTCCGGTCGTGACGGACACAGCCGAGTACTGAGGTCAACCGCTTTGCAGGTCGACGCGAGCGAGACAGACGCCATTCCCGACAAAGAGAAGCTGTCCTTAGTCCTGAAGGAGCTACGTGGCCACTTGACTGAGGTACGTTTGAGGACCGTCGCTCTGCTCTCTCGGTTCTCTGTCGGTGGCGTCAGCTGGAGTCACTGAATGAGGTACGGTTCAGAGTAATGATGCCTCGGTTGCCTTGGTGTTTAGCATCATTGTTGCCAGTTGTCTGAACCTCTGTCGTAAATAGCAGGAGACGGTCACCCGTCCTCCAGAAACTTGGAAACCGTCTGCGAGAAAGCAAGACGCTATCGGGCCCTGTCTTTCCGACGCCACGTTTTGGAAATGCAACGATCGCCAGTCCACTTTATGACACAAAATGTGTTATATGACTGGCACCTAGCCATATCCAGTTAAGTGCCACTAACAGAAGCCGACGAGCCGACTGCCAGCCGAACATCGGCACAGCGCTCGTCATCTCACTGACTGGGCAATGGTGCCCGCCAAGCCTCTTTTTCGACTGCCCTGTGTAATTTCCGGCAGGTGTACAACACTGTGCGTTCAGACATGCACTGGCGCTCTGCACCTCGAAACAAGTGTGCTTAGGGCTTCCCCAGAGAAAAAGGGCAAAAGAGAGAGTGGCAGAAAAGAAAGCACACGGGTCGCTTTGCCACATCGGGTGCAATTCTTTTTTACTGTAAGCTGGCACCAGGGCCCTGCTCAGCGCTGCCGCGTTCCACTTGTTCTTTTTTTCCGCACGCTCCTTCTAGTGCGCCTCATGCCTCAACAGGCTCCGAGAAAGTCGCATTTACACCGCAGCAGCAGAAGGCTGTACCCACTAGTCAGACGTCCGGGAGCACTCGCGAGCTTGCCTCGCAAAATGCAGGGCCGCTCTGCGCCATCTAGTCTCCAGATGTGTACACGGTTTCTCCATACTAACGCATCAGATTCTGTGTTACCACTGCCTTTGCCACGCTAGTACGGCAAAGGGGAAACTTTTTTTTTTAAATTGTGGTTCTAGAGGATTTGGTATGAAAACCATGGATTCATGAGCGACCGTGACGGGCATTGAAGCAGGGCTTTGGTGCCAGCGCTCATAATGTGGTCGTGCATTCTCTGGCCGAACAGGTGAGCAGTACTTGAAGCCAGAGGTCCTAAAACGTTTCTACCCCGAGGAACTATCCACCTTGAGCGATGGCCAGGGAACCTTCACAATCGCGACATTCATAGCTGTTGGACCTTGCGAATGATATGCATGTTTGGCTGATAGTTATGTATCAGTCGGTGGCTCACATCTGACCTCAATACTGCCCAACTCTTTCCCTACTGCACCCATAGAGCGTCACTCGGCCGTGATCAATGGGCACGGAGGCCCATTTCAGAACGCTCGCTGTGCCATCTCGTAGGTAGTTTGAAGACCACCATTTTCGTTCCTGTGTTTCTCTTTCCTACTGCGCGACAGCGATTTAGTCTAGCCTGTGCCTGGAAGTATGGCAGTTCTTGCAAATCCCCTGTAGGTTTTTTGGGGTACTCAGTTTAGCAGTAGTGGATCTTATCATGATAAAGCCAGATCATCATACTTCATTTCTTCACCATGTTGAGAAACTGCTTAGCTCAATGGCATGTCAGTCGTAAGGGTTAGCTTAGTTTTTGGTAAAACAAAAACTTCTTGAAACTAGAATTCCAGTTTTTGCAGAGCTTTTTGTTGTGAAAATCAAAGATTTATATAGCTTGATTCCTATGTATGGCACCCTATTGTAAACCTACCCAAAAGTTTCTTCAGGAATAAAGATGCAACTGAAAACCACACAATCCAGCCATTTTCCCTGTGGCCAGGAAAGAGTTACACTGGAAAAACAGTTCGCTTGGGGACAAGCTCGATCAAGGTTACTACTTGCCCGGGCAACCCGTGAGGGAACACCCCAGTACTGATGGAAGTACTCTGGGAACCCGTGGGGTACTCTAAAGCGCGAGACACATGCGCGAAAAATCCGTCCGATCCGACGTCCGATCCGGCAATACGACTGCCTGATCCGAAAAATTTGGTCGCTTCAGACGTCGGATTGGCGATCCGACGTGCGTCCAACTCGCCAGATAGTTTCGCACGGCGGACGGATTGTCGGATGCGTCCAGCCAATGACAGCACAGCTAGTGCGAACGTCATGATGACGTACTGGGTCTGGCGGGACGAACAAGAAAACGGGACGAGCGCCGGGAAGCCGGACGCGTGGATTCCGCTGACCTATTCAAGAAAGATGGCCCCGGCAAAAAATGCACGCGCTAACGAGAACGAGCTTCTAACTTCGTTCGTGCGAGCTAAACCGTCAATCTGGGACCAGAGATCTGTGAACGTGGACGTTCGCTGGAATGCTTGGATCTCCTGGGCGGAGCCGAACGGATCGTCGTGTCGCATGCAAGGTCGGAAGCGTGTGCCTCAAACTGTCGCGTGCGGCGATTCGGAGCGGCGTTCGGACGATTCTGTCGTCCATGTGTCTCGCGCTTAAGGATCTCGCAGTGGAACCCTAGGGAACCCATGGGAATGCTCTAGGGAACCCCTGGGTCCTTTGAAACCCAGCTTATTTAGTGGCTCTAGTGTGGGCTACCGGACTCGCTTCACAACGTCGTCGTTCCGTCCCCAGTCCCAGACCTCGTCCCAGGACGTCTGCACACGGCTCGATCAGCTGGTGGTCAAGTGTCCGAAGATCACGGACTACTCCGACTACTGGATCTGCCGCTCTCTCGGTCACCGGAATGCGGGCAACGACGACAAGGCTCTCGAGGCGCTCTTCCTCGGATCAGAGTCTGCCAAAGACGTGAGTGGTCGCAGTGTAACGAGACATGGAGGTTGCGCACTACCTAGCTGGCCACGCTTTACTACTTTACTGAGGGCATTGTGTGTTTCTGGTAGGTTCTCCTACACCGAATGGCACTCAATAAGGAGCAGTGCAATTCTTAGGCTTTTGAGAGGAATGTATGTATTACAATTCTTGAAAGAGCACAGCCCAGATTTTGTTTGCGGTTTGATATGAACAAGTACATACTCAAGTCCCTTGCATTTCATTTGGTATTCATGCACCAAGTGTAGAGTTACTCCAGATAAAATAGCATCAAGCCTTTCATCGAGCATCCAGACCTTTCCGGAAAATCCCGGGAGACCTCGCAGCAAGGGGAACTGTGGGGTTGTTTCAATGCATGCGGACCCAAATTCTTCCCTGGAAGCAGAACGGCAGAAGTTAGACAGACAAAAATACATACAGTTTTCGACCCCGAGATTTGTTAGACATAAGCATAACAGGCATATTGATCCCTATCCATACTTTTCTGATGTATTTAAATTTCTGTTCTTTGTGAGATCTATAGATGATTGGAATAGTTTGCCTGAAACTATTGTAAATAGTCCAAGCGCATCTGTGTTTGAAAGAAGCATTGCCTCATATTTTCTGGTGTAATGTCGTACCGCATATTTTGATTATGTGCTCTTTTCCACAATGTACCCACTCCTGCCTTAGCCATTCAATAACTGGCAGTAATAAATAAAAAAAAAAAATTGTTCCTGGATAATCTTGCGTGGTGTACATCCTAATGTTGCAATGCATCACGGAGAAAGTGGGGGCGGCGCAACATATTTCCAGAAAGATCTATTTCAGTGATCTCAAACTCGTTCCAGTTCGGGGCCAGATAGCCTACCCTCAAAAAGACAAAGCCCATTGAGGACAATGGTTTAGTATTTTGTGGCAAAGAAAAAAGAGCAGTGGTGTTTCACGTTGCAAATTGGGCGACTCTCAAAGCAACAGCCCAGGGTCCTCGTGCTTTCTTTTTCTAAGCTCGCCGTTTTTCCGACGCCATCTCTATTTTTCTTTGCATGCATAGTACAATTACTTTGGGCCCACACCCGATGTGATAACAAAATTTAAAATGCCAACGTGCTAGCAATTTTGGATAGACCAAGAGCAAGCACACTGCTGCTGCCCTTCTTGCACAATTCACTAAACTCAACAGGCAACGGGGAAAAAAAAAAAAAAAAACATGCGGCAGTTTTTGCTTTTCTGAGGATTTTTATGACAGCATTATAATACAAAGCCTCTATTTTAAAGGTACTTTCTGACAACAAAGAAACCCGAGCTCGTGGCTTTATTTTTTGCAGTCGCTCCTGCTGAGCAAGTGTTCGTGCAGCCGAGGTGCCTCCTTGAGGGAAGAGCTCACACTTGTAGCAAAGAGCTCGCGCGTGTTTGAAACATGTATGTCTAGATAAAATAAGATAAAATGACACATAAAAGAGAAAATTAGTCCACGAGGAGCAGGATTTTTTTACTACGGTTCTTGAGGTGAATGCAAGTGTATAGTTGTACATATTGTAGTTCCGGTTGATTTAGGTTAGAAAACGCAGAGAAGCAAATATTTATACAAAGCAACACTCGGTCCAGAGGAAAACAGAACAGTGCAGAATGCATTATCACTTTGCATGAGCGGAGCTCTTTTTTGAGTGGAAATAAATTGACTACATGCCTATTTTGTGAGACGGGGTATAGTGGAAACCTGCAAGTTGGTTCCCGCCGCAGTGGCAGAGGTAGTTCCTGATTAACGGCATTCTCGTTCGTTTCTTCAAAGGACAACAAAGACCTCCTCGCAATGACGAAGGAGCTCGACGAGAAGATGTCCGTCAAGGAGAACGTCGAGCCGCCCACGGAGTCCGTCGTGCGGCAGACGCGGAGGATCGTTCGGTCCCCTTGGTCTAGGGAGCTCTTGGATATCTCGATGGACAACGTCTTCTCGTCGACGGTGATCACGTACAAGGTGTGCGAGGCAACCTCCGTCACCAGGTGAGGTCGGAGCAGTAGTCCAACACGCAGGAGCAGTAGTGTCGCAGCAAAGATGCTCTGCTGGGCAGGTCCTAGTATGGTGTCTGGAACTGGGAACTAGGCCTTTGACTTGTATCCTTTAAAGGGGCACTGAGGTCAATTCTGAGATTGTCCTTTTGTGCTGACAACTCAATCTAGAGCTCTAAGCATCCCAACAAAACCCGAAATTACAATCGCGCATAGCTTATTTCCTCGTTAATTTGTGTTCAAAGATCCCAACACGCCCTTTTTGGGAAAAATGTTTTTTAGATTGAAGTGGTCGTTGAAGGGCGCTTGTCGGCGAGTGAAAAACGATGGCTTCGCCCGCGCGAAAAAGAGGGGTCTTATACGGGTGTTTCCCTATCAGCCTCTCTTCGAAACGAGTTATAATAAAATCATTCGGAATCTGCACGTATTGTAGGGCTTTCATTGGTCCCCAAATGTAGTCTGCGAGAAAAAAAGAGTGCACATTTTTCTCTTGCACCGACTGAATAGGCAGTTTTGTAATATAGGACTTTGTATATGTGGGAACTAACACCACAATATAAAATCAAAAACAAGCTTTTTCAAAAATGACTTTAGTGCCGCTTTAATTGGGGGCTTTGTGCAGTGTGGGCTATGTTCAGAGTCGACACGGAACAAGGCTACAAGTAAAGGTTTCTTCGCGCAATGCTCAGGTTTTTTTGGTCTTGCAAGGGCAGCTCAGACTTGGGGTTTACTTAGTTTTACCCCGTTTTTATACGACTAACAAGGGTTACTGTGCGGGGGTTAATCGGTATGTCCCGAAAACATGGGGCTCTAAGTATAGTGCAGGGGTGGCCAGGCTGACCCGGCCTAAGAGCCGCAAAGGAAACCACGAACCTTCTAAGAGCAGCCGAAAGGAGGGGGGGGGGGGGGGGGGGGGGCAAAACAAACAACGCTGCCTGGTTATCCCCCCTCCCCTCCCCTCCGAAATCATAAAAAAGCAGCTCGCGGGTCACAACTGCAAGCCGGTAAAAATAACAATGAGAATGTTCCTGGTCCTTTGGGAACTTGAACAAAACGTTGTGACTAGTGGAAGCTATGAATCAGGGGAACCCGGGCTTCCGCGATCTTCAACAAGAAACGATATGGAAGGAGCATACGTTACCTAAAGGGGACAAGTATCACCGGAAAGTGACAAAGGCCGCAAAACAGAACATTTTCTCGACATCAAGTCAAAGTGCATGCGTGTTTTGACAGTCCCTGTCCTTGATGCCTTTCCCCCTAGGGTTGGACAAACTCTCTTGAACAACAAAAGAAACAGGATCTGTGGAAACATACGAGTGAAAAACGGTTCGACTGTACATATGGAGGGCACAACGCTGCCAAACCGCAAGCTGGTCTTTATTCTGAAATCCTTTCTATTTTCCTGGGGAAACGCGGAAAGGGGCGGGGGGGGGGGGGGGGGGGTGTGTCCCCTTACGAGGGATCCGCGAGCCGCACCCTGACCAGCAAAGAGCCGCATGCGGCTCGCGAGCCGCGATTTGGCCACCCCTGGTATAGTGTATGGATGCTGTTGGCATTTCCGAGAGTCTGTCTCTTCCCGAAGGAACGGAGCTCAAATTGCGCCTTGTTGAACCTTTGCTTTTGCTGGAGCTTGTCGACGAGAGTGGCAGCCTTTTCCTTTAGGACGCATTAAAAATCAAATTCGAGATAACTGTACTGCTATGACCCAGTGTATGTTCTTTTTGCTAAGTGTGTTTTGTGAATGGCGCGGTAGTTTCGTGGACAAGTCGATCTCTACGCGGGATGCAGGACATTTGAGTTCACCCCATTCGGGAAGGCTGCCTAGTCTGGCAGATCGGCAACGGACTTCGGCCACTGCGTGGCGTCCCCTCGCACGCGCTCGCAGACGTGACTCTCTTGCCGTGCCACGCTTCAACTTCGTTTCGAGCACGCGGTTCGGGACGGTGATGTCTACGGCACCGCTTGCAGCGGCGATGAGTGATTGTCATCGAGAGACGTTGGAAGCTGGTCATCATGACTTTGACTTGCTGGCGACCGGTGACGACGATGGGATTGTCACAAACGAAATCACCTGTGCATGTCGGGCGGAAGGTCAGAGGGCAAGGGGCCAGGGGCAAGAACAGCGCTAGAGTAACCAAGTAGCACAAGGGGATGCGATCGTACAGTGGCGAGGCGAGCGTGGGGGTGACTAGAATGGAAGCGCATTCATCTAAATTGGGCAGTGTTGCCCAATTTAGACAGACATAAACGATCAGCACTAGTAAAATTGATTATTGCGATTACTAGAGCCCTAACAATCGCAAAGGTTGGTGTTTTGTATATACAAAGTAGCCTGTGAGCATTCCATTTCGAGAATAATCTACCCGTTTAATTTTCCTGTCCCAACCCCCTTAAGGGGGGGACACTACCCAAAAAAGTAAATGTTTGAACTACTTATCTGATCTAAATGACATTTACAGGGCTTGTTTCTGTTGATAACATTTGTGCAAAAAATTGCAAATGTTTAAAGATGAAAGGGGGCGTGTCTTTTAGGAAAACTATCGTTTTGAAATTGCTCATAAATTTGTCATTTTTTTAGGACGGTTCAGAGCAGATAGCAATGGTGCTATTTCTATATTATACCATTTTTTATGACAAAAAAGCCACAAAAACACAAATACGTTTTTTTTTTAAATTTTTATCCTTTGTCCAAAATTTGTTTTTAAGCGTGCAAAATGACAAAAATAAAAATCACAAGCTCATAGCTATCTCCCCCTTAAAATGTCACCCCAGAAAAACTCACAAAAATGAATCCAAGTTACGTAATAACAAAACGATAGTTTTCCTACCATGACAGAATTCACTTTATTTTCTGAGTGCACAAGCTCAGAAAAGCCCCCAGGAGCATAGGTGGGGCCTTCATCTTCAACCGGGCGCTGTTCAGCTGCAATAGCTTCATCGTGGCTGCTTTCGAGCTGTCGAGAGCTTTCGCACGTGCCTTTGATGCGCATCCTCTTGCGGTCTTCTCAACATGCTTGCATGTGTACATGCCAGTGGTCAAGCCTAGCTTGTCCAGGGCCCTTTCAATGCCCCTTGGGCCTGCATTGTACTCCGCAACAGCTAGGACTTTGCTTGGGATATCTCTTCCACACCAAGGCATTGAATTACTTGTTATAGAGTTCTGCGTCTGCATCCTCGAGCAGCATGCAAGAAGGTCTGCCTTGGCCAACCTGTTGCACAAGGACACAAGTTCTTTAGCGATCTTCCTGATGATCAGAGGACGGTGGGGCTTTGCAATGGATGGTTTTCCAGCGCTGAGAAGGACCTGGTGCCTGTTGTGGCACCAGGACTCTTCACTTTGTGGGCAGGCTAAATGGCAGGGCTTTTGATCCGTCGAGTATGTGTAGAAGGCTTGCAAACACTGAATGCTGCATCTTTGGGACGTCTGAAGCACTTTCCTTCAGAGTTGCTGCATAGTATGCCGTTAGTTTTTCGCAACTGCTACTGTAAGCTTCCCCTTGCCTCCCAAGCCCTTTAGCTTGTCGATACCAGCAAAAACACGCTTCGCTACATGGTTAATACAGTCTTCCTTGGTGATCTGTTTGTCATAAAGGTCAAGCTTAAGAACATGCAGAATGCCTTGCTGTCTCCGTCGCACAGTACTGTCATGTACTGCATGTTGTTGAGCTCTTCCAAGCGGCTAAAGACCACACCAGTGGCCTCCACCTCCATTGCGTTGGATGAGCCATAAAAATTCTGGCACACCTCTCAGTCGGTCTATATCCACTCCTCGTGCTTTTCTTCAGCTGGTTTGGGCCCCAGGCTGCAGCTATGGCAGTAATTGCTCCGAGCAGCGTAGTTGAGCACAAGGCCAAAGTCAAGCTCAATTGCTGCGCACATACCGAAGTGCAAAGTGTTGCCTTGCTTGTGCCATGTGCCATCGAAGCTGACTGCTACCCCCACCAACCCGTCGCTGTCACCTGCTCCCTTCTCTTTTCTAAACGCTTGAGCGGCTTCGTGCATCATGTCACGCACAGCATCTATCGCAGCGCAGTGGACCTTGCCGGAAATCGCCTGGAACGTTCTCAGGTGCATAGATTGTGGAGCATTCATTCCATCGAAGAAATTCTACTACTTGGTGAAGTTAATCCCGCAACCACGGCTAACCGCGGCGAAACAAACGGGCAGTTCGGGTTGGCGGCTCAACTTCATGAGTGGCGAGTGTGCAGCTTTTGCGACGTCTCCGCACCCATCGCACACCACAACAAACTAAACATTTGCACCATATCCAGTCTTTTACAGTTCAAGAGACTGTTCGCAGCGCTTGGGGCATAAAAGCAGCGCTATCGAGTTTTTCATTGCCGACACACAAACGAAACGATAACCACCGAGCTGTTCAGAGTCGTCACTGGCGCCATTCATTGCGATTTTCTACGTGTTGCTGCACTGCTCAAAGCTCCAGCGGCACTGTCGGCAGCTCAAGGCACCGAGGCCATCGGTCGCGGTGGATCGTCAAGCGCAGGCGGCCGCCCAGTGGTGCATCGGCCTCTTGGCTTCGAGAACCGATTTCTTTTTCCAACCGAAAACCTTGTTCCGGGCATTTTGCGACAAAAGAAATGCTAATTCAAAGCATCAAAGAGATGGCACGCAGATCCAGCTTTGGGGAGAATCAAACGAGGCCTGGCATGGGATTGAAAAGCCTCGCGATGCGAGACGTGCGAGAAAGTGTCACATGTTGCATTTCCACCGACTACAGCCAGAGTTTCGGTTTTCTGGCCAATCAGGGTGCGTCATTGTTAGATTTTTCATTTGTGTTATCAGCTTCTGCCTGCGTGTGGTCAAAGTCTCGATAGCGGCGTGCATGCACTATGAAAAGAAAAAGAAACGCAGTTTCGAACGAGGGTAAATGCTCTGCGGTGGGTCTATTCCTTTTGTTGCGCGAATGCTTCGAAAATGGCGTTTGGGGAAAGTTTCTTGGGGTCCGAGGTGCCATGTGGATGCCACCAGCGTGCCAATAAACGAAGATTTCTGCTGTTTTACGGCACAGACGTGAACACACCGAAATAATCTGGAAAAACGTTTTTTGGTCGAAAATCGCAATTTCTTGCATCTCATGCCCTTCGTTTTGGACCATAAAGCCCGACCAGAAGTCGCGCACCTTTTTTCGATTTTGGAGCATGTTTCATGTGCTTCAGCAGATAGCAGTGCTAATACTATTGCTTTGTCCTCTTCCGAGTTCTTTCGCTAGTGTCGAATTTTCGCCGAGAAAGAAAGTTGACGTAGCCTCAATTAGTCTGCTTTAGCCGATGAAAGGGTTACTTTTATTTTAAAGTGACGGGTGCTCTACCATTTCTGAACACTAATCAAACCACCTTCCTGACGATTCGAAATATTTAATATTGGCAATTGCGCAAAAATTAAAGGAAGCATTTAGTTGACCTTCAAGCATTGTTTGTTGTTATCTGCCTTCTTGAGTTACCACACACTGCAGAACTAATGAATGGACACATCCGATGGTTAGGAATTATTAGTGAGAGCAACAAACATCCGGAGCAGTACGTTCTATAGAAAGAAAAACTTAGTACGCAACGAGTTAATGTATCCAGTATTTCTTGCCTCCATCTACCAGATGTTAGTGCCACGAACGATTCGCCCCGTCCTTTTCTTACAGCATGCCACTGACATGCCGTTATGTGGTACTTACTCTCTGCACCCTTTGAGATATTTCTAAGCTCCTTACGAGGCACCCTTTATTGACAGCGAAGCCCATTCCACACGAGCATCGTTGGGAGACGAGCTGAAAGTAATCCTGAGAAAAAGACAAAAGCTTTTTGTGACCAGATGAATGCCGCTGAAGCCAGTGTTCCGACCTCTGCTCTGCGTAATTTCAGCAACCGTTTCTTTAACGTTATATTTTAGCGCCAGTAACCAGATTTACTGCTATTGTAATGACCAGGGCATTGAATTGAAATTGTAGGGGGAAATCTCTGAACAATCGGGGGAATTTGAAGGGTCTACTGGGTGATTCAAGGAGCGACCAGGCTCTTTAAATCGTCCGCGAAATTTGGTTTCTTAACCTATCTCGCTACGACTTTGTGCAGCGTTGCCCGCAGATGGTGCATTTAGTTTGTAAAATTTGCAAAGAGCGAACTTACCCGAGGAAAAAGTAAAAAAAAGAAAATGGTTTAGCTCCTATGGAAACGCAGCGAAGCCACCGGTCTTTAAACCATAAAGCGCTCTTTGCAAATTTTACAAAAAAAATGCACCATCTGTGGGCAATGCTGCGCAAAGTCGTAGCGCGATAGGTTAAGAAACCAAATTTTGCGGTCGATGTAAAGAGCCTGGCCGCTCCTTGAATCACCCAGTAATTTGGTGTACACCGAGTTGCTTCACTCCCGCCAGCGACTCCTCGTTTATTTTCGAGTAACATTGTGCGTAACTGAACTTTCTTTTCTTCCTTGTATGTTACCGTTTTTCTTGCAAGTTTTCTTTTTTTTTTTTTTTTTTTTTTTTGCACGTTACTTATGTGCTTTTTTTCTTGTGTGTTACTTTTTTTTTCTTCCCTGCATGCATGTTATACATGTTCTACTTGCTTTTACCCGTATGCCTTTTTTTCCTTGTGCATTACCTGTTCTTGTTCCTGCCGCTATGCATATATTTAATTTCTTTGCTTGTTACCTATGTTTTTTTTCTTTCTTGCATGCATGTTACACGTTTCTTTTCCCTTGCTGTTATTCATGTACCTCTTTTTCCTTGGCATTGCCCATGTTTTTTTGTCTCTTTTTGCATGCGTGTTGCCCATATTTCAAGATTCATTTTGGCACAAATTTGACAGCAGCTGGAAAACGATTGTGGGGTTCCTCAACCCCAAGGCATGAACTGCACGCCAGGGGCCCCAAGTTCGACGCTCGGCAAGAGAGTCAGCAAAACTGTTGCGATTAGCAAGTGCTGCGTACAACCTCGGTGCCGGCCGATCGCGTCGGTTGGCAGATCTTGCCCGACTTTCTCGCCGAGCGTCCAGCTCGGAGCCACGGTACAGCAAAGTGCAACACATTCGGCCTCAAGCCGACACTAGAACTGCCGTTTCTCCTGGGATTACAGAGTGAGGGCCGCAGTGTCTGTGGAAAAGTCGAGCGGGACCGCCGTCATGACACCAGTTCGCCGCTCTTCCCGGCATGCCCCGCGGCGTTCCAACGTGCTGGTGCCGGACGGGGTGCTGTACAAGCCAAACCCAGCCCTCGACGACCTGTAAGTCTGTGCGGTTTGTGTGCGGCCAGATACCTGCAGGGCGGCACAGATGGAAGAGATGTGTTGGAGTCAAGCTAGTTGTGTCACACTTACGAATAAAACCACCTGAACGTATACAGATATACCGAAAGAAAGGCAAAAAAACTCTGGACTGTCAACTGTATATTAACGGGGACCTTCTTTTACAGCAGCAGCTGTTATGGGGTCTTCCCGCCACTGCAAGCGATGTCCGTAGTTGATGTTGCAGAGGGGTATCCGTCGTCAATGCTGCTTGATCCCTGAAAGAGATCGCCTGCCGCCCGCGGGGATCGAACCTGGGTCCACTGCCTGCGAAGTGGAGGCATTACCACAGCGCTACGCCACAGCTTTCACAACCCGCCCTTCACTTGGTGTTTTTGTAATACCCGATGCCCACTGCACGCGCTCTCTGGAAAAGTACAAAGAAATAGCCGATATCTAGATGTTGTTGTAGAACAGTCAATGCCAGGAGCTCAAGACGCGCTTCCACACGCTCTGAACAAAGAGGAAACAAAATGGTCGGATGTGTATTTTGTTCCGAACGCTTTTGTTCACGCACCCCACGGTGCGTGAACACGATGCCGATGCCCAACTACTTCGCTTCGAGTGTACAGTGGATGAACACAGAACTGCTCAGTTTTTCCTTCCTCTAATTTGGTTCTCCTACAAGTTAGAAATTTTGAAACAAAACCAAAAATTAACAATGCTGAATGCTGGGCTAGTTGGTATTGGCCTTGGGTTGCCAAGGGCATGGTAGCGCTTTTTAGACGAAAGAAAGAAAGATAAGACAGACACGAGCGCTTTTTAAGTATTAAGTATTTTTAAGTATAAAATTAAGTACAGAACAAGCGTGTTGGTGACAGTATCCACCACGAGGAAGGTAACAGAAAAGGGGACGAACAACAATGACTTCCATGAAGTCATTGTTGTCTGTCCCCTTGTCTGTGTTGCCTTCCTTGTGGTGGAAAATCGAGAAGGTCTGCATTTTAGAAATTTCAAGCTTGTAGAACCAAAGTAAAAAAAAAGACAAGTTCTTATTAATATACAGTTGATAGTCCAGCATTTGGTTGCCTCTCTTGCTACATGCCTACTGCGATATCCCAGAGATGGCCGATCTAAAACCGAAAGCAAATCGGGTGAAAACAAGAGGTAAGCTAACTTTCAGTGTGCGATAAAAAAAGAAAATGTAAAATTTTGTAACCCGCAAAACCTACAAACGCAGGGACGGGCAATGAACCACAGACGACTGTCCTTCCCAGAGAGTGGTGTTTGCTTATCTCCCGCCGTGGTTAAGTAACGCCCTTTTTGCCGAGGTCGACATTGGTTGGGACCCCGCAATTACTCGAAGAGGGCTACATTCATAATATTCCGAAAAAAAAAAAAATAGGGTGTGGGCCATCTTTCATCTTGGGATATTGCGGCATATACCTCCAGCTGGTTTTATTAGTCGGAGGAGACGATCGTAAGACGAACTTGAAGATCGGTGCTTGCACGTACACGCAACTTTGGATGTCGCATGCAATGCACAAACAAACTTTGAGCAGACCCTAGCGTGCGGTGCCGTCCCTAATAACCTGTACCTCCTCTCCCGTTCCAGAGCCTGACGGGATCCACCCCCAAACGGCTTCTTTCAGACCAGTGCGGCGTTACCAAACACTTCCTCACATTTTTAATAAAGAACCTAAGACCATGCAGCACCTTCACCTGTCCTTGCCGGTGTTTGTCGCACCGCCGTCGGGAGGTGGCGCACTAGGAACGTCGTGTCCGTTGTGCCAGGCCTCGAAAGCGATCAAAAAGACCATGAACAGAAGCATAACGTTAACGTAGAATACGCTGTCCGGTTTTTCCCGAGCGGCCTCGCGCACACCTTCTTCGTACTGGGCCTTACGCTCCTGGTAGGACTTGACGGCGTCGCCGTAGTGCTGCCGGTAGAACTCGTCGAAGTTGTAGATCGGCGTTCGTCCCTTCATGATTGGCTTCTTGCCCGGCCGCTGCCAGTCGGTGGTGGGGCCTCTGGATTGGCGCAGCGGCGACCGCGTGCCAATCGTTTCCTCGTCGTATTTTGTCCTTAGGGCCTCGCTGGACAGAGTGTCGTACGCAACCGTGATCTCTTGGAAGCGTTGGTTGGACGTGTCGCTGCCTTTGGGGAAGAAAAAGAAACGGACGGGGAGCATCATCGAAGGTGACTGCGCGTCCCCAAATGTTTAGTCGCGACTAGAGCCACAAAATAAGCTACGCTCAGGGTGTCCGCACTACATTCTTAAATTTCCTTGCGGGCGCTGCAGTTTCATTACTTGGTGTGGAGCGGGCACAAGTGATGGTCGTCACGGCTCGAAAAGGCAACTTCCTGCGGCGAGGAGCTCTGGCCGTGTCGTGTTGCTCAGTCACGAACGGCGTTGGTTTTCTGGAGCACTGAAAAGTGTTTCCTGCGATTTCGGTTTGAGTTCCAGGTAACTGGCAACCATGACACTAAGGAGCAAGAGGGCTGAAGTGTCATTACTCCGGAGCGCACCTCATTTAGTGACTCTAGTTACGATGTGATAGTAGGGACATGATAGTGAGTTGCAGTGTTGGGAAGTCCTCTAAGTACATTGTGCAACTACTACTTCAAGTAGGTTTAGGAATCTTGTACTTTCTCTCAGTATGTGCTTTACTTGAAGCAATTTTTTATGGTACTTTACGAAGAAAGTACAACTCCCAACTTCAAAGCACATTCCCCAAATTTGGTCACGGTGAAATTAAGCTCCCTCAAGGCCCATGCACTCGTATCCCTGGCCTTCCTAGTAAAGTAAAGCCACCTTTAACAAAAAAGAAAAAAAAGAATATTGTGTGAAAATGCATTATCGTCCGGTCATTTCTCCCAGTGACGTAATGGTGGCAATAAAACTGACGCAAATAGGTGCCCTCTAAGTTGATCGTGTTAAATAGTTTGTCACAGGGAGCCTTTATTCAATATTTGTCGCCATTTCCGAAAATAGCTGATGCACAACCAGCTGCCCTTGGGGAAATGCATACAAATAAAAAAAAAAAACCTGTAGGGGAATGCAAGGGCATCATGGAAGATTGTGCTAAAAAAAGTACTTTAAAAATACTGTGGGGTTCGAATGAAATGCGAACGCTGGAGTGCGTGGCCGTCAACAAACGCTGTGCTTCCTGGAGGCCTGTGGAAACTGATAAAACTGTGGGATGGAGAGTAGGGCACTGCGAGGGAGTGTGTCCTACTCCAACGTGCTTGAACCTCGCCCAGCACAACCCAAGCTTCCATGCTGCACGGGGGTCGTGCTGGAAGTTTTGTTGCTATTCGCATTTCGTTTGAACACGATAGTACATCGTATTTAAAGTATTTTACTTCAAGTGTATTCGCATTTCGTTTGAACACGATAGTACATCGTATTTAAAGTATTTTACTTCAAGTGTAGTGCATTTGAACACGATAGTACATTGTATTTAAAGTATTTTACTTCAAGTGTAGTGACCAGTGTAATTACTACTTTACATGAAGTACATAATCCCCCCATTTACATTGTACTTGGCTTACTTTTTAGGTGTATTTTACCCAACACTCGTAAGCGGTGGCGCATTTCACACGCATACGGATCCCATCGGCGTATTTTACCCAACACTCGTAAGCGGTGGCGCATTTCACACGCATACGGATCCCATCGGCCCGGTGCTTCATGTGGCTCTGAAGTCGGGATCTTTCAGAAAAGGCAATGCCTCATTCATGAAGGCCTCTCTGTATTCCCCAAGACGATAAAAACAGCAGGGATGTCCTTCGGCTGTCCCACCTCCAGTGCGAGCTTCCTGCCTTCAATCATGCTTCAGTGTCTCACGAGCTTTGAGCATGTGTCCATAATCAAAGAACAACAGAGGGCAAAGAGCGCGTTCTGAAAGCCTGGCATTGGAATGAGACTCTCTGTTGTTCTCATTTTGTCGGTGACAAGATGAAGCCATGGCCCCATCCACTCTCCCGCGCACCTGTAGTCTTCAGGCAAGTTCTACCCCGGAAGTTTGATGGAAGCGGAAATTCGACACTATTCCGCCAGTTGTTTCGAATTTTCATGTGTTCTGCTGCTTGAGAACAGGATAGGGAGCATGCCTACTGATGGACCTTTTGCAGAAATATAGGTTTGGGGGTACCTAGCCCCAAACACATCGGCTACATCCTGTTGGCTCAGTGTGTTGCGGTGACCCAGAAGAGGCTTCCCCCAAACCCGCTTTTGTCCCCATTCTGGATTATGTTTCGCCCCACTTCCCTTCCTGCTCGGCCTGCCCAAAGAGAGAAAGGGTAACAGTTCCATTTTCTTACGAATCCATATTTCTGCACAAGGTTAACTGTTTATCTCTATGGGGATAAGATTCCTGTAGGCTCCGATACTTTAGCAAAACCGAAAGCCGTTACCAAGAGATGTAGACAGATCGCCCTGTCTCTTGTTCTAACGATACTCGGCCAGTCGCACAACCCGGAATCACCACGACCATCCTCCAACACCACCTCGTTGCCTTCTAGCGTGATTTGGACGCCCGTGCACGTTCCAACTTCACAGGACGCCGAAGCGCTATCGAAGGTAGGAACCTCCCGCTGTGCTCGTCCCGTCGGAAATTCATTATCGGTGCTCACCTCTGTTTTTGTCCGGATGGTACTTCATGGAAAGTCTGTAGTAGGCGGCCTTGATCTCGTTTGCCGAGGCTTGCGGTGTCACTTCGAGGATATCGTACAGCGTCCGCGACTTGCGCGAAGCAGACTGCCGACTGCTGAGAGTTGTTCCCCATGCAGTTCGCGGAATGGAAAGCAACCGAAACCGCATGATCGCCTAGCAGGCGATGGTCTTAGTTTGTCCTCTTGTGGAAGGCTAGACACAAAGAAGTTACGAGTTCGCATTGCGCTACATGTCCTGCCCAAGAGGGGACGGACGCTGTAAATTTACAACGTCCATTCATTTGAACAGAGGTCAGATGGTCGGGTCGGCTGCTACATCGGGCGACGGGGCAACCATCTTTGAACAATTTTGACTCGCCACCGCCAGGGTGCCATTAATGTCGTAGCGCATTAAGAAAATATGAGAAGAATATCTGTGAAAACCAAGGGAAGGGTAAAAATTTAGTTTGATTAAATTAGCTTGAACATTACTCAATGTAGTGCTAACTTTTAAGCGCACTCTTTAGCCAGGTGTCGCAAGCCAGCACCCGATTCTGAGGCTTTATGGATTTTTCCCTCTGCTTTCTTCAAGCCACAGCCACCACAGCCAGCCCGGCCAGCCGAAGCCAAAACACGGCGCAAGGGCCGAAACCAAACCGAACCGCTTTGGACACGGGGAGTTTGCGAATGTTACAGTGCAAATGTCCCAAATACTGCTGCCCAAATCAACCAAAGCCGGTCCGTGGTCATGATCACCGCTCCGTCTGATCCGACCGGTCGCGACATGGCCGACGACGCCACTGTGGACGACGACAACGGAATGGACGCCTGCTTCCAACTCGCCGAGGAAGCCCTCGCCGCGGGCGAGGTACCGGTCGGCTGCGTGATGTTCTACGCGGGCCAGGTGATCGCTCGCGGTCGAAACCGCGTTAACAAGACCAAGAACGCCTGTCGGCACGCGGAAATGGACTGCGTCGACCAGGTACTTGACTGGTGCGCCGAGCGTGGCCTCGACACCGGCGAAGTCTTCCGAGGCGTGTCGGTCTTCGTGACGGTGGAGCCGTGCATCATGTGCGCGGCCGCCCTGGATTCCCTGAGGGTGTCGCGTGTGGTGTTCGGCTGCCCCAACGAACGCTTCGGCGGCGTCGGATCGGTGCTCGATGTCCTGCGGGGCACTGGCGGACGGACCGTGGTCGTAGCCGGGGTACGCGCGGAGAGGGCGGTTAACTTGCTCAAGGAGTTTTACATGGGTGAGAATCCCAACGCCCCCGTGCCAAAGTCGAAAGCTAACCGCGTTTTGCAAACGCAACGCTGAGCAACGCTTGTTGTGCGCTATCTATTTCCCGGAGCTAAATCCTGTTGTTTTCTCACTTTTCCTACCAAGAAATCATTTCTTGCTCAAGTGGGTGGTTTCTGCATTTGCAGCTGCAGGGTTGACCAGCATTTGTATGCAGGTGAAAATGTGTCCGTGACACAAATATCAACAAGGACATGTAATCTCAAATAAAAACATGCCACAGTTTGGTAAAGAAGAGTGGCTTGCACCTTTACTCCATACGTGTGTGTGGGGAAGGGTTTCATCATTCAGTTAACACGCACTCCACTGCCAGTGTTCTTTCCTGTCACTGCAAAAACAAAACTACCCTATCTTTTTTTTTTTTTTTTTCAGAACAAGCAGAACATTAAGGTGAGACGTTGTCCTGTCTATTTTCTGTCCCTTCCACGCTTTGATGTTTCTTCTCTATTCCAGTTTCGGGGTAATTCAACATGGCTAATATTCACCAGCTCACCTGCACCCTTGCGATTTTGTCTATAAGCAGAACATGTTTGTTGAAAATACCAAGCACGATTAGGGAAAGGACTTCCCTATGAATCGGAACATTATAAAAATGTCGAGCAAGGGGTGGCCATTGCAGCTCTTTCAGCATACCTAAAAAAGACCTGTCCTCACCAAGTCAAACAAAGCTTTGAAACACAAAATTCTAGGCCTCACAAAGCCGGGTATCCATGACCATTACTGGCCTCCACATGTGAAAAAATTGCCACACCATCAAGAGGACAAATGATTGTAATGACCACAAAATAAAGAAATAAGTTGTTATCAAAAAAAAAGAAATAATGAAATACATTACTCGTTACCAATAAAAAGTAACTCAAGTTACTTTGGCATGGTATGCATGAGCACCACACCTCAAGAAAGATGTCCACACAGAAACAACATAATTACCTTATCCTTATACGGTTTCACCGAAATACGGGAAAAAATGCAAAAGAATATGCAAACTAAAAAATTCACATGGTTTGATGCCTAAAACTACAAAAAAAAAATTTAAAAGTAATTTTTTTATGTCCAGGGAAGAATATAACGGGTAACGTAACCATGTTACCCGTTACTGCTTTGAAAAATGTAATGAGTATGTTGCATGTTACAAAAAAAAAAGTAATGCATTACCGGTAACACCATTACTTGTGATGCGTTGCCACCAACACTGCCCATAGATTAAAAAAAATTGCAAGCCGGCAAAATGCGCAAGTTGTGTGCTCAGCACCCAATGAAACATACTCCATGTGCCGCAAGGTCAACCAGGCGCAGACCAACAAGAAAGATCAGTGTGACACTAGACACAAAACAAACTATGTTCCGTGCAAAAAGGAAGTAATTTACAATGTGCCACCAACACGTGGGTGCCGCTACATTGGACAAATGGGACGTTGTATAAACGATCGAGCACGAGAACATGCAGCCAACCTTAAAAACCAGACGGCAACAGTGCACCTAGCAGCCCATTGTCGATCGTGTAAATGCAAGGCAAACCCCGGGCAAGTTCGCATCCTCAGACACCACAAAAACCAGCCTGCATGGGAGATGTTGAAGGCCCTCGCTACAGAAGGAAAAGAAGATAATTGCTTGAGTTTCCCTTCAATCGCCCCGCAGCAGGGCACCAATCCTCTTGCTCAGTAGATGTAGGAGGAAGACACAACAAAAGGATTAATGAAGAAAAAGCGGAAAGGAACATTAGTAGAAGAGGAGGATTTAATAAAATAGTTGGTAGTACAACGGTCGGTCGTCTTTTCTTACCTCCGTCCTTCCTTCCTATGTTCAGCTGGTCCCACCCCAAAAGAATAATCAGCTAGATGAGCTCATTCCCGTTGTAAAGCCGTATCGCCTAGGCCTCTTTGACATTGTACGTACAGCCCAGTATCCTGCATTTTCAAACAGTAATTATTGCCGATTCCAAACGCACTGCTGCAAGCACCAAAGTAGCGACACCCGCAAGATGATCGGGAAGCGAAGTGCCTATAATCTGAGCACAGCTCAGTTAGTGGCACAATACAGTGATGTCTCATTGATATGGACGCCCCCGTTCCGCCCAAAAATCATCCATATTAATGAGACAAAAATGCATGTACTTTCCCAATTTGTCCCCGAAAATGGTGTGCACATGGCGGGGCATCCATATTAAAAGGGTGAATATTAACGAGACATGACTGTACTACGCTTCAACTATTTTGCACTACGTCGCCAAGGCTGGCACAGCTCCCGCAGCGCTCTGGCTTTTGGCATCTCCTTCATGCGAGAGTGTGTACGAACGAGACGCCAGAGGAAGCCATGTGCTCTTGCACATCCCGCCATGGCAGAACAAGCGTTGAAAACAAAACAATAAAATTGTTTAATAGCGATCTCTCGTGACAAGTGTGGCTCAAGTCGTTCGGGAGTATGAAAGTCGACTGCGGAAGAGCGGTAACTCACGCACGTGCCCGACCCCTGCCGAAAAATTCCTCGATTAATTTATCACAGGCTTGGCCCGGTGTGATGCTTTCCCTCACGACGGCATCCTCGAGCGCCGCGGTGCAGGCGGCCACGTCGGGATCGGTGCGGAAGCGGCGTTCCATCTCTGCGTTGACGTAGGTCCACAGCCACCTGACCCGCTGGTGTCTCCTGCGTTCCTCCAACTCGCCGCTGGCACCCAACGCCTCTTTGTATTCCCTCACCGTGTCCCAGAGTTCCGCAATGCCCAGCTTGGACTTGGCCGACAGTTGCATCACCTGGAGCGGAAAGCGTCGCTTCTAAAAAATCGTCCTAGGCGCCGTCTCATGTTTCTTTCCCGAAGTATGGCAGTTAGGCTCCAGAAGGAGCGTGCACTCGTCGAAGACGCGGAGGGAGTGCCGACTGGACGAATGGTCAAATCTTTCGAACCGGGTGGCGGCTTGCACCGTCTAGCCAGCATTTTTAATGCCGACGGTTAGCCCTACCGTAAAATAACGAGCATCCGCCTGTTCCACAAGAAGGGCCCACCTTGCAATATTGTAACGTTCGGAACGTACACAAAGGATGTACAGTGATGTCTCGTTAATATAGACACCTCCGTTCCCCCCAAAAATTGTCCATGATGTGAGTTGTCCATTAAAACGAGATCGAAATGCATGCATTTCCCCACTTTGTCCCCAAAAATGGTGTCCATATAACGGTGTCCATATAAACGAGACATGACCGTATCTTTATCATTCCCCAGTTCTATACGATCATCTCATCATCTCCAAGTTTTGAGCGGGCTCTCGCTTCGGCTTTTACGGCACCTAATATACGAAATATAAAGGGTAAAAGGCTGGTTTCCACATTTCTGTCCAAGTATGACCGACCACATTCAAACTGCTTGCGACCATCCACGACGAGAGAGCACACTAACGCCATCTATCGGCAAGCCCTGTAACATTTCTGATGGCGTATAACTACTCAAACGGATGGTGTATAACTACTCGAACGGAAAAGTTTTGAGGCTACCCCACAAAGGGCCCCAGTGAGAGATCTCCCTGTGAGCAGTCGCGAGTGCTGGCAATGTGGTCGGCCACACTCTGCAATCAAGCGCCAGTCCTGTTGTACGTGTGCCTTCTTTGTTGTCCTTGTCAAGTTTGCGCTATTTTAATCATGTCTAGTAAGAACCAACTAGCCCAAACAAAAGTCGTTTTACAAACATGCGAACCGGCCTTCCGGCTTTTAATCGTAAGGTCGCTAATGACGAGCAGTATTACTGGCCGACCGGCTGCAGTGCACGGCAAGAATCTCGTGACAACCCCCCAAAACTACCGCTATGAGAGCGAGTACGCGACTGAATTGTCCTCGAGTAACTGTACAAGTCCTTCTCTCAACCACTCCGCTTTGGTCAATGGGAAGGAGAGGGGTCATGGCCGACCGCCCGGACATACCTTGGGCCTCCAGAGGCGGCTGCGAGGCCTCATGAACTTGAGAGCGCTCACGTACTCGGCGGCCATGCGCCTGCACTCCGGCAGGTGGTCTCCGTCCGCTTTGGTGACTCCGATGAGGTCGGCCATCTCCACGATGCCCCGCTTGACCCCCTGTAGTTCGTCTCCGCCCCCAGGAGGGATGAGCAGCAGGAAGAGGTCCACCATGTCTGCCACTATGTATTCGCTCTGTCCGACGCCTGACAAATCGAGTCGGTCACATTAGAGGAGTTGGACAGAGGTCGCTCGTATAGTGTCGACTACGACTGGTGGAACCCTGAAATCAATCCCCACCCCCTGTCAGTTTCAATAAGGAAAAGCATTGTACCGGCACATATATACTTCTGCGCGGTGCACACTTAATGCCCCAGATAGCAGTGGTACTGCACTGGCTGAATTTCTCGTCAACAGCGTATCACAACAGATGCCCACTGAAGTTGACTGACTTTCCACTGTCTAAGCGTACAAACGGAAACATTCTTTGGCTAGGTGTTTGGCATTTCGTGAAGCCAGGATAAAAGCGTGGCTGCGAAGCTCGACACTGATTGATTGACGTGTAGGAGAGGAAAAGAGAGGTGCTTGACGCTGATTGATTAACGTGGAGAGGTCGTGCGACCACGCTGAAAGTGAGGAGAAGTAGGTGAGATGAGAGAGGAGGAGTGGGTTAAAAGGTTTTGGAGGATCATCAGGTTTATCATTTCGAGTGTATTCATGGCACACGTTAAATTATCCGATGAACAGCGCCGTGAACGTAGGCGTCCGGCCAAACAGGCTAGACGTGCCCTAATTGATAAAGTAAACATTTGTGATGCTAGAATGTTTCACATATGCAACACAATTGCCTAGCAATTCGCCATATTTAGACAGTGGTTCTAACTGCAGTCAATGGCAAGGTGAGATCAGCCAGGACAGAGCTCCAGTTGCCCTGCCTCCAGCTTCCTACCTTCAACGACACTTCGGTTGTGTAACTTGAGTGTGCGCGTGCAGCCAAAGCATGGCAAAAGGCAACAAGTGCTGATGCCTGCTCGAAAAGAGTTAAGTTGATGTAGGAAGGTAAGAGTCATGGCAGGCACGTAGAGCTCTGATAGCAGGGAGAAACCACCCCCCCCCCCCCACCATCCGAAGGCCGTAAAAAAGTACACCTCTTCGCCCTAACTCTGCCGTAGACCAGCGAGCGGCGCTCGTCTGTCGCGTTTGTTCACCAATTGTCTTCGTCTTTTGCACACGTTTCTAACAAGAATGTCTCCGACTCTTCCGGGGCACAAAGGTATGACGACGGGAAGAAGGCAATTTCGAAGGTCCCTTACCGACGGTTTCCACGAGGATGACGTCATAGCCCGCACACTCGCAGAGCTGGACGGTGTCCCCGGTAGTCCGGGTGACGCCGCCCGTGTGGCCCCGATTGGGCGAGGGCCGGATGTACGCGCAGGGGTCGCGTGTGAGTTCCGGCATGCGCGTCTTGTCCCCCAGCAGAGACCCTGAACCGAAGGAACAGACGGACGGTAGTGAGAACGTACCTCACCCACCCGTAAAGGCTGGTTCGCACTTTTGTCTGAGTGCGTTCGAATGCGTTGCAACCGCTCGTGACCGCTCACGACGAGAGAACTATGCAGGCAACATCTGTCGGTATGCCCCGGGAACGCTTCCCATTTGTGTATAACTATACACCGTTCGCCCCTCAGCCGAGACCGCGGTGGAAGCTACGTCCTCGTTGGACCGGTCGTACGGTTCTTTTTCGCTGCGTCGTCACGCTCCTGCCCATACTCACGTGCAGAGAGCCGGGACAGTGTAAAGGGGAGGTGGCTGACCGGTCCGGCAAGCGCATAGCTACCACTGCAATCTCGGCTTAAAGGGGCCGTGCAACAATGTTTGGACTTTGGTTGAATATTTGTGGTAGTTATTCCTTGTCATGTACAGATTAAAGAACTGAAAAAAAATTTTGCCTAAGTGCGTTAGTACTTTCGAAAAGAAAGAAAAAAATTGACGTTTTGGGCGCCTCCAAACCACCCTCAACTCTTGCACCTTCTTCTGAGTCACGTGAGCAGTGAAGCGCAATGGGGATAGAGAGTATCCAGTTGGGATCTCTTTCAGAGCCTTCAGCACGCGTGGCCTCTGCTTGCGATTCACATGGCGACCTTGAAGGTTGGTCTGAGACTCAGCGATGTGGAGAGGGGGGGGGAGGGGGGAGCAAAGAGCTTGCCTTTTTGTAAGCAAGTTCGACTGACATAGTAGCCCAATGAGGTGAGGCTCAAGGGAGGAATAGTTTCTTTCACCTCGAGCAGATAACGCCACTAAAACTGAATATAGCATAGATTTGTCGATGACATGAGGTTTTCGACATATTTACTCATGTTGGAATGACAATATTTATGAAATATGCCATTAGATTGAGCACTGTGTTATGCCTTAGTTCCCATGGCCGCCACCGCGCGGCTGCGAATCACAAAATATTCCCGTTATTTTCTTTGCTATTATTCAACGGAATCGCGATACTGTAAACAACTTATTTTTCGCGGGCTCAACATTTCGCGATTTAGGTCAAAGCTGAAGCTCTGGAACAATTCGCGGGTTCTAATTTGTGCGAAGCGGTGGGACCTCAATATAGATTAGGGATGCCGCAAACTTTTTTCGAATCAAAGTTTCGATGATCGAATCAAGCGTTTTGAAAGGTTCAAAAAATTTCTAATTTTCAAACTTTCCATATCAAGAAATTCGACGGAAGTTGAATTTTTGAACTTGTTAAACTAAGAAGTTCAACGCTTTTCGAAATTTCGAACTTATTACGCTGCAAAATTCAATGCTTCTCGAACTTTTGAACTTGATAGACTAAAAAATTCGATGATTTTGGAACTTTCAAATTTCTTGCACTAAAAAGTTTGAAGCTTTTCGAACTTTCCAACTTCCTACGCTAAGAAATTCGATAATTTTCGAACTTCCGAACTTATTAATCTAAAGAATTCGAAAATTGTCGAACTTCCGATTCCTGAAAAGTCAAAAGTTCGACGAACTTCGAATTTTTAGGGTAAAAGTTCGAAGTTCGTCGAACTTCGAAAGACGGGCGGGCGGTTTCATTTCGATTTAAGCAGTGAGGTACATTCGTAATTTTTTTTTCTCACATTTTTACATGTGGTGCCGCATTCTTTGTGAAAGACAATGCCGTTTATTTCAATCATCTGGCATGCTTGGTTTTAAAGAAATAGTAGATTCCCGAAGGAGCGAGGAAGGACGACGGGTTTTTGACAATTGTCGTTTGTGCCATATTTGAAGCGCGCTATAGCCGAAGCTATTTATGGTAGAGATGTTAAACTTTTTTTAAGAATGATCTATGTATAGCCTAGGTAAGTGTTGTCTTAAGATATGATTATTGTTGTTCAAGACGAGTTTCGAAAAAATATCCAAACATGTACAGTAGACTCTCATTAATTCAAACTCCAGGAAGTCACAGATTTTAGTTTGAATTACCAGAAGTCTGAATTATCATAAATTCATCTAAATATGATACTAGACAACATTATGATTTGTTACATGGATGATTTGTTACATACAAAGCAGAGTTTTGCCAGTTTCCTCTACATAGGCCTAATTGTAAGCAAGTACAGGCATAACACATTGGTGAAAGAACTGTGACGTTAAGTTTATTCATCCGGCAAAAAAGTTGTCAATTGTGGACTGTTTAGTCAGTACATGAGATCCCAAAACAAAATTTTTATTTATTTATTTCACAATACTGCCAGCCCTGTTAAGGGCCAAAGCAGGAGTGGATAATACAAAAACAAAGAATGTACACTGCGTTCTGTACATCGCACACGTACACACACACAAAAAAAAAAAAAAGCCGGTGTTACAAATGCGCTTACAGAGGCGTGCCAGAAACACACATATATATATATATATATTTTTTTTTTTTTTTTTTATTCAAACAACACACGTAGAGCATTCTCGAAATCGGAAATCGACTCGAGAGCAACAACAGCACCTGGAAGTTTATTCCAAGAATCTATAGCCTGCACAAAAAATGATTGTTTAAATATATTTATACGGGCGTGAATGGGTTCGAGCACTTTCGGGTGATGTAAGCGCTCTGAACGGTGGCTTTTGGGTGTTACATATTTAGAGCTGTCGATTTTGAGAAGGTGATTATAAATTTGAAAAAATAATTTCAGGCGTTGACATATTCTCCTTTTTTTCAAGGGCTGCATGTCTGCCTGCTTTTTTAGCTCCGTCACAGACGTCGTAGCCCTGAAATCAGAAAATATCGTACGCACCGCAAGTGACTGAACCTTTTCAAGCTCATTAGAAAGCGTGGCCTGCCAAGGATCCCACACCTCGGAAGCATACTCCAGTGTTGGTCTTACAAGAGCTTTGTAGGCAACAAGCTTAACCGAGGGAGGTGTCCTATACAACTTCCTTCGTAAATACCAAAGTTTTTTAGTTGCCTTTTTTGCTACATAATCCACATGTTTGTTCCATTTCAAATCGCTAGTAATAACCACACCCAAGTATTTATAGCTGTCAACTTTAGTAAGCCTGACATAATCAAGCTCGTAGTCAAAGTAAAATATATTTTTTTTATTCGTGAAGTGCATGTATTGCGTTTTCTGGGTGTTTATTTTCATATTCTTTTCACTACACCATGACGAGATGCGATATAAAATATCATTTACTTCTATCTGATCGTTTACTGACGAAATGGGAGCATATATAATACAATCATCGGCAAACATTCTTACTTTCACGCGCCCGTTACTACAGATAGAAAACACACTATTAACATATATTAAGAAAAGCAAGGGACCCAACACGGAGCCCTGTGGAACCCCTGAGTACACGTCCAACAATTCCGAAAAAGTGCCATTTACATCGACGAACTGCCGGCGATTTCTGAGATATGCGCTAATCCATCTTATAATCAATGAAGGAACACCGTAGTCAATTAAAACATTAATTAGTTTAAAATGTGGAACTCGATCGAACGCTTTAGACCGATCTATAAAAATGGCATCCACTTGCAGGCGATTATTAACATAACCAGAAATCTCATGATAGCATTCCAGTAGTTGGGTCGTTGTTGAATACCCTTTCCGAAAACCATGCTGATTGGAACTTAGGATGCCCTTATCCTCCATAAAAGAAACTAGCTGTTTATTCACAATGTGCTCTAGTAGCTTACATGACGTACAGGTCAAAGAAATGGGGCGATAATTAATTAATTATCAACTGAATCACCCTTCCCACTCTTTTTCACGGGCACAACTCTTGCCAATAACCAATCGTCCGGTAAAACAGAGTCTCGGAGTGAAATGAAGAATATAAATGTTAAGTATTTCGCAACCCATTCAGCGTATCTTCTTAGAAATTCATTTGGTACAGTATCTGGTCCTGGCGATTTCCTAGTATTAATTGATAACAATAAGGATACGATACCTTGTTCCGATACAAAACCACTCACATCAGAGCCTTCATCGTTGGGATGCTGCTAAATTCAGTTGAATCTATTGTAAACACAGACTGAAAATATTGATTGAATTGAGACGACATTATGGCCCTGTCGTGCACAACGTTGTTATTAACACGTAACTGACTTATCTTAGTTTGTGACGGAGTAAGATAACGCCAAAACTTTTCAGGGGAGGATGAAATGAATTCTGATAATGACTTTGTAAAATAGGTTTCCTTGGCTATCTTTATCAATGTTTTTAACTTGTCACTCTGCTCACAGATAGCAGGAGAATGATGCTTTCGAGGCCTCTTTACTTTACGTTTTGCCTGCAAAATTTCTCTTGTAATCCATGGATTGTGGCGTTTTGTCGTTTTAGTTTTCTTCGGTATAAAGTTTAAGATGCAGTGCTCAGTAATACTTTTAAAATTCAACCACATTTCATTTACACCACTGTGATCTTCAAACCCATCTAGATGCTCTTCTAGATAATCAATAACAGACTCGTCATTAGCCCTTTTTTTTTTTTTTTAATACCAGCCAATGCAAGTAGCTCTTTACGGGACTCTTCCTTTGCAGACAGAAACTTCCGGAGCTGAGCGATGTGCTCAAAGGCCTCTGCAGCTGTGACAGTTGGTAGTGGGTCATCCCTTTCTTCATCATCATCTTCACTCTCACTGCTGCACTCTGCTGGCATTACTTCCTTATGTCCTCTAATGAGTCATCACGACAAACACACACATCATCGTCAAGACTAGCATATTCCGCCAGCTCGGCGTTCACATTATGTGCTTCAAGACCAGAAAGCATGATGCCAGTGAGCTGTTGCTCATCCTCGATGTCGTCCTGGTCATCATTGATAGTCTTGAAGCACATAATGTGAATGCCGTTTTCTGCTAATGTGTGCCTGCTTGAGCCTCGTTGAGTGCGCTTCTTTCCGAGCACCGGTGCACTGCGGAGAAGCAACACTCGCGAAAAGAAGCTCCGCGGGTATTGCTTCTCTGCGGTGCACCGGTGCTCGGACAGAAGCACACTCAACGGGGCAAAACAAAAAAGTATGAATTAAGCGAAGATGCCATTCGAATTAAGCGGCTTATAAATACATTAAAAACATAGCGGGACAACCAAAATTTTCAGATCTGTTTGAATTAACCGGAAGTACGAAATATCCAAGTTTGAATTATCGCGAGACTAGTGTACCTACGGGCGATTATGCCCTAAATTTGGTAATTATTTTCGTCGAAATTGTTTGAGGTATTACATTTAAATTAACACCACAGACAGTACATATCATTACTATCTGCAGAATACAAATTAATGTATATTTTGTTCGTTTCACGTTGAGGAATAAATTAACTCAGGGAAAAAGATTTCTAATATTGTTCAAATTCGGCCCCCCCCCCCCCCCCCCACGTTATAAAAAACAAAACAAAAAAAAACATTTTTATTATTATTTTTCTTTTTCATTTCACCTTTTTGGGACGTGTTTCATTTAGCCTGTACACATTTTGGTAGGAGAAATTTGTTTCATAGTTTTGGGCCTCTGAATATGCAAGAATACCGCACTTCTGGCGGATTCTTGATAGTTTTTTTTTCAGCTTTTTATTTTTTGTATCTATTGTTATGTTTATTTATTTATTATTTCTTACCAATGGCACAGTTATTTAGGTTGAAAAGACATAGCTTTGAACTTCGGAACCACTAAGCATGTGACGAGTAGTGCCTTCTGACAACGAGTTTCTAACAATGACCATCTACGCAATCTTTTATGCAGTGAAGAGCGACAGTAGCCATAGATATGCATAAATAATTTCAGATAAAAATAAGCTCGACCATGCCCTCTTTCCCCATATTGTTTTCTTTAACAGTCCGAAATATCTGGGGGGGTGAAGAGACTGGCGCCACCCCCTTCCCCCCCCCCCCCCCCCCCCTTTTTTCCTAATCCGACGCTGCTGGTATGATGAACGCTCCTCGACCTCAAGTTGTGTCGGCTTCTGTGCTTTTTGTTCAGCGTTTCTTCCGTCTCCGAAAATAAACCTCCAAAACAATTACAAACTAAAAAAATGTCAAGGTGCAGGCGAGCTGGTGTCTGTTGATCATGATGCAAAATCCCGAGACTGGGAATCAAATTCAAAAGAAATAGTGTAAGAAGAAAGAAAAAAGGGGACAGGACAAAGTTTCAAACTCAGTTAAGTTGAGTTTGAGACGTTATTCCTGAGCTGAGTTTTCAGCTGAGTTGAGTTTGAGACGTTGTCCTGTCCCCTTTTTTCTGTCTTCTTACACTTTTTCTTTCAAATTTCATTCCCAGTCTCAGGATTTTGCATCATGTACAAACTAAACTTACTATATGCCAGCGTCACTCGGGCGGCGTTCGAGCGGATTACTACCAGCGTGCAAGGGGGTGGGGAGGCAGTGTGCCAGATCGCTTCAAGGTTTTTCTGGGCCTCAGTGACAATAACCACCTGCCTGCCCCTGGCCGTATCGAACTGGATGAGTACCGTTAAACAGTGCGTTCGTGTGATCACTACTGCGTGATTCACGTTAAAGACCCCCCCCGGGCTGGCGGCCACAATTACTGATCTGCACACGTCACTCTGCACTGGCAAATAATCCAGCACATCCAGGACACTCGTCGTCTCATTTAATTGCCTGACCAACTTCGCGCAATCTGAATATCACACCCGAAAATTTCTAAACCTGATTTCATGAAAACCAGTGAGGCGTGAAAACGTTATTTGAAACTGAAACTGTGGCAGAACATGAAAACCGGACTTCGAACTTTGCACACTTGAACTTTAAACAAATTCAAAACCTAAGTTGTTGTTTTTTTTCAAATTTAGCACTAAAAGAGAATCGAAACCTTCAAACTTTTCGAACTTTATGTAGAAAGAAATTCGAAATCTTCGAATTTATCGAACTTCATGTCTATAAGAATTCGAAACGTTCAAATTTTTCGAATTTCAGATCCAAAGAAATTTTAAACATTCGAATCTCTCGAATTTTAAGCTAGGAAAGTTTGAAATCTTCGAATTTCTCGAACCTCAAGTAAAGAATATTCGAAATAATCGAACCCGAACTTTTAGAAACCGTGAAAGCTTCAAACTTTTTGAATTCGAAACTTCACGATTTCTGAAAGTTGTGAATTTTTCGAATTCGAATCTCCGTACGGTCGAAAATATTGAAACCTTTCGAATTCGAACACCAGTTCGGTTCGAAAATACTGAAATCTTTCGAAATCGAACCCAGGGTGGTTCGCGACATCCCTAATATAGAATTCGAAACGTTCATATTTTTCGAATTTCAGATCCAAAGAAATTTGAAACATTCAAATTTCTCGAATTTTAAGTTAGGAAAGTTTGAAATCTTCGAATTTCTCGAACCTCAAGTAAAAAAATATTCGAAATAATCGAACCCAAACTTTTAGAAACCGTGAAAGCTTCAAACTTTTCGAATTCGAAACTTCACGATTTCTGAAAGTTGTGAATTTTTCGAATTTGAGTCTCCGTACGGTCGAAAATATCGAAACGTTTCGAATTCGAACATCAGTTCGGTTAGAAAATATTGAAATCTTTCGAAATCGAACCTAGGGTGGTTCGCGACATCCCTAATATAGAATTCGAAACGTTCAAATTTTTCGAATTTCAGATCTAAAGAAATTTGAAACATTCAAATTTCTCAAATTTTAAGTTAGGAAAATTCGAAATTTTCGAATTTCTCGAACCTCAAGTAAAAAAAATATTCGAAATAACCGAACCCGAACTTTTAGAAACCGTGAAAGCTTCAAACTTTTCGAATTCGAAACTTCACGATTTCTGAAAGTTGTGAATTTTTCGAATTCGAATTTCCGTACGGTCGAAAATATTGAAACCTTTCGAATTCGAACACCAGTTCGGTTCGAAAATATTGAAATCTTTCGAAATCGAACCTATGGTGGTTCGCGACATCCCTAATATAGATTCTAATGTGTCTACAGTTTACCGGGCTTGTTTCTGGGACCTATATTTTGCAAACTGTAGGCGATTCGCGAAATTCATAAAAATTAGGTCTTCGCAAAAATTAAGTTGTTTACAGTATTCCAAAAGAATGAGGCAGTTTCTCCGTTCCTTTTAGTAAGGTAAACAATGTAAAAATTTAAAACTGTGAATTCTTTCGAAGTTAATATTGTTGCATCGCCCCTTTAAGGGTGAATGGAATGTAGATTGATGGTTTTGCAGCATCTGCAAGATCAAATCTATACACTACCTGTGAGAAATGATAGCCTATAACTAGAGTTACGGGTTTTCGGATAAATCCGGAAAAGTAAAAAAAAAACACTCGTTGGTAAAAATTTTTTTAGTTTGGATTCATTCGAAAAACTTTAAATTTCGAGGTCACGACGGCAAAACAAAAAGCAAGAAAGATGGTGTTTTATGTATAAATTTTAAAAAGGGCATATGGTCAGTGGTCCCAATAAAAGGTCACTCCAGTTTTCTTTGAAATCTCGAACTAGTAAATTTTGAAAATTGGTAACGAAGTGAAATTAAACTCTGAATTTTAGAGAATTGGGAATTTAGCAAAAAATAAAGTCCAATAAAGCTAGAATTTTCAGCAAAAAAGAAACTCGAAAACACCCTCCAAATTTTATGGGAAATAAACTCTGAATGCACAGAATCCAACCTATAACTAAGTTTTCTCTTTTTTTATATATAAATTGTGTTTTTTGGTGTTAATTTTCGCTGTTGGACATTATATCTGCATTTATATCAGGGCTCACGTAGACCAATAAAAGCAGAATATGGGCATGCGATTTCTCAGTTTTCAGGGAAAATAGGCATGACCCAAACACTCGTAAGACGTCGAGGTATCAATAAGATTAAGTAACGAAATAAGTAGAGTGATTCCCCCCCCCCCCCCCCCCAAAGAAAAGCAACCTCGCGAACAGTTGTTGCCAGGTTGTGTTAATGAACTGGTTTGTATTGCTCAACCCTTGATAAGGAATGGATACCAATAAACTGTTTTTAAGGATATACCTCCAAATACGTTCCATTTGGCCTTGCGATGGACCAAGGCAACACTACAAGCTGTACCAACCAATTCAGCATTGAAAGCGCAGCATGTGACTCCACGCTTTGCATGTCACTGCACACCTCCAGAAGGCCACGTGGCTCATGCATATGGCATCAAACTCGGTCCAATGGTTTGTAGCATTCGCTGCGGTCTATCGTACGGTGAAACGGAATACAATCTAGCAGCAGCCAACAGTGATGCATTAGTAATGCCTCGAGAGAAACTCCCACCCAACACATTCCAAAACATCCAGCAGTGGCAATCTATTTCAAAGTGCTGCTTGGAAAAAAAAAAATAAAACACCTTTGAAGGTATTAGGTTTCCTGCTATGGCATTTTGTGTGTTTATAGAATGCGGTACTAGCGACGCTGGTAAGTCACCTCCGGTTGTGGCCGAGGAAGGGTCCACCGTCAGCACGGCAACCCTGTGTCCAGAAGCGGTGAGGAACTTGCCAAAGGTCTCGATGAAGGTCGACTTGCCGGCACCCGGGGGACCCGTCAGGCCTGGCGAAGAAGACTAGTCATTGGAGAAGCAAACAAAAAACGCCGGGATGATCCGTACAACACCGACAGACAGACACTTTCACCTCCATCAAAAAAACAAGATCAATCACTACTGGCAACTTCTGCAAACTCGACAGAACCCAGGGGCTATACTCCGCCTCACGTAAGGTCCAACTGCAGCCAAAGCTGCGATCCGACGGAGCAGGTCGAGCAGCGTCAAAGGTGCGTCGCCACAGCACTCGTCATCTTTGTGCGTTCGTGCACTGTGAAATCGCAGTAATCCTATGCTCTTTTGTGCGCCTGACCGGTTTGGCCGTTGATAGCAGATGCACAAAGACCACAGGTGCCACGACCATGTACCTCTGACGCTGCTCGGCCGGCTTTGTCAAAGTCGGAACATAGCACTAACTGCAGTCGTATTTATCATTTATTGACAAAGTACCTACACCACCCTGTAGGCATTATTGTAGCAGATTTCTTTTAAAATACACTGCGTTAAGTGAGAAAAGAGTCTGTCGTTATTGTCAACCGGCACAATCTCTTCCGGAAGATTGTTCCACTCAATCGCGGTTTAAACGAAGAATGAATTAGCGAAACTGTTGGTTCTATAACTGGGTACAGCAACCTTTCTTAAAATGATTGCAACAGGAGGAGACATAGGATGGCTCCAAAAGATGGGCTGCCCTATAGGTCCTCATCTTGTTACGAAAAATGCGATGCGTGTTCCGGCCTTGTCAATCCTTGTTTTGTTGCCAAATACAAGACATGTATTTCACATTTTGAAGTACACGTGCGAGACAGAGTATAGAACAGAAAGCTATGGCGGCAGGTTTGCCCACCAGCTTTCTCGAGCGCCTGCTGGTCCAAAGGCAAAGCCGTGAAAGTAGGCTAAAAAAACTTGCTATGAAAATCATCAGGAGTCTGTGTCAGGTTAGGATTAGCAGAACAAGCTTCTCCCAATGCCCACCACTATTTCCACTTTAGCAGAGTGGAGAGAAAGAAACCACCAACTATGGCTAGCAGAGAGCTTTGTGCGAGCGACTTGTCCTGCTTTCCTTAACCTGCAACAGACCATAGTATTTGCTTTAGTGGTATCTTCGCTTGAACATCTTGGAAGTGAGTAACTGGTCAATGACATAATGCTAGACTGTGCACACTGTATCAAAGAGGCTCCGGAGGAGCAGCCACCATTTTATCAAGACCTGGCTTCTTTGAAACCTCATCAGGGCCTGGTGAAGGCCCTGATGAGGTTTCAAAGCAAAGTGTGCCCCAAGGAGTTCCATTCCAAGTTATTTCTACAAGCTCTTGCTATCTCCATGCTTTGCTTATCTTACTTCTTGTAGGTACCCACATATTTTTATTGCGGTGTTACCTGCTCTGTAGTAACAGAATCGACTAGGGGATGCTATCCTCGTCGCCGAAAATGCCGTAGCAGATGATACAAAGGGAGACTATCCAGAAATGACTTCCTAGTTATTAGCAGACAAAACTCCTGCAAATTAGCCCCAAACCTATTCTATTTATGCTTTCCTCGTTGACGTTTATTGCAACCAAAATAATGAAATAATTAAGGTGATAGATACCCATTCTAAAACTTCCCAGCTGGTTGTCAGTGCTCCTGCGACGTTTGTTCTCCTGAAGCACCAGTTGCAGAAGTTCTTGGGCCTCCAGTCGGTTATGTTCGGCGGTAGACTCTATTAGCGTAATAGACTGAGCTAAGGACGCTCTATCGCCGGAGACTAGGCCATCAAATAGCCTCCGAGCACGCGCAGGATCGTAAGATTTGATTGCTACAGAAACTTTGCTGGTTTGGGTTCGATGTGGCTGGACAAGCCACCCTCGACATGTCCGCGCTATGACATTCAAAGTTATTAGTCGATTAAGCATGATTACTTGGAACTATATATCTTCGTAACCCTAGTTACAGTATTTTTAATGTCATTACAACATTGTGAGTAGCTAAACACTACGAAAACTGCCAAAAGAACTTCTGCTCACGTCTGCTACTGTTTTGTTCTTGTTTTCCCCCAAAGTAGTTGTTAGTGATGTCGATGTGGTTTCGAGATGAGACGTTCAAACTTTGACATGCGTTTTTACTTAAGTCGCAATTTTAACGTTAGTTCTACCATAAATAAGCGTTTACAATATTTAAATTTTTTTTGTATATTTTGGAGCCAATATTTTAACCTCCAGAAAATGCCGTTCGCGTGAAGTACAGGTACCTGCCTGCCCATGTGGATGTAAAAATAATTTAGTGTAAATCGTTTTGACCTTATTTTATTCTTAGAACAATTATTTACGCGTATTTCTGACTTAATAAAATTAAAAACAGAACAAGAAAAATTTTAGTAAGCCTAGTTAGTCCTCACAATGCGCCATCCCTCTGCGGACTTTTTCCCTCGAAGAAGGCTTAAGTAACATGGCGTTCTGAGGCGAAGCGTGCTTCGCATCAGAGAAAATCAAATTAGCGGAGAATTAAAAATTGTCTGCTCTTTGGACCTATTTAATAATTGCGAACGAACAAGCACTACTCGCAACACCGGAGGCTTCAATGACCCAAACATAGGTGAGTACTGTAGGCCTAAATTTAGGCCAAAGTAATTTGTAAGCCTAAAACTTGCTGCGTTCCATCTTGGTTTCTCAGTCGCCATTTTGAACGGCAACCATCGTCCGTTGTCCGACGTCGTGCGTAGTTCTACCGATCGTAACTGCTAATTTGACCCTTCTTACTTAACTGTGATGTGTTAATTTCGCGTAAATGGACGTTTCTAACGCAAGCCGAGCGTCGTTCGTATCACTTCTGTCGGATTGGGCCGTACTTTGAGCTGAAGATGGTCGGGTCTTTGTAGTCGATTGCCCGACCCGTGAAAAAAAAAAAGTAAAACAAAAAAAACTGGCGTCTCTCGTTTGATTGGAATTTTTTCTTTGTTTGAGCACTGCGGCGCGGAGATGCTCATGGGGGACCAGCGGTGATTAACGTCTTTGTTCACATTCCAACGCCCTCCTTTTCGCTTTCGCTATGTTGCCTTTTTTTCTAGTCTGAGGTCACCGAACCAGCAACAATTTAGACCAATTTTATACCTTTTTGTTCTTTCATCTGTCTACGGTGGGCCGGTATTCGATGTCTACAGCTTAATGCTAGCGAGATTTGAGAAATATTGCTTTATAACCTGGGTTAGGGGCATCATTCACGTAACCAACGTCTCCGGCGTGCTGCTTTTGACGCGAGCGACCAACGCCGTACCGTGTGATGCGCGTCAGTGGAGAAATTGAAAAATGAAAAATAGACAAAAAGCAAAAAAGATCGTGACAGAAAAACGCCGGCGCGTACTGCGTGGAAAGTCGCTTCTACTGATGTGCGCCGACGGAGCATCGAGAAAAACTGCGGAGAGCGTGCGACACCACGCCGACCACGCATCATGATTTTGATAGCCTGGGTGTCGAAAAGATTGAAAGGGACCCTCCGTGGAGCAAGCTTCGACGTTTTCGATCGGACTGCTGGGTCGACGTTGCAGGCGGAGACTGCGGGGTTTGTGAAGGCATTTCTGTCGATTAGCGCTTGCTTGTTTATTGTTCCTTCGATTTCTCTTCGTTTGCTTGAACTTATTTTCTCTTTGAAACAGTAGCTGTGGTTTACACCGCGGCACTTTTTCTCTGTCGAAATGGGCTTGAGTTAAATTCTAATCTGACTGCGTTTTTGCTTTTTAATCGCAGCAAAAAAGCTACTTCGGTGTAGGCATTGTGTAAATTGATAGTAGCAGTTCGCAGAATAGCTTTAACGTCGAATACGAATGACAGCTTTGTGTTCTTAAAAACGCAGTTTTTTTTTTTCTTTGAAATGTTTTGCATAAATTTGTGTAAATCGTTCTGATCACCAATGAAAGGACTTTGTACATGAAAGATGAAGCACGTCGGTGTGCATATTCATTGCACATCAGCACACATCCCTCGGTTACATTTACTCAGTGTAAGTACTTCTGTCAGAGTGTTGTGCTAGCTAGTATTCAGTGGAGGAGTTAGCAGCTTATGCTTCCTTACTGCCTCTGTGAATGAGATGCCTTGGATTTGCTGTTGGTTTGTGATCAACTAAAAAGCAATCCTTGAATGTCCTTTTTTTTTTTTTTTTTTGTATTCAAACAGTATACAAGGGGTTGATTATGGGATAGAGTCTTTCTGTGCTGTTGATTGCAGCGAGCATTTTGAATGCCGTCTGTGCAGAAGAACTTGCCTCACTATGAAGCGAGTAGTTACTGCCTCGATTGCAATTTTCTGGCCTGCTTTCGAGTGGTCTAATGCTTAAATTCTTTGAAGCATGTCTGACCTTATTTGGTCATTGAATCTAGCATTGTTGCTGAGAGTGGTTCTAACTGTGTTGTGTGGCAGGCTGGACTACATGATGGTTAGGGTGGACAGTCAAGCATGTAACAAAAGCCTTCAACAACTGTAGGTGCTCTGGAGCTCCTTCAGAAACCATTAAAGGCCTTCAATTAGAGTACTTTGCAATCAAAATGCCCACCCATCATTTAGTGGCAGTGTAGCCTTATAGGCAGTACACAATGTGTAGACAGTGCATTTGAAACACACTTCATTTTTTTTGTTAGCAGTTCCACGTGTCCACCTCTATGCTGGAGATGAGCGTGACAAGTCTGCGGCATAGAGATGATCTGCAGACCCGTGGCATTTTCACTTTTCCACATAACTTTCGTGGTCTTGATTCAGAACGAGAAATTTTGCCGCATAAGTTGGTGCCCTACATAAATATCGCTGCGCAGTCAGTTTCAATAATAGCATTCTATCTCTTTGGTGATAAACAAAAAGAAAGAACAAATTTGTGTTCCTATTATAGCTGCCATGCTCTGTACCGCTCTAAATGCAGTGGAATTAAGCCGATGAACTTTCTAAGGTTCACCATGCACGGGCACAAACTAGTTTTCACGGAGGATTGAATAGAGCACCGACTAAACGTGCATCCACATGGGAGGTAGAATTGCTAAGCAAATCTACTCATTTTCAACATCGGATGCATATGAATCGGAACAGGGTCTTGTGGCGGCTGCTTCGTCGGTGCGGTCCAATCACCGGAATCGTTGTCTCAGCCAAACTCTGCTTACCGCACTCGCCCTCGTGGAAACGAGGTTGAGTTCTTTTCTCTGCAGTTGGAAGTGTAGACTTTAAGGCATTAAGAGTCCATCTCCTTTGGGAGTTTTGAAGGTATCGGTCCTTGCCTTATTTTGTTTTTGTGATATAGGTTCCAGTTGTCTCTTTGCTGCTGCGTTAAAGGGGTACTAAACCACTTCCTGCGATAGTCTCTTTATGTTCATAACTAAGTCTGTGGGCTCTAAGCAACCTAAAAAACCAAACAGCACATTCATGCATTGCCAACTTCTCTAATCAAATCGGTATCAAAAATGGATTACCGCAGAACTATCATAGAGACCAGAGGGCGTTGTCGGACGGGGAACCCCCTTTCCTCGTGCAACGATGTCCTCTGGTGTCTGCGACAGTGTCGAGGTAGTCAATCTTTTGATACCAATTTAATAGAAAAATCAACCACGTGTGAATGCAACATTTTTTTTTTTTAGAGTGCTTGGGGTTTGTGCTTTTGTATAAATGGCTGTTCCAGTGGGTGGAACGTACATCCACGGAACAATCAGCAGAAGCATACAAGGCTCTTTTAGCAGTCCTTACTGTGCAGTACACTCTCACTGTGACGGCCTAGTCGCATTATATACGAGTACAGCTCGTCGGGTTCAAGAATAGAGGCTCTTGTCTCACGCTAGGCTAAACATTATGTACAACACTTGCTAGTTCAGGGCTGTCATTACACTCCCAAGAGTCTTGCAAGTATGTGGAAGGGATTTATAGAGTCGACTCTTTTGTTGTCTTCAGAATCGTTTTGTCGGGCCCTCTTTGCCTTCCTTTGCCTTTTTGCTCTTAATCCCATCATAGAGTAGAAACAAATGTTCAGGCCATGGGTTCTTGTACCGTGTCCCTAACCACCCAGGGGATCCACAAGCTTCCAAATTTCCTCGGCCGTCTCCTCTCCCGTGTGAAGCGTTTTTCCTGTTGGAGCATTATTGTATATCTGACCCACCCACTGGTACACAAATATGAGTTAACCACTCCCTAGCGTGCACCTTACTGCTTAGAGGGCCCGTAGGCTTCCGCGCTGCTTTATTGTATCAATGCTGGAGACTAGAAAGGGTTTCTCGATTAATGGAGATGGGAGTGCTTTGAGGTAATAGGTCTTAACCACCAATGTTTGGGGGACCCGTCTGGATTGGCAAAAGTGACGGGGGACACCGTCCAGCGGGGAAGATGAGGTACTGGACAATTACATATCACAAGAGGGTCAATAAAGAAAACTAAATGCGTGCAAACCAACTTTGAAGCTCTGAAACGGAGGATAACCGACTCTACTCGCTCGGCGCTCATGGTTTTTGGTCTATTTAGGTTTGTGGGACAGCCAACGTCAATTAAAAAATAAATATATTGATCTTATGGATCAAGTTGGTATGCACAGGATTAGTTTCTGCAACATTGACTTTGCGATGGACTTTGCGGTTATCTCTTTTTATCTTTTAATTTACTTGGTTCTACGGATGGGAACTCAAGCAGGGAGGAGATGAGGGCGGGCGGGGACGTTGGAGCAGAGCATTGATTGGGATGATTAGTGGGTAGATCCAAAGCTAGCTGCAATTGTCCCTATTTACTTTTGAATGCTGAATGCCTGCGTTTGCATTCGAACAGCTAGTTGAGGGGGTCTTTTTGTCCCCACCAGTCTCCCCTTTGGCACAGTGGTAGAGTGTTGGGCTCCTGATCATGGGGTCATAGGTTCGATTCCCGTCGGGTCTGGATCGGAACTTTGTTCTTGATTAATTACTATTCATTCTCAATTCTGTGTCGTTTTGTACAGATTGCCCTTGCAAATGTGTTACTTTTCGTCACACTTTCCTCAGGGATCCCAATCTTTACAACAATTCTGCGTTAAAAAATTTCATTAGTCGCCTTGACTGACAGTCAAGCGCTTCGGGGAACCCAAAGGGTTCCCCGAAGCGCTTGGGTTGCTTTGAACCCCCATTTCAGGAACCGCTGGTATAGGTTTAACTCTCCTCCTCCCATACGTTGGCATCAGTCGCCCATTCGTCCGCGCCAGTTGGGACGGCTGAAGCGACGAAGCTTGTTCCTCTACCGTCGCAGGTGTTCGAGCTTGACAGCCTGGGAAGAGAAACCGTCCTTAAGGCCCAACAGCACCTCGTTGCGACGCTAGGAGGAGAAGCCGGGGCCGCCCCCCTGGGAGTCCCCATGGAGTGAAGCGGTTGCTCGCGGGGGAGTCGAGAGTCCAGCCACGGGATGATGGAAGCGGCGACCCACTTCGTGGAGGTGGTGCCCGAGGACATGCAGAGCCTCGGCACGGAGGAGGAGATGCTTCCGCCGGTGTCCGCCTCCGTGGTGTCCTCCTCCTCCATCATCAACATGAACACCCTCATCTACTCGCAGGTACACGTCGCGAAGCGCCCCTTGCGGCTGACGGGCGTCTTGATGTAATTTGGTGACAGAACGTGACGTGGGCTCGTCCAGTGTACCCACACCAGCTTAGACCGGTGCAGAAAAGTGTAGCGCAGTGCAGGAAAAGGGGGGGGGGGCAGCATACTTCCAGTTTGTTTAAATTAAGCTACACCTGTAAATCCAATACAACGGTGTCACCCAAGTGCAGCTGGTGTAGGATGTGTACCAAGTGAATAGGATGAGAATAGTGTGCAATGGAGGTACAAAGAGTGTGCATTATGTAACATTCCTAAGGTTGCAGACTTTCGAAGTGTGTTCAAGCAAGGATCCCACTAGAGAAAATACTCTTGCCTGTTGCAGGTTGGGAAATTAAAGGCAAGCCCCTCTCACAAAGCTCTTTGCTCACCACGATTGGCAGTTTTCTCCTCTCCTTGGTTCGCCCTACTAAAGTGGAAACGGTAGAGTGCTTTGTGAGACGAGCTTTCCTGCTTTTCTTTACCTGCAACAGATTATAGCTGGCAGACGTGTGCTTTCAAAGTTATATCGTGACATTTACCGAGTAGGTGAGGAGCTAAAAACAAAGTGTTCTGTAGAGGGGATATCTTGGGTAGAAGTTGAAGAATCGTGCAGAGTGCCTCCTGTGGTGGTTTGTTCCCAAACTACGCTCGTAAAATTTTGACTTAAATACACGAGCACGAAGCTCCGACGTGTTAAGTTGTGCTGGGTAGAGTTGAGAATTCATTCAATTGCAGCATGAACTGAGCACATAGTTGGTTACAGATTCAGAACACAGAAGATCCAGCAAAATCTCTTTACTTTCGATGATGCTTCGGCATCTCGTGGGCATGTGCAGCCAAAGCCCAACTGAAGGCAACGAGCACCAATAGATTGTTTAAAGCATGAAAAAATTTAAAGGTAGTCTATTAATACCCTCCATTTTCACAATGGACGTGGGTCTTTTTAGGACATTCTGAGATACCCACCTGCTTTTGTTTTCAGTTTTCTCCTCTTCTATTAGCAGAAGCTGGAAATATCATTGAGTGCAACCGTCGAAGGACCGGTTTTGCACTCGACGACACAGCCTTCTAACTGCACCTTGCAAACAAAAAGTGCTTGCAGGTGTTTGGCTTAAAAGGGCGTCACCCGTTTTTCCTCTTGCACCCAGGGCCCTGACGGGATCATCATGGAAGGCGACGAGATTGGTCCCGACATTGTGGGCGAAATTGTGACTGACGACAGCCCGGACATGCACAAACTCCCGACCAACCAGGTTATCCACATGGACCTGGCCAGAGAGAAGCACCAGGTGAGTCCAATGTAAATCTACGGAAAGGGGTTGGTTCAGGAAAAGCCCGGCATTTCGGCGGTAGAGGACGGGTGTGCTCGCTTGTCTAGGTGACACTAAGGTGCCTGGAATGCATCCTCCACTGGTGTGTTCAGTAACCCCCACCACTCACGAATCAAAAGTGGTCTCAAAGTGGCAACAAGTGTCACTGTCGTCATGGTGTCCCAAAGCCGAGAGCGGTAAACATGCCAGTTTGAGGGTCACTCACAGCATTGTAGCGGTACGGCACAAGCGTGCGGGCGGTTCGACGGCTTACGTGTCCCCCTTTTATGCCACTCAGGAAACCATGAGTGGCCTGGAAGGCCTGGACTCGCCGGGGCAGAGCCTACTGACCATCAAGTCCCACCACCACCACCATCACCACCATCACCAGCAGCACTCGCCCGTGAGCCAGATGATCCTCCAGGAGGGGGAGGCCAACGGCGAGATAATCCTGGTGCCCAACTCTATGATCAAGCAAGAGGACATCATCGAGGGAGGGGAGGTGGTGGTGGGGCCCTCCACCGACATGACCGTGGAAGAGACCGCGCACTTCTTCGACCAGGGGCCCGCGGGGCTGGTCTGCGAAGAAGACGACGACGAAGCCTGCCTGGGAGCCGACGGATCGGCCCCTATGGCGCTGGCACCGGAAGAGCTCGGCTACGAGTGCCAGGACTGCGGGGCCGTGCTGCGGAGTCGGGCCGCCTTCAAGAAACACGCGCGCATGCACCACGGGGCCTCTCGCAGCAAGGGCACGAGTTCGGCGGGGGCCGCCCGGAGCGCAGGATACTGCTCCGAGGACGGCTCGTTGTGCCCGCTCTACTCGTGCCCGTCGTGCCCGTACATGTCCCAGCGGCGGGACAAGCTGGACAAGCACATTATGAAGCACGTGCTGCAGGAGGGCTTTCACCCGTGCGGCAAGAAGCGACACAAGCCGGAGGCGCCCCCCCAACGCCACCGTCACAACGCGGAGGAGTACCGCTGCCCGTTCTGCCCGTACACGTGCACCGTGTACAAGGCGTACAAGAAGCACCAGAAGGCCCACGTGCTGGGCGCGGCCAAGCTGGCCCCGGTCAAGCTCAGCTGCAAGATCTGCGGCAAGGACCGCTGGACCGAGGCGGACATGCAGAAGCACATGAAGAAGCACCGCAGCGGGGAGAACTTTGTGTGCGACGTGTGCGGCTTTGCGAGCATCCAGCTCAAGAAGATCATCCAGCACCGCCGCATGCACACGGGCGAGAAGCCCCACCTGTGCCCGCACTGCAGCTACCGCTCGGCGCGCAGGGACAACCTGCGCTCGCACGTGCGCCGCATGCACAAGAAGGAGAACATGTACATCGACACGTTTAATCCCAACGAGGAGATTGTGTTTGAGTGAGGGGAGTCACTGCTGGGCGGCGCCACGCGGGGGCAGTTCGAGGAGGCCCGCGGTGCGGAGAGCCTCGACGCCTCCGTGCAGGAGGCAGACCCGCGACTGGTTGAGCCGCACCAGCTGGTTGGCAGTCTGCACGACCAGAAAGGGATTTTGTGGTTGGTGAGACGTCGGTTCTGTGTAGCTAACATTAAAGGCTGGCCCCACAAAAGTGTCTTCCCTGCCTGCTTTCCTCAAAGGCTGCATGCACAATTCTACATATTTTTTTTTACAGCGGAGCTGTTAAGGGCTAGGTTCCCCAGGATCGTGTCCGTGTATGTCGACACAAACCTACCAGGACAGCTACCGCTATCTTTAAGCAACGGCGGCAAGCACACAACCAGTGTGGTTTCCGCCGTCGCTCATAGATGGCGGCAACCTTTCCAGCTATAATAGAAGAATGGATCGTTGAGCGTGTTGGTGCGAATTCATCGTAGGAAACAGCCCGAAAAACAGACCACGATGACGACGAAGAAGAGGCACACAGTGTATCTAGTACGGCTCCGCTGGTCTTCCTTCTTCACGAGAGTGGAAAGGCTGAACAATTTCTTTCATAGGGTTAAGTTTTGTTTTATGGATGCTGCCATACGAATAAGATGACCGTAAAATCCTGAGATGCCCCAACCCTTTTTTTTTTTTTTTTTTTAGCTATTTTCTCTTAAAAACGGAAAGGTAGCCCACTCCTATAACCTTGCCATGCGAACGCAAAAGGAGACAAGAGACACACAAAAACTCCTTTTGCGTTTGCATACCAAGATGTTTAACCAACACACTCTCCTAATTCTATCTACGCTAACTCCTAGTAATCATAGTGTTTGGATCAACGATTACCTTGGCATAAATGCTTCTAGTTAGCTATGGCAGGATATACCTAAGCGAACATCGCCGACTGGGAAGTACAGTTATCTTTGCTTCATTGCCCCTCGCCGCGATAGCAAGTTTGACACAGGCACACAGTGCTCCGTCTGTGTGCATCTTCTCTGTCCTGTGTCCTTACTCATGCTGTTTTACCTGTAGACTTGACAGAGGCACATAATACAGAAATAGCATTTTTTTCAATTTTTCTCGATCGCACACCGAAAGTTGGCCCACTCCCGATTTTCACCCAATTTTTTCTGGATTTTACGATAAGTGCAATTGCAATTCTTGTTGGCCTACTTGCAACATTTTTCTTATGACGTGCCTCGCTATATTCTAATGAATCCAAAAAGAAAAGCTAATTCATGCTGATGGCAGGGAACCAGATGATCCTACTCTTCCGCGTGCAACTATGGTATCTGGAACGCATCCAACCGACGTGAAGAGTGTCCTATCCCGTCCATCTATTGAACGTAGTCCTGAAGTAGCGACAAATGATGCCAAAAGCCAAAGTGTCATGCTGCCAGATGTCGCCATGCTGCAATTATCTGTAAAAGCTCTTTAAAAAAACATTGAAAGAATGCGAGTGTTGCTGTCATTGCGGCGTACCAACTGGCTACTGAAGCTTTTGCAGACTGTCGGGCCGGAAAGCACCCTGCAGCAGAACAGGCATCTGCCAACATCCAACACCGCTGCTGTGATGCCGCCAGGGTTGGGGCTGGCGACAGCATGACAAGCTTCGTGCAATATACCGGCACCTCCTGCACCGGTGCAGAAAAGCAGAGGGCAGCGTACTTTGTGTATGCGTGTTGAGATACAACTGGAAGTGCACTGCCCTACACTTTTCTCTATCGGCGCAGGTAAATCTATCAATGACATGGGTGGAAATCGAAGGACTACTTTCTTGGACGAGTTCAACACATTAATCGGAGAGGCGTTCTAGACACTGTAGCGTGACCATCTCTATGCTTCCAAAGTGGCTAATGATTGGGTTAACAGAACGGATCATCTGTGGCCAAGAGGTATTTTAAGTGGTGGGGTCACCCGTGAGGCGGAAATCTAGAAACGGCGAAGGCAATGCGAGCCTCGAAAATGATCCTTTTGCAAAAACCAATGAGTGTTAATAAAACTGCCTCATGCTCCCTCATTCGTAAATGCAAAAAGCTTGTCCTAAAAGTGCCAGCTAAAAAAAAACCAAAAGAAACCCAGTAATTTCACTGTTTTTAAGGATATTATGGCTGTTCAATCTCTCCTTTAAAACGTTCCGAATCCTTGATGGCAGAGCTCTCCATTTAGTTTTTTCTCATTGCCTCAACATTGTCACGCAGAAGTTGTAGGATGATCGCCTGTTTCTGCCAGATACCAATAAAATCACTTGAATCAAGTAGAGAAAAAAAAAAGTTACTAGTGCAGCCCAATCAATTGGCAGTGAGTGTGCTTACTTCCACCGCAGAACCGTGGTCCTTGTGGCTTCCCACCACCACCACCATGTGCCCGTTACGCAGAGGTTCGGTCCACTGAGCGGGGTTTCCAGGTGGGACATGGAGGCTTCCTGGGATCGCTCCTCGCTGGAATCTAGTTAGTTGGTGTAGGAAATGTCCGTTCTCATTCGCAAAGTGCAGTGGGACAAATGGCAAGGAAGCTTTTCTCAATCTACAAAGTGGTTAATTGCATCACTTCATGGATAGTTTCAAAACCAATTATAGGTAAGTGGACTTTCACACCCATTGCAAAAACAAAAAGATAGCACCAATCATGCAAAAGAACTTTTCAACACCCACTGGCACTGTCGCAAAATAAACCAGTTTAGAAGACTACCGTAAAATACCGAGCATCCGTCCATTCCACGATAAGCCACCCCTCAATTTTGTATCATTCGGAAAATACACAAAGGACATATCTTTACATATTGTTGACCTAAGGAACACCCATCTCCCAGTTTTGCGGAATTCTCCTCAAATTTTGAGTGGGCGCAGGCTTGGGACTTTGCAGTAGCTGCTGTGGTTACAATAACACACTAAGCAACGTTTGGCTGATAGCTTTGCTCCAAGTACCCCCCGAGTCCCAAAAAGCGTAGTTTGAGTACTGACAACCGGAAACACTGCACACACATAATTTAGGAATATAAAAGTCCCCTAACTTGTGATATGCTATATGGCCGAACGTATGGGCGACACTTCAAAGTAGTTTGCAGTGAGGTTGCTGCAAGGATACTCCTCTGCTGGCCTTACGTCCAGGACTAGGAGGCGGACCTTGGTGCCATCTCTGCGCGAGAGCTCGAGGAGCCCTAGCAGGTCTTGTGCCGAGATTCGTGGACACAGCTCCGACTTGAGGATGTCCAAAGGCACCGTAGACATCCCCTGTACGTTAGTGACAAGGAGTTCAGTCGTGCTTCCAAGGCACGTCATCAACTTCCAGTGTGCAAATGCTCCCCTGACTGTCTACAAACTCCTGGTATACCTGCAGGCTATCAACTGGCAGGATGTTAATAAGCTTCTCATGGCTGCCTACAAACTCGTATGTGGTGCACTCTCATTTTATTTGCAGCTTGAAGCTACCATACTTTTTTTCAACTCAAGAACTGTAGTAAAATAAAGTCCAGCTTCTCGTGGAACATTGCTAATATGTTCTTTCGTGCGTTGAGTTAAAATATATGTAGGTGCATCTTGGGTTAGCTTTATGCTATTTTATACAGATGTACACGTTTCAAATGCTTAAAGCATCGTTTCTGCTTTCAACAGCCAAATCTTGTACGAACAACTTTGAGCAGTGCATGAATAATGCTTTCCTTGATGTATATTTATTTATTTATTTCACAATACTATGGTACTACTCCGACAGGGATCCGGTATTAGTAGTGACGAGCATAGCAGCACCTTCACCATCCATAGCCAATCGCGCAAACACAAAATCGGGAACAACCACTAGGCTTAAGTACCACAACCAATAGTGTGAACTTTTCTTTAGTCCACGCTTCCCTACGGATCCTTAGAAACTCCCCGTTATGCAGAGCGGGAGACGTCAAGCGTCCACATCACAAATAGTATCTAACACTGAGATGGCTAGTGGCACATGCTGTCAGCATCCATACGGTCAAATACTCTTGGTCAGCGACGTCAACAATTTTGATCTTTCATTTCCAGCCTTCACTCACATGTTTGAAAAGTGGGCATCACGCGAGCTACTGTAGCTGTCTATATGGGGTTTCACTGGAACCATACCTGAGTGCGCTGTTTATAGCACATGCTCAGTACGAACTCACATTAATAGGCTGCTACGACCGGCAATCTTGATGGCTTGTAATACAAGTAGCAAAAGAACTGTGGATGCTCACTGGCAGCACGTGCTCAGCAGCTGCGCACAGAGGTCCGCCAGTGAATACTCCCTATTGGGTGTGTTCACCAAGTGCCATATTGAGTGTGCTGTTTACTGCGCATGTTCGGAACAAGCTCACATCTATAAAATGGCACGACCAGCAATCTAGACGGTGTAGAATGCACGTTGCAAAAAAACTGTGTAAGTTCGTCGTCAGCTTGTGCCCAGCAGCCGCGGACTCGGCTATGGCCGCCAGCGAATGCTCCCCTACAGTGAGATCAACCATTGCAAGGGCTTGGGCTACAGACAGCTTTTGGCACTTGGCTCCTTTTTACCAGTGGGTCTTGGGGCTGGCTCCCAGGCTTGGCATGGGCCCTGAATGTGGCACTCTGAGGGGTGCTGCAGAAGATTCGGATGGAGTCGTGGACACATCGCTGGATGTCAATCTCTGCACAAGAGGAAACGAATGGTGGTGAAGGCAGGTGGCAAGAGGACCCCTATTCTGTTTTCTGCAAGGCAGAACATCCACTTAATTGAGCCGCAGTCTCGGGCCGCTTGTACATCATACAAGGGAGGATTCTGCAGCAGACGTGGTGACGGAATTGTCCACGACCACGCCTAAAGCGTGTACGTAGCATGTTTGTTTCACACATATGTGTGCTTCGAACAGGTCTGCAGACTGTCTTTTGTACGACCAATGTGAATGAACTGTCATACATGAAAGGAATGTGCCTCAAACAGTGTGCATACTGTCTTTATTATGATGTCTTAGCAGTGTAACCGTGGTTTCAGTCTTCTCTCTCAGACAGCAGAGTTTGAAGCACAGTGAATGGAGAAAACAAGGAAGAAATAGGAAAATGGAAGTGAATTAATATGACACATTCCTTGGTCAGAAAAATGGGGAAATAACCGCATGGTGGAGGAACACTGGAGGAGACAGACGAAGAAGAGAGGAAACGTGGAAAGCACAAATGTATTGCAGCCTTTAGATTTGTTGAGACTCGAGGAATGTACGTACAAAATGTGTGTAGTGAAATATACCATGCTTTTTGTGCGGCTACAGAAATGTGCTCCGCGGTCATTCAGTGACTCCGGAAAACAAATCTGCTGACACTTCATACGAGGTCGGATGCTCCTGCATAGTATGTTTTTTTCTGAAACAGCATTTTATTTTGATAAAAGGGAGAAAAACAAAATTGTATTCTAAACCCTTTCAGATTTTCTGGCACGATAGTAAACAAATCCCTGAAAATTCTTGCTTATAGAAAATTTAGTCGCATGAAAATATAACAAAATCACATTATCTTTTTTCGCAAGGTCGTTATCATTTTGAAGATGCCCACACTTTTAGTAGTTTTGCTGCCAGTAGAGGCACCAAAGACAAACGAGTACCGCTAGAACTAGATAGTTGTACAACCACGCCACGGTGCACCCGGCTGGTTTATTCTGGGGCAGTGGCTGGTTCAACTGGAGTTTCGTGCCTCAACTTGGGGCGTACATTTTTCCCAGATTTCGCCTTGAAATATCCAACCCCAACTACACCACAGCATTTCGGTGGTCAACACACGCACATAGAGCACTACCAAAGGAAATGAATTGCGGGGTTAGCTTTGAAGGGAGTAGCTGTCCTACCAGGCATGTCCGAGAACAGCAGGATGCACTCGTTGAAGCCGAACGACAGGAGGTCAGAACGGAGCTGTTGCAGGATGGCTACTCCCACGCACAGAGGGAAGCTGTCTCGTCCAAGTAGCAGTGTGTCCCACAGGTGGAAGATCTTGTGCAGCGGAAAGACGTCTGCACAGCCAACGGTCGCACGCACAAGGGCACGTCGCCCTCACCTCAATAGCACACACAGTCCTGCAGACGTCGTAATGTTCACAGGGCCATCGTGTCAAAAAAAAAAAAATGTTGCAGCTGTACTTTGATCTACGAGTCAAAGTGTTATATGCAGAATTGCATTTTATTAGCAACAAAGCGAACACTCAAGAGAATCTACGCCTCGTCAGTTGGGAGCCAGCTGCGGGGCCGATGGTCGCCCGCAGCTGGCTCCCAAAAATATTGCATCATAACTTTTTCTCTTACTTTTCTTTTTTGCGATACTACCAAAAATACACAGATTGGGGCAAGAAAGCGTCGTGTGCGGCGACTCATAACGCATGCGACACGTGCAAAGATGTGCTATTCCTTCGCGATGGAGGCGTTTGGCGGCTGGCGTGGCCAACTCTCCTAGATTGCACTACAAAAACATTTCATCTGAACATTGAACCTTGCAGCAGAATTTGACTCTTTCTCTGTGTTTTGTTTTTACCACAATGATGTAGTGTCGTGCTTTCGCACTGTTGAAAGCTTGCCAACTTGCCTGTGGCTTCAGTGGTCTCTTGATTCTGTACACTAAGCTTATTTCTGCCAAAATGACAATGACTAGATGTAAGATGACCAACTCACGAGTATACATTGTCAGGAACCATGGAATGGAGTAGAGCTGCAAGGAGGAAGAGAACACAGGCTGTCAAACCTTAAAGTCCAATATAACATTACCATAATATCCCACTTAAAACTGACAGCAAATTGGGTGAAAATGAAGAATGGTTTAACTTTCAGTGTACAGTCAAGAAAAGTCTTGACTGTACACTGACTGTACACTGTACACTTGTTATCACGGCGAGGGACAATGAAGCAAGGATGACTGCACTTCCCAGTCAGCAATGTTCGCTTATATCCCGCCATAGCTAACTAGCCAAATTTACACCGAGGTCATCATATAGATTCAAACATTACGGTTACTAAGAACGAGCTATCTTTCGGTGTTTAAAAGAAAATAGCAAATCAGGCCATAAATTAGGGTGGGTTATCTTTCGGGGGTGGGCATCATTAGGGATATTACGGTAGAATATTTATGCATGATAATGGGGCAGCCACACATTAAGATCAAGTCTACAACTTATCTCCAAGCAGAAGTTGCTTTCCTACTATAATATCCAGGGCGATGCCCCACCTCTAAAAGATAACCCACCCAAATTTTTGGCATGATTTTTTATATTTTTTTTAAAACACCGAGAAATAGCCCACTTTTAGTAATTGCAGGGCCCTGGCCAATGGTGACCTCGGTAGGAATAGTTCTACCTAGCCACGGCGGGAGATATGAGAACATTGCTGATTGGGAACTACAGTCTAACACAGAATCTAAAACTAGCACCTTTCAGAATTTTGTTTATCGCACACCGAAAGTTAGCCCACTCCTTATTTTCACCCGATTTAATTTCGATTTTAGGTGGGCTATCTCTCGTGATATTACGGTAATTAAAATTTTCTGGGCAAGCAAACCTTCGTAGAGGTCCTTGTTTTCTCATGTATTCTCACAAAGGCAAAATGGACTGCCCAATTCTTTCAAATTCATCTTGAAGACATACCCTGCCTCGTTAAAAATAGTACCCAAGAATGATGGGCTTGTATGCGAGCCAATAAAACCCGGATCCCGTATTTCGGTACGGAGACGTGGCAGAGCGCTTGAAGGAGCTACAGGTACTACCTATCATGCCGTAACAATACAGATACGAATGGGACACGGCAAAATGTGCTGCAGTAACGACTAGTATTTAAGTATAAATAGCAGGAGCCCTACAGTTTCACCACCTTTGAACATCATCCGAGTTACACCAGTAGCAAGAAACTTTTCACACGAGCAAACACACTCACCTCTGGCAAGAATCCGATGCTGTCCAGGTGGTTGGTCAATTCCGGGTCATGGTAGGCAATCAGATGCGAAAAGACAGCCAAGTACTCTGCGTGTCAAAAAAGGAACAAGTGGTGAGCGCATGCAGCGGTCTAGTCAATGACAAGAGGAGAATGGCAGGAATGTCTTTCAGCTGTCCCGCCTCCAGCGCAAAGCTTCCTACCTTCGACCTGCCTTTCTCGAATTCAGGTGTTTACGTGCCAGACCAACAGAGGGCATCTGGCACGCCCCAGCGAAGGAACGAGGATTCGTTTTGACAGCCTGGGGATCTTTAGACGTGTAACCAAAGCCTCGGTCACACAACACCTTCTCCGCAATGAGCCCCTGTCGGATTGCGGGCACCTCGGCTGGGATTGGAACCCGCCACCCGGGGAGCCCCAGGCTGGCGCTTTGCCTCGGAGTCGCAGAGGTGGCTGTCCTGCCATTCTCGTCTTGTCGGTGACTGATGTCTGAAACTGCTTAGCTGGGTGCTCACCCTTGATGACCAGCGAGTTGTCTTGGAGGAAGAAGTCGTGCAGGTATTTGGAAATGAAGGTGGACAGGCAAGCGTAGGCTGCGGCTGCGAAAGGAAAGATGTGCGAGCGATGAGATGGCAACAACAAGGCGAGTGACTCCCTGCTGCGAGTTAAAAAAGACTGAATTAGCCGCGAAAAGTTATTTATGAGCATCCAAAAGGGAATGAGCGAACTGAGGATATGCCTTCTCTTATCTTTTCTTTTGATTGCAATGAGAGAAAGGTAAATGAAGGAAACTAAATGCATGCAAACAAACTTTGCAGCCTTGACACAGAATCAACCCCACTCACTCAATGCACGTGGTTTTGTCTCTTTAGCATTGTAAAACAACCAGCATCAATAAACACACACACACACACAAAAAAAAAGGGTCTTATGCTTGGTTTGATTGCTGGTCTAGAGGCTTCGGGTGCCCCAAAGGGTCCGTGGACTCCCATTCGAGAACCACTGGTTTAGGTCATGTGTGATACTATGTATCACAATACGATCATCCAAATAAAGGAGAGCACTACTAATAGTACAAAGTCAAGTAATCCTCATGAGAAACCAAACACGCAACCATACTCACCATTGGTTGGCTACATTCTTGCAACCGGAAATTCAAAGAATAGTAATAAAACTTAAAAACCTCAAAGATGCATTGATGCGGTTTTACAAATGTTGCAAGATTTTATACCAGTTCCATAACTACACTACTCAGTCCAGGAAAAAAAAAGCAACTTTTGAGCATTGCTCAGAGTTCTTGCCATACTTGGGTGTCAGAAAAAAAGATCATACTTTTTTGTGTTTGAAACTTCTATATTTTGGTAAAATAACAAATGACTGATGTCAAATGCACACAAAAATATACAAAGGAGAAAAATAGGGCTGCTCCACAATGAGTTCAACTCTTTTTACTACGGTTCTTGCAACAATAAAACGGTAGAGTTGCATGAAACATTTCTCTTCAGACTTAATTAGGTCAACTCTTAATACATTTAGGTGAAATTTATGCTGGGTCTATTACGTTACATTAAAGGTATGCTAGGTTCTATTTAGGATAGATTATGATTAGATAGTTAGCTTGACTTAGCAGTACACTTGCTTCTGCAAACGTCCCGAGGATGTCCTAATGTTCCACTGATGTCCCAACGTCGCTCCTACAACATTTGTGCTGGTTTGGTGCTAGGATAGGACATGTTAGGTTATGGCTAGCCTACATTACACTGGATTAACCTAGGCTAAGATGATACAGATTTTAAGTCAGGCGAGTTTGGCAAGGCCGGGCTCAGTTAAAGGAGTGATGCAACAATTTTTGTACTTTGCGCAAATACCGCTCAAGACGGATCCCTAACGTTAATGACCTATGAAAAACGCGTTTGTTTTTCACCCCACGCAATAGAAGTCCCAGAAAAAAATTTAAGAAAAACGAGCAGCGTTCACCCCTCAACTTGCAGCCACAACAAGCGGCCACGTGATCTGGAGCCATTTATATGCCGCCAGTGTTGATCATAGCCACGCGCTGGGGTTGGCAAAACGCAGGACACGCGCTGGGTTCCAGACATTGTTATGGCTCGGCTGTTGTCGTCGTTGCAGCGATTGGACACGGGCCACTACCCGAATGCTTCTCGAGCTATCGATTGTCACGAGCCCAAATCGAGTGCCCACGCGATGCTCGGGTCCAATCTATGAACCGCATTCAAATATCGTCACTTGGGTGTACAGCGATCCCCACGTTACGTCATCAAATTTTGCAAAGGAAAGAGTGAATGAAAATGATCGCTTTTGTCCTTGAAATTACACCGCAACAAAGGAGTTTCTTGGCTAGTGGCGTTGCGTGTGAGTATCCTTGAGTCCCAGGTGTGCCAGTAAGCTCGTGTCAAGTGAAAACATTCCAATTGAATATCGTTGCACCGCTCCTTTAAGTTGAGGTTGGGACAAGATAGGCTTAGCTAGATTTAGAAAAGGTTGAATTATCTTAAACCATGTGACATATGGTTCTATTCCCACCCTCATCATTGAAGTGGAGATGTAGAAAGGGTGCGCAGAGGGAGTCCAGGCCCTGCCAGTAGACGTAGCGTGGGTGGCTAATCACCCAAGCCTTGAGCAGTCGCTTGAACTTGGCGTGAGCACTTGGAGACGACAGCAGCTCGTCATACTGGTGGCAGCGGGGAATATCCACCTCAATCTGCATGTGCGCATGTCCATGATCTCTATGGACCATTTTGACACAAATCTACAAGTAATCATATTCTGTTTATGCTCCGACTGCAAGAAGTTAGTCAGCTTTAATGGGTGTATAACGTCTCCACTGTTGATGAGAAACTTTGCCAGTACAGCACGATCATTAGCCTCAGATCTTTAACGTGCATCACGCAGTAGTAATACGATATAGTAATACAATGGTAATACAATGATCATCCAGATCAAAACAGGCAGGGGTGGGGATTGAGCCCAGGATCCCTGGGTTTCGCAGTGATTTTTCACTCCACATGCTCAGAGCTGCGGTGCGCTAACACACCCGATCACCAAATTCCTCAACTTCTTCCTTAAGGGGGTACTGAATTTTTTTTTTTTTTTTTTAATACACCTCTCACCTTCAGAAATAAGTTAAATGATTAACAATTTCCGCTAATGACAATCACATGCTTGTATTTCGTATGCATGGCTATAATTTTTGTTCTAAATGGCCAATTCTGAAAGCGCTCCGAGAGAAGCCATCTGAGAGCGCGATGCATCTCGAGAGATCCAGCACCTCTGGCACATTCAAGAGGTCATTTGTCCCAACACGGGCAAGTCCACGGCGTGGTTATGTGGTTATGAGCTTCGCCACATGGTGGCATCAACGTGTTACAACCTAGCTGTTCAAGAAGCCCGGGGACTGGTTGGGCGACGGGAGAAGCTAAGGCGAAGTGACTCAACTGTTTTTCCATCCTTTCTTTTTTCCCTGCTCCTGGGTTACTATGACTGACCTCCTCCTCCCCTTGGTCTCACCCCATCTCCCTGTCTTTCATTTAATTCCCCACCCGCAAGAGTTGAAGAGGCGTGAAAGAGAAGGGAAATTTGGTTCAACCAAGCTTAAGAGGCTACGCACACTTGGAGCTTGGTGCCATATTTCCGTTAACCGCCACTGCTTTGAGGGGACAATTGACGTAACAGCATTCCAAGTAGCTTTGGCAACATCCACCAGGTGCAATTCTGTATTTGTTTTATTTGTTTTTAAATAAGATATTGTTTCTTTCCAAAAAAAATCTTTTAAGCCCCTTTAAGCACTACCTAGTACATGACAGCAATCTAAATGTTATGCAACCAAATCAAGAAACGTGTGATGAAAATACAATCACATCAGAGGTGGGGATGGATCAAGCCAACTTGTTTCCTCAGCAATCTCCCGTTGACAGTTGCGGCAATATTCACAAAGTATACAAGGCATATTCACTCAAACGAAAGGCAACCTTTGCATAAAAACACCTCATGGGTCTAACTTGTGCATGCGGCCCGAGCAGTCGTTATGATGTTTGGGAAGAAGCCATTGAGTGAGTTGGCACAAATAATGTTTTCACTGTAAACACTAAAGGTGCAGTAGCATTTGCACCTTGACACTGACATGCCAAAAATCTCAGTGGATATCAGGTATATTCTTGGTGTGAATGGCGGCTCGTCAGTTGCTAGTCTATGACTGTAAATTGCAACGAATACCCGTAGAATACCACGCAACCGCCCATTCCACATTAAGCGGCCATTACCAAATTTGTAAGATCTGAGAAAATATGCACAGTACATTTATATGTAAAATTGATGACCGGGCAAGTGCACATCCCCCATTTTTTTGCAATTATCACCAAAGTTTGAGTGGGCGCTTGCCTGGTTTTTTGCAGTATTGAACCCCAAACTGGCTATGGTAACAAACAAAAACAAGGTCACGGTGGCTCGATACGACAACACTATGCTCGGCAATAACTATATTGTGCTACATCATCAAAGTTACTGTAGCCTCCGCAGTCACTGTCCCCAACTCAAAAATCGAAAACCCGCTGTAAGAACCCCGAAAAACCGCCAAAAACCCTAAATTTTAGGCCCACACAACTTACTGCCATAATTAGACTAAAATATATAGCACAATAAATAAAAGAACTCAGAAGGGAGCCACGTTGTTCGACCCAGATTGCTTCCATGCACAGAAAAGTGTAGATTGCATAATCTTAATGTTACCAGGTGCTAGCAGGGGGTATGTTGTCGGCCATACCTTCCAACGTACATGCCCCATCATATCAATCTTTAGTGCAATATTTTGTGGCAATTCAAAGCTGATCAAATTTGTGTGCTTTGTAAAAAGCTCTTTGTTCCAGGGTATCTGGCTCATCTAATGTCGCTTGGAGATTCCAGTAACTGCTCTCAAAGCTTGGAATCCTAGTGCCTCCGTGTTTTCTAAATTTTTGTGCACAGTTCACTGGTCCCGTTTCATCTGGCAGACTTTAAAAACCAACTCGTACATTTACTCACTAATGAGTTGAAGGCACATATCAAGGTTTGTCACTGTAATATCTCAAAGGGGTCACAAGCGTTACCCATATTGACAATGCTTTGGCCACCAGTGAGCAAAATTGACGACCCCATGACTCTAATTTGCAACGTAAATTAAGTAATTTATGATTCATAAACACAAATCTGAGAATATTTAAGACCGCCACACAAAAACGCCAACACGACTTGAAAACCCCTACAAATCCCACCACCCGCAAAAGGGCCATTTTGCCCGCCAGGCGACTCGGAAAGTCGCTGAATCGGCAACACAGTCCGCAGTGCTCCAACACTGTCAAAGCCACTTGCGGGAGCTAGGAACTTCGTTTGGCTACTCCTTTGCACAAGACCATGTGCAAATGAGACGCGAGGCAAGACCCGCACTGTTGCAGCAGTGTGGAGCCGCAGCACTGTGGAAGCCCCACTAGCCTCAACGACGCAGCGTAAAATAATTAACGTCGGGCACAGGTATGCCACCATATAAATGTCAACTTGCCTGCCTGTCTGTAGGCGTCGGGGTTTCCTTGTCGATGGCTTCATACTCCCGCAACAGGTCTCCCTGCCAGCAGAGAGCGAATACCGAGTCACAAACAAACACGATGAAGCCTTTAGCACTTTGAGGCAGGCACGCTTCACTCACAAACCAAACAAGGTGGAGTTCTCTGCTGCGCACCGATTCTGGCGGCACAATTAAGTTCAACGCGGCTATAGTTCAATGCTTACGCTGAGACGACGCCTACAGAAGCGTTCAACTTTCACCTATTCAGCTCGAGCACCCATCGAAGTAGAACCGATTCACCAAAAGCCCACTTAGCAAACGTCGTGTCACCAACACTTCTCCAAGTCGGAACGGGCATGCGGGCAACGTGGGTCAAGATGGCCCTGACCCTTTTCAAAAGTCACAGCCATCTAGCAGCAGTTTTAAAAGGTCCAATGATGCTCCTCAGACGGCAGTGACGGGAGAACGAGATCGCCTAAACCGAGGACGACATACTAAGACCGACCTGTTAGAACCAATTCCCCGCTTCCTGTTCTGCGCGCTCTCAAAGGAGCCGCGTAATGCCGTCGCCAAAGCGTCAGGTTTGGCTTTGGATGGAGTAGCTAGACTGACTTTTGAAAAGGGTCCATTCGGATGTGATTTTAGTGTAGAACATTACTGCAAACGTAGGAAAGAGAAATGCCCGTGTGAGCTGACCTATTTCCTGCCCTCTCTGTAGTTGCTGACAGAATGAGAAAGGTGCGTGCAAGCTTGAGGATTGAGACTCCGAAGCGTTGTGCAATAAGGTAGAAAGCTCATGCTCCGAAGAATTGTGGTGGCGAATCACCTGTACGTCCAGGAGGGCAGCCCAGATGTGAGCTCTGTACAGGGGAGGAATGTCCAGCTTAGCCTCGCGCACAATGCGCTGACGCTGGAACGGATATGCCTCCAGCAGCCGTTTGTACAGGATTATCCTCTGCAGCTGCAAAAGCACACAAGATGTTCAGGATGGTTGCGCGAGATTATTCGTTGTGCACCAGCATATTACGAGAGAGTTTATTTTTCTGGGTTCGATGGGTCGCAAATCGTTTGGGAATACATATTATGCGGGCACAAACTTTTGTGGCTGGGAGCAGTATGCCATGCGTTTGTTACCACGGGTAATGTACATTCGAATTACCAATCATTTGCAATATGATGAAATTGTGAATCTGCGCTTGAACGGGCTTTTTCAGACTTCAAGCAGTGGTGGGTCACGGATTTCAGAAGGGCTGAAATCATCTCCACTTTGAGCTTGGTCGCAGCCATAACAAAAACAAAATTCTATATGAAAAGTGTTGGAAATGGCATGATTCAAACGTCTAAATCGGCCTAAAATAGCCAGGAAGATCAGCACCTCCATGCAATCACTGATGTCCTGAATGATGGCAGTTCCAAAGTTAAGCCAATGTTGCTATAGTTGAAAGAGTTAGATATACGTCTATCTTTTCCTAACGTGTTTCGTTTCTGGTCAGTTCACAGATGGTCACATCTCTCTCACTAACCTGGTACTCTATGTCTTTCTCACGGATGACTATGGGAAGTGCAGCGGCATTGCTCAGGCCATTTGCTGAACCTGGGCTGGCAGGGGCGTCCTGTTCGCTAAAAAGAAATGAGCACTTCAGCATTAATAAGATGTAGAAGCAATACTATCTTGTACATTAAGAAAAGCAGGACAACCTCCCACAAAGTTCTCTGCCCTTTCCACTTTAGCAGAGCAAAGGCTGGAGAGGAAGAGAGTGAAGAGGATGAAGCCAACAATCATGGCGTACACAGAGCTTAGCGAAAGGGACTTGTCCTGGTATTCTTAACCTGCAACTGATTAAAAGTAGTGATGGACCGAATCAGCCGAACTTCAGATTCGGCAAAGTTTGGCAAATACCGAACTTTTGCAGGAAAATTCGGCAAAGATTCGGCAAAAATTCGACAAACGTCTGCGCACTGTGAGGACGCGATGGAGCCTTGGATTGCAAATGGACGCTGTGCAGTCGTGCGGTTACCATCGTGCAGTGTAGTACAACCAGCGGTTACGGCGCAATGTGGAATAGGCAACAAGGTAATTGTGCGTTCGTGAGCGAGTGTGGTTCTCTTCAATATTTTCTGCCTCAAGATCGACCAGTAATTTACGCAGTCCACTGCGCAAGTGCAAATGATGCGGTGCATTCTGAAACATTGAGGCATTGGCCGACAATTACTTTAAAGGGGCACTGACACCCCAAAGGTCGTATTTATTTTTATTGTCTAAAACGATGCAAGTTGCAGCCATAGACACGCAAAAAAAACCGCAACGCGAAAAAAAATTTTCCCGCGCGCACGCGCGCCTTTTTATTTTTGGCGTTTGATTTTCCCGCCTCTCGCCTCCTCGCTTCTTTTGATCGGTGACGTCAAAAATCAGGAAATTTAGAAGCTTTCTAGGCGGCATCTTTATAACATTTAATGACGGCAATCCTAAAACATGTTTTTTAACGCAATTGCGAACGCACTACGGCCCTTCTTTTTGAAATACCAAAAATCGGGAGTTCGTTGTGGTGCCGTCTCCTGGATTTGTATCCTCCAACGGAAAACAGGCGACACCGCTCAAAACCGGTCCGCCGCAACGCCGGCGCTAGCCGGCGCTCGCTCCTTTCCTCCTCGCTTTGGGTCGCCATGGCAACAGCAGGGAGTGGTGACAAGAAAGGGGACTCTCAGGTCTCCGCAATTTTTGACGTCAAGGCACCGGCGCCGATCGCGCGGGAACTTCGAATTCGGCATTTGGAAATTGTTTTTTTACTTCACGAATACTGAATTCCCAAATTTCAAATTTTGAGGGTAATGTCCCGGCATCGTTTTCGACCGTTTCGGATAATAAAAAAAAATATGATTTTGATGTGTCAGTGCCCCTTTAAAGCACTCCTCGCAATTATAACAATTCTGTTTTCGGCTCAGTAGTAGTGTGTTCCAAAACAAAATAATATTGCTTTTTCGATTAGTGTTAGTTCGCGATTTTCATGTATCTGCATAAAACTAAACACAGAACTATAATGCTCGACGTTGCACATCCCGACATTCACTCTCCCTATCTTCCGAAACGTTTGTGTGTGTCCTAACACCAGAAACAGGCATTTTCAAGGTTAAAAACGAGATGTTGCGAATATGGGACGCACACTTTCATGCAAAGCTGACGTCCAAGTAGATATTTACAATATTATTATTCTCTCTTCTGGTGAAGGCTCAGCAATCGTTGCATTCATTTTCGCGCACAAAACGGTGACTCCCAGGGAAAGCAAGAACGGAGCGTTATGGCCTTCATTTTAATTAGCAATGGCAAAGTATACACACATGCAGGCTTGTGCTGATGATGCCTCAAACCCGAAACTCTCGTAGCGTGATTCGTGACTGCGCCACGCTCGCTTCTACCCAACCTTGTTGTAACGTCACTTCTGCAAGGAGTCACTAAAATTGCCAGTGAACACACAAAAACGACAACGATACAATTATCTTGTAGAATATCACTTTATTTAGTAATAACTATGTCAATTTGCATTACATGTTGCAATTAAGTTAAGAAAAAAAGAAACATAAAACCTTTTTTTGCCAGAAAAAAAAAAAAATATATCAACAAGTCCGGTAACAATGTATTTTTGCTGAATCTTTGCCAAATTTTTAGAAAAGTTCGACAAAAGTTCGGCTTTGCCGAATCCCAAGATTCGGTGCTGAACTTTCGATTCGGCAAAAGTTCGGCCCATCACTAATTAAAAGCGTTTTCCTTTAAATTTCCCCATCGCATGCTATACAAGTAGAAAAATAGCCTTCCAAGATGTGCTTCTATTTAAACAAAGAAAAGAAAGAAAACCTCAGTTTACTCACTAAACTTAAGAAAATAGTCAAGGTTTGCTAAAAAAAATTACAGTCGACTCTCATTAATTCAAACTCGAGGGGGGCCGAAAATTTGTTTGAATAAAGCAAAGTTTGAATTATCAAGAGTTTCTTCCCATAGAGACGCATAGGATGGGACCTGCACGTTAGTTTGAATTATCCGAAAGTTTGAATTAAGAGATTTTGAATTAACGAGAGTCGACTGTACTTTTCTTAAATTTAGCATCTTCTTCCAGAGAGAAAGTGAATTACAGAACGAGCTTTACAAAGTAAATATTGCAAAACATTTCTTTTACTTGGAAATTAATTGTTTGCTACACACGTGTCCTACTTAGGCAGAGTCGCTTGCGCCCTTCTCGTAAATAAACGACTCAAACTAGAGCTGGGTGCAAGTTTAGAAGTTATTGGAGCACCCACCTTTCAATCAGAGGGTAGTAGAGGGCGGGATCCATCCCCTTCAGTCTCTGGAGAAAAAAAGACAGCTTACTCTCTGTATGGTCACATAAACACATATATAACCTTGTACTGCATCGAGGCCACGTGAGTATAGGTGCTTGGTCATTGATGGAAGCAGTGTCAAACTTAGCACGTGCTTCTGTAATCGTGCATGTAAGAGTATAGTGACCAGACAGAAGGGTTTTTGCAGAAAATTTCTAAATGAACAACCGAAATGGATTGTCTTTCAGAAGTGTGTACTACATGTTTCGGAATGTTATAGTACACAATGTCCACCATCAAAAAGAGAAGAAAAAAAAGTGTTTTTATAATTTCAGAAATAAACTATACATCACTGAATGCTCAGACTCTACCCAAATGTAGTGCCATCGGCCCAGACAAGACGACAAAATTTCGGAATGAACCGTTATATAATTCGAAAGTTATAAGCATTTTGTGGAAAATTTCAATGGGAAAATGGTGATTGAAAAAGCAACGCAAATACATGGGGCTGAATGACACAAACTACTGGGAATGCGCCCCACTTTCCCGTCAAAAGTTTCAGAAAACTGTTTATATTCAAATACCATAACGGTGCCACGATCGCCCGTGATCGCAGACGAGGGGGTCGAGGCACTTGCCGAGAGACGACCCGCAGCCTGGTGATGGCAAACAGCGACTGACCGCGAGTGGCTGCGCTCGTCTGTTTATTGATGGCGGTGACCACTGATTTCTATGACAATTGCTGGATCGCGTTTGCCCGCTTCGCGAATACGGCCACTGGCGGCCATCTTTTTCGTAGAGTTATATTAACTCTAGCCAAGGTACAGCTCCTGCAGCCACTATCATCCAACCATGGCAGACAGCATTTTGGCATGTGTGGTGGCAGGCTGCCGTCAAAATAGGGTGGGTGATATTTCGTGCTTGATTGAAATTGTTTGACGAAACATGTTTTTGAAACCCAGCGTGAACGGTAGCCCGATCTTTGAGGACCCAGTGAAAGTTTTACGAAATCGCAGCTCCGAGGAAAAGCAGCACAGCACACATCGGAAGTCGCATAGAAAGAAGCATCGAAAGCAGACGCCGATATTGAGTCTGCTTTCGATGCGAGCTACGCTGCTTTCCCCCGGTGCTGTGCTTTCGTAGAACTTTCGCCAGGTCCTCAAAGATGAAGCTACCGTTCACGACGGGTTTCAAGAATCTGCTTCGTCGAACAACTTCAATCAAGCATGAAATATCACCCACGGTACAGTGTACTAGATCCACGGCTATTTTATGGCAGCCTGCCATCATTGCACTGTTTGCCATATTACTATGATGGCTAGAGATAATATAACTCTACCAAAAACATGGCCGACTGTGACCGCATTCCCGTCCATAGGCGGAGCTGGTCAAACGCGATCCAGAAAATAGACACAGAGATCAGTGGCGGTGACCAATGTTACCCTCCGAGCCTGGCGGGCCTACAAAGGTTAAGCTGGGGGGGCACCACATGATTGTCACAAACGGTAAACTTTGAAACTTTAGCTGGTCCAGACTGCTGGTGCAACATTTCGGCGGAAAATGAGCCTTCGACGACGCAGTTTATTTTTGCCGTGAAAAGCATTGTTAATATATTTTAGGTTGCATGCTGTACTACTAGTGATGAAGCGCTACAGGTTACTACATGCCTGCTGTTTATGTGACATATCCAATCAAAAGAGCTAGATTTGCTACTCCGTAACCCAGTGGCACCTCACCTGACAGAGCTGCTCGGTGGGTAGTGTCACGATGGTGTCGTCGAAGAAGAAGACGGAATCCTTCCTCTGGACCAGTTCGTCCCCTTCCAGCAACACAATGCTAGAAAAAGGCGGTGAACTTCAGTGAATGTATTTTTTTTACTTCGCGACTCACACCTATTCAGCCCCTGTGCTCAACAATGCTAGACTTCATAAAGGGGCCGTGTAGCAAGTAGCAAAGGGAAAACCGCAAAAAAGGTGTCATGTGACACGAGGCACGAGAAAAGAGCTTGCACTCGCAGATTAGGCGATTCGGTAACACTCCGCGCTACGACAATCTAGTGAGTCCCTTGTAAACATTGCATGCAAATAGTGCAGGTAACGAGTCTGTAACGCCTTTTAGCGACCCTGCATTTAGACCTCCACAGCCACACTGGTCATACATTGTACAGTAAACTTTCGTTAATTCGTCCTCGATGGGACCTTGAAATTTGGTTGAATTATCGGAATGATTGAATTAAAAAAAGGACAGAGAAATGGTTAAACTTAAACTTTCTTTTATTGTCCAAAGTACTCACGAATGGTCTGCTGCCGTCTGCGCTTAAAACGCGTGCGTGTCCAAAAGCATGCTCCGGAGAGCAAAGTAACCAAACGTCACATTCCCGGAAAATCGCACACTACAAAGGAAAAAGAAACAAAAAAAAAAGAAAGCTTCATGAGCAGACTTTGACGCGGGGCAGCCAAACCGTCAACAACTACAACAAAAAATTGACAACAAAAAAAAAAAAGGAGGAAAAGAGAATTTTTGTTTTTTGGCGCAAGATGCATTGCACATGATGCTACAGAAAAGCGCCTTGAGAGTGCACGCTGAGAAAGCTTTACGAGCCGACTTTGGTGCCAAGCAGCCAGACCGTCAACAACAAAAAAAAAGGAAACGAGAATGTGCGCTTTTTGGCACGCAAGATGGACCGCACATGATGCTACAGAAAAGCGCTTTGAGAGTGCATGCTGTTTCCGCGCCCGACCACGTGCTATGTTCTCCGCGCTACTCCACACCAGATTGGTTGTGCTGGCTCGTGTCATTCGCTACGGTCCATCTCAACGGCGTAGAGGAGCAGGCGCATATTTGTGCGTGTTCAACTTTGCAGCAAAGGGCCCGTGTTTCGCCATACGCTGGAGGTTTTTGCTGTGCAATGTGAGCCCGCGCGCATTCGCTCGGGATGAATTATTGAAAGCCGAGTCTTCCCGAGTTCGAATTATCGAACTTTTCTTCCCATAGAAATGTATGGGCACTCGCCCAAACTTTTGAACATGATTGAATTAAACGAAAAGTCGAATTAACCGAGGTCAAACTAACGAAAGTTTACTGTAAAAAAGATGTGGTGTTCGCCGTGGGCACAATGACAGAAATATCCACGCAAATGCCTCGAGCACGGCCGAAGCACGTTTGCTTTATACATGTGTATGCTTCAAACATCTCTGCAGACGGTTTCTGTACGACCAATGTGGCAGGACCTTCGTACAAGGAAGAAGCACGCCTCAGACAGCGTCTGTGGACTTAGCAGTGTGACCGCGGCTTTAGGGCTCCAGAATGCTCGGACTTTTTACTTCTCATAACGGCATGGACCATTTTTGCCTTCGCATTTACTTCTAGCGAGGCGCATGCCACAATCAGTTAAAAATATCACGCGTGGTCTTGCAAGCTCGTGTACAAGGGGTTTTCTTTTCCTCTTACGATTCGACATCTGGATGCCTCGGAATTCGACGAATACGTGGCAACGGAAAAACTCTTGCGCTCTCAAAGAGATGCAAACTTCGGAATGGTAGCCCTCGACCTCAATGATAGACTAGGGAGCCCGCGGATAACTTGGCGAGAGTCCCGCTAGTGGCCTACCAGGGCAGGGTGCAGATCGGGGGCTTCGCCCTGAGACAACCACGACGCCGAAGCTCCGCCTCCGCGTCTCCCCCAGCGAGGCGCCACAGGAAGTAGAGCTCCTGTAGGGGGCGCTCCTCCAGGGGCTCCCCTGAGACAACAAAAAGCATGTAAGTACAACGACGATGACGAAAATAATCCCTGGAGAAGGGGAACAAAGGGACAAAGGACAAACACAGCTGGACAAATCGTCATTCTTGTCCAGCTCGCTTGCCCCTTTGCATTTAATTGCATTATAAATATGTAAGTACACTTGCTTTTTCCAAGCCCTAAAGGGGCACAAAAAAAATCTTACAAATAAATCAATAAACTATTGTATTTATTTGCTTAATGAATGCACTCGCATAATAAATGCACCCCCCACAACGGGTACCAATATTTTGACTTTTTATTTCCCTCGCGTCATGAACGCATGCTAATTTTCATCTCCACGAGTCTCGGGGTGACTCCAACTTATACCCGTGCCACACGGGCAACTCGAATGCCATTTAAAACAATTGATGATCGGCGATCGGCGTGATCGGCGAATCAGCTCGCAATCGGTTGCGCGTGGAATGCGCCACGCCCAGAGTGTCGCGTGGTTATTGGCCGTCCGCTCAAATGTCATTCGTTGTAAATGGCATTCGAGTTGCCCGTGTGGCACGGGTATTAGCTAGCCACCAAGCCCACCAAGCCAATTTTCTTCTGCCGCCAAGTGGTCAAGTCAAGACAAGCCAGCCTCGTAATGGCTGTGAGTGCGTAGTTGAGGGGGTGATCAACCGTGCGACCGAGCGGCGCGCATGCTTCGCAAAGTTTGGATCGAGGAATTGCCCAGCCCCGGACATCCTTAGCATATTGGATGCATTGACGTCAACAAACATGCCGTCGTCTGTGGTTCGCTTTAGGAGAGTGAAATCGTGAAAGTGGTTAGACCTAAGAATGGTTGCGTTGCTCTCCTTGCTGAATGAGCTTCGTGGGGTGCTTTTCCTTCGGCAAAAGGCACGCCGTAAGTGCCCTATAAAGGTTTGCAATTTATAAAGCATGGCTACTGTGGTGCGTTCACGACCAGCCATGGGTGCGCTTTTGTCGGTGCAGGCATACCACGGTACCTTGCCGTGTCATATTGGCACCTAATATATGACCTTTTTGAACGTAGTGTGTAAAAGCAAAAAATTTACCAAACATTTTGGAGAAAAAAAGTGTGTTGACTATGCAAGTAAATACGGCAAGTGCAACAAAACTTTTCACAGAGGTATCCTTAGGTGGTGCATTCATCATACTCAAATTTCATAAGTGCTAGGTATCAGAAAAAAAATTAAGCCTAAAATATCCTTTTTTTTTCTACGCACTGGGAGGCAAACGGTAAAAATTGTCTGGTTAACGTTGCGACTCCCACGTGCCACAACACAAAGCAAAAACGTGAAAGCTTTTTTTGAGATGAGCTCCCGAAAGCAGGTCCGGCAGATCCGAGCAGGTCTAGTACCATTTGTGAGTAGCAGAGCATCAATCAGACAGTTTGTTTCTGTTTTCTTCCCAGGGCATAGTAAAAAAAACTGAAGTTTTAGGCTTAAATTCTTTTTTTTTTCCTGAATCCCACATTTATGAAATTTGACAATGATAACTGCATCACCTAAAGACATCTCTGTAAAAAGTTTCATTGCCCTCTTTTCACTAGCTTTAGACTTAGGCTAGGTGGCGCAAGCTACCGCCCATTTCAAAGGGCATAGCCATTAGCATCCATCCATACATGTACACATTTCACACAGCATTCTTTTACCATACACTTGAAATAATTCTGACAACGTTCTCAGAGACCATTTCTCAAAAACAGTGTGGAGATTTGATCTCGTAAATACTGCAAAATCTTCAGTGTATAAAATTTTACATCCACACAGTCATGACCAATTGGATGTATCGCTGCAAGTTCCATGATACCTGCTACAAAATAACCAAGAAGTGTGCTGGTGTGGGCTGTATACTTACTGTATGTTTCGTTATCAAAGATAGTCACACAGTGAAAGCCTGTTGACAGATACAGTGCAGCACGAACTCAGCACTAAAGACAGAGAACTCACTTTGCACTATCTTAGAGCTGCATCGCATTTGTAAACTGACCTTTAATGTGCATGGTCTCAACCAGGAAGTCTTTACGTGCACTTAGCTTAGGGTGATGACATTTGATTGTTTTATTTTGAACGCTCAATTTTCTTTTTTGTTCTGGAGTGCGCGAAGGGGCGTCCCCTTGCATGTGTTCTTCGCGTCGACTGTGCTACGGCAGCACTTTGTTTTCACAGATTTTTCATATTTTTCCCACAAGAGTGCAATCTGGACATCAGATACTTGAAAGAATGTCATTCCTAAACGGAAAAGCATTGAGGCACCCTAGTTTCAGCATGATAGCCTTCCTGCAGTGCAGCCGTGTAGTGCGGCAGAGCAACCGCCCTGGTTCGGGTTTCAGCGCACTCTTCTAAGATTGGCTCAAGGTGCACGGCGTTCCAGGCATCAGAACACTTTCAAGCGCGAGACACATGCGCGAAAAATCCATCTGATCCGACGTCCGATCCGGCAGTGCGACTGCCTGATCCGAAAAATTTGGTCGCTTCAGACGTCGGATCGGCGATCCGACGTGCGTCCAACGTGCCAGATAGTTTCGCACGGCGGACGGATTGTCGGAAGCGTTCAGCCAATGACGGCACAGCTAGCACGAACGTCATGATGACGTACTGGGTCTGGCGGGACGGGCGACGGGAAGCCGGATCCGTGAATCCCGCTGACCCATTCGAGAAAGATGGCCCCGGCAAAGAATGCACGCGCTAACGAGAACGAGCTTCTAACTTTGCTCGTGTGAGCTAAACCGTCAATCTGGGACCAGAGATCTGTGAACGCGAACCTCCGCTGGAGTGCTTGTATCTCCTGGGCAGAGCCAAACGGATTGCCGTGTCGCATGCAAAGTCGGAAGCGTGTCTCAAAATGTCGCGTGCGGCGATTCGGAGTGTGTTCGGAATGTCGGATCGGACGATTCTGCCGTCCATGTGTCTCGCGCTTCACTCTAGTTTTCCATGTTTGAATTTCTTGTTATACTTTACCGCCGTTAGTTTTCGATGGAAACTACGACCCTAAAGGGTGAGGGAGAAGTGCGAGTAGGCTTACCGAGACAGGGACCGGCATCAGTCAGTGTGAGAGGTTCACACCGCAGAGGGGACACCTGGGTACTGGTCGCTGGGATAGCATCCCCACTGGAAGTGCCTGCTCCAGCCACCAGGGGATGAAGGAGCAGCTGCTTGGCAGTGGGCCTGAACATCAGCCACAAATAGACAAAAAATAATTTGTACGTTACTTCGATTATTTCTCGATGATGACCACCAACAGCAAACATGCCTCTCTGGTGGTTCATCACAACAAAAAAGCATGTCATGAACATCTGAACACAACATAGCACATAAAAATATTGAACAAAGTAGAAATCTACATTTCTTATGACAGTTCTGACATCGGAAAGTTTTTTTCAAAATAAGGAATTATTCTAAGGCATGAACGTGTCAATTGCAGATGCTGAAAAACTATTGAAGAAGCCTTCCGTTTGAATTAGAGGTGAGAGCTCGAAGCATTTACCAGCAAAAAAAAAGCTTAGAGGTGCCGTGTCACTTCCACTACCACAGAGGTCAGCAACCTTTTGCTGCAGCGGGCAGAGGGCAAACGTTCAACACGATGTGCAGCGATAAAAAAGTTGAACAGTCCTGTATTAAACCACAGTACAGTTACAGCGACCGCCGCAACAAATCACAGCGACAAGAATCGACTGCACGTTCATGCACAGTCGGGTGCGTGAACAAAAGCGTTTGGAACAAAATAGACATCCGACCATTTCGTTTCGAATGATCTTGTTTCTTTTTTTGTTCCGGAGCATGTGAAATCGCGTCTCCCGGCACGAGCTCTTGGCCTTGACAGTGTTACAATGTCATTTTGTTAAGGGCTATTCTCCTTTCCAAAGAGTGCGTGCAGTGGGCATCAGGTAATACAGAAACCCTAAGTTTGGAGTGGGCTTTTAAAGGCATGGTGTAGCTCAGTGGTAATGCCTCCGCTTCGCATGCAGCAGACCCAGGTTCGATTCCCACGGGCGGCAGGCAATTTCTTTCAAGGATTCGGCAACATCGACGACAGACACCCACAACAACAACTACATCAACAACTACTACTACAACATTAACAACTACAACTACTACTACAATGGACGTCATTTCTAGTCATAGTGAAAAACGGCGTGACTGGGATCAGGACAAAGAAGAGAGATACACTGGGCAAGTGCTAGACAAAGAAAAGAAATACACTGGACAGGCACTCTTTTTCACCATGAACTCCCACCAACTTGCCCAAATGTCCATTCTAATAGGTTTCACTTCAGTGTTGGGAACAGCCCATTACAGCTATCACTGTAAAAGCTGCTTCCAAGCCCCTTTTCAGTACGATGATTGCTTCTCCATACATTGCTTGCCAAGACCCGAACATTCACATTAAAGCTATTAATTGTGGATACTAAAACATTTTGGAGGTACTCATTTGTCATTTGTAAATGCATGTTTGACTTTACGTTCTTCATCCTGAAAACATATGTTCACAGACAGATGTGCTATAGCAAACACGGCGATCAAGGCAGCTGCGAGCTTTCTTAGATTTGAAGACTAATTCAAGAAGGCCAGCCTGAAACTGCACAAAGTAGTTCACTTCAAAATATTTTTAAACTTTTTCCCTGTATGGTGATCAGCGAGATCTACCTCTTGAACTTGGTCAAGCTCTGTCACATACTGTAAATTACTTCAAGAAAATATGGAAATTAGCAAAGCTAAATTCCCAGTTTGCATCTCATACTATCTCACAGAGAGTCTCTGTATGAAATAGCCTGCTTGCTTCTACTACAAAGGTTCTTAAAAAAAAAAAAATCCTAGAAATTCCTTGTTGATAGAAATTACTGTTTGTTAGCTGGAAATCTCGCTTTTGAGACCATCCTCTCCAAAAGTTTCCCTTTCCTTTGAAATCTTACGTTCAGGTCGTTAAGCTGTCGTGAAATATCAGCCAGTAATGCCAAGTCACACATGCAATCAGGATCAGGAGTTTGTGCAAGAGCGTCTTTACACAAACCAAAAACTGTGATTCCTTCTTGAAAATAAAAAAGCCGCAAAAACTCTTCTTTTACATATCCATCGAACTTCCGGGGGTTACTGTGCAAATCCTCAAGTAGGCCTTTATGCACAACAAAAGCTTAAAAATGAGAATGGTACAAACAGCCATTCCGAACAAAATTGATGCTAGATACGAGCACTTTAATTATTGATTCCCGATGCATCACTTTGGCGCACAACTGCTAATGGATAATCCAATGAACATAGAAACTAAACTAACCCTCAGGAGTGTCATTTCATTGCATTAGGTTTGCAACCAACCATTTTTTCATGTGCCAAAAGTTTTCGAGATTGTGTGTGTAAAGGGGGGAAGGAAGGAAGAGGTCTTTATGTGAGCGTGTTAGAAGCCGCATAATACTGCCTCGCAGGCCCAATTCCTCTTCTTTTTTTTTTCACTGAATTGCACGGATTTCTTGCATCGCATATTCATGTTGTGTTTTTGCTATGCTATTGAAACCTCTACCACGACTTGACCCCCCCAAAGTTGCTGGGCGGTAGTACTCTTCAAATACGTAAATACATATGAGGTTCTGGGGAGCCCATAAACCTCGCTTTCATGGTCAATTTGTAAAAAAATAAAGAAAAACAAACACACTCACCTGTTTTTAGGCAGCACTGTCAGGCACAGCCGAATAAAGGACTTCACAGCTGCATCCAATTCCTGTTAGAGCCAAGTCCCGTAAGAAAGCACCATGCTAGTTCAACCGATAATTGCTATGGCACAAGTCCAAACAAATTCCTGAAGTAACAAAAGCTGGCAAGAAGAAGGTGCACAAGGTAATCTTGCCTGGGCTCTCAGAACGATGGCAAATGTGCCGTGAAAACGGCACGTTTGCTACCATACCGTACCTCGAGAGGCTGGCTATGACAGGAAGACAAGCACTTCTTGCAGACTGCTACTGTAGTAGATGCCCTTGAAACAGGCAGAAATCTGCGCAAAGCCTAATGCCGCGTAAATACGAGAACTCCTACGCCACAATGTCTACGTCCACGGCACTGAAAAGACAGCCCTCCATTTGGCAAGCTTAGCCAGCAAATGTGCGATTGGTAACGACATGCTGTAACCAGATGATAGGCGTGAGCACTTGTCAATTCCTACTGCCTCAGTAGACAACTAAAATATCCTCTCACATCATGTACCTCTATCTATCTTCAACCACGGATGCTTAATCCAATCTCTACAAAATACCGCCCAATACGCATCTATTTCATCAATGCATAGCTACTCAATGGAAGGGTTCGACTTCTAGGCTTATGGTAGCAACTCACCTCAACCTCCTTCTGGCATTTGTCTAGTTCCGAGAGAGCAAGCAGTATGTCTCCATCTGTGAGAAGACAAGACATTCAACATCCTGGACTCAAAAAAGTTGCAGAATTATACAACACATTGCCAAAGGAAGTCTAGATCGAGGGACCTTACGGATATATTGCTTGGTATGAAACAGGAAAGGCAGCAGTCTTGGTCATGTCCCCTCTACCCCTACTGCACCCCAAAATTGCTCTTGACCGTTGGACTAATCAAATGAATAATTGTGCACTCATACAATACAACTCTCAATTTGAATTTTATGCTTCCTTACAGCTATGATTCCGTGTTTTTGAAGTTTATTTTTCGTGAAATTTGGAGGGTGCTTTCTTTTTAGTTTAATTTTTTGCCATACATTTCCAATTTCCGACTTCCAATTTTCGAGCATTTGGAGTTTAATTTCGCTGCGTTTCCAATTCTTCAAAATTCAAAACAAACATAAAACATATCTGGACATAAAAGTGCATTAAGTTCACAAGAACTCGCTTCTGCCAAATTATATTTCTCCAGTTGGATTTGGCGTGGTGCCCTTGGCACATGTATTACTAACTATCACACAATAAAATTTAAAAAAAAAGAAGTATTGATTCAATAGACGTCAAGACTTCAGGATCAGTAAACTTCTGGACGTAGTCGCTGGGAAACTCGTTTCCTTCCCATCCCATTACACCACTCTGCCTGCTGCGTGAGGTGGAGTGCTAAAGCGATTTCAACTGCCCCTCTCCATCTCCAATGGAATGCACAAGTTGATAGCTTTCAGTCCTATAAAACTGAACTCCTCCTTCCTTGAAGAAGCACAAAGAGTAGGGTCAAAACAAGAAACTGGAACAGTGGCTTTTGTCGTGGCCCAGGAGTACAATACCTGCTGTCCTGAACGAACTTCCGAGGAGATAAATTGTATGTCCCCTTTGGTGAAGGGTCTGATATTTGAAAGGAAACTAGAGTAGCGTCTACTCAGGATAAGTGACTGACCCGGTTCCGAACCTATTTGTAGATTATCGTTACACTGCGACCTCGAAATTCAGAGTTTATTGGATGAATCTGAATTGACGAAAGTCTGACTGACAAGTGTTTTTTTGTGTTTTGTGGATTTATCCGAAAACATGAAATCTTACTGATAGAGTATACGACGGGGTTGGAACAACTAAAACTACATGTCATGTCCATACATAGCAAACTTGAGACAAAATAGAAATAAAAAAAATGGACAGAACAACTGTTGTTCTGTCCGTCTTTTTATTTTTCCTCTGTCTCGAGTATACTATAAATGTCACTCATCAACTTGACTGCATTTTTTTTCTCTATCTTCACTAATTACGTGTCATGTGAAGGTTTGGGTACCGATACAGGCAAAAAGCATCACAGCATTAAAAGTCACTCCACGGCTTGAACTCGATACAATATATTAGACAGTGCGCCCGAGCCACAAAGTGATGTGCAGTATGCCTGATGAAAAAAAAGAGTACAACGTAAAATGAACCACTTACTTCCTTTGATAGAGGTCAGAAGCTGCTTGAATACGCACTCAATGCTGGCATTGCTCAAAAGCTCACGTCCCTGAAAAAAAAAAAAAAGGAATAAAGCACACTTTATATGCCTAAAGAAGATGAGCTTCATGCAAAGAAAGCTTTGTCAAATGGGGAGTCTCCGGCTGTTGTAATTGTGATAAAATCCTCACCAGGGCAAGCTCCAGTGCAATGATTCCTAGGGACCAGATGTCGGCCTTGGGTCCTTGAAAAGATGGTCTCTCCTGCGTCAGAACCTCAGGTGCCAAGTATTTCGGAGTTCTGCGTTTAGGATGAAGCGAGGCCGATCAAGCAGAGTAACCTTTCTGCTCAGCCGCACACACTGTCATGAGACACAAGATCTTGTGCAAATATATCACATTACATTACATTACTTAAATCATAACAAGAACTTTGCAAGCTTTAGTAAAGTTCTTAAGGCTGATTATACGCAGACGGAAAGGAATTTAGGGTCTCCTAATGGACGATGCAAGTGTAATAATAAAAATAATAATAATGCTGGTGATGATGATGACTGATATTTTCTTATCGTAAGCCATCACAAGTGGTCGTAACGCAGTCGATCACAGTCAAACACAAATGTGTGAACCCAGCCTTTAAGGTGATTCTTCAGCTAGATTAATACCCAATGCCAAAAGCCAGTCATGCTGTGCAAAAGTCGAACCGTCTCACCCAAGCGGGAACGGAATGGTCTTGCCATGCTCGGTCATGTGGTAGAGTCCATAGTTGGAAACTTTGATATGACCCTACACAAAGAAAACACTTTATGCGTGGGATATTCACACCTCGGCCGGCTTGCTATGAACAGTGTCTTAGCTACGACTGTGTGAAAGAAAGCCTGCCGAGTCTGGAGCACGTGAATGCATGAAGCTCGACTTCACAAGCCACTGCACTCGTGCACTAGCTTCGGCAGTGCTTTGTTTTACACGGTCTCGGCTAAGACGGTGTTTCTAGCAAGCAGGCCTATGAAATGCCTTTGTAGAGCTGCAAGTACAGTGTATTCACACCTTATCGTCCAGGAGGATTGAGCTTGGAGACAGGACATGGTGTACAATGCCATGGCCGTGCAAGTAGACCAAGGCATCTAGTGTTTGCCTGCACACTCTACCAATAGCCTCAGTCCTGCAAGAATTCATGTAGATTGATCATCCTCGCTGGTCACGTTCTTTCGACAGGTTAAACGTAAGCAGGAGAGTTGATCCAACGTACGGCAGTTTCTTTGGAATTTCATCCTTCAGGCTTGTCTTGAAATGCTCGAAGACGACCACCAATCTCTCTGGAAAGTAAGACAGAGACGGGCTGGGGCGGAATATTTATTGCGGATGATTCGTCAGCGGTGGTTACTATAGCTCACACTGCTTGAGCTGAACGTGGGTGGCATGTGGCGAACATTTAGGTTGATTTTTTTTATTTTCCAACAAAAGGTATAGTGTTGGTGGTCACAATATTTACATACGTGCATATACACAGCAACCTAACATCACCCTCAGCCCAGGTTGAGCCTGACACCTATCCTGGATAAATTACTGTTTTGGTGGCATGACTTAAAAATGTATGATAAAATGTCTTACCATGTTTGCTACGAAGCACATCCAAGTATGTACAAAGGTTCTTGTGCGACAGCTTCTTTAACAGTTGGAAGAGACCCAGAATCCTGATAGAATTTGGTGTGAGTGGCAGGCCATTATTGCCGCAGGTGTCCTTGGCATGGCACGACGCAAAGAAGGTCCTTGCACCCAGTGTCGTTTTCTTGAGCGAATCCATGTCTGATAAGAAACATACAATGCCTAATATATACTTCTAAGAAATTCATAAATATCGTTGTGCATTCAATACATCTTTAACAACATGCTATGGTGTTTGATGATCCACGTCTGAGAAGATTCATTCAATGAATCGTAGACCAAAAACACTCAAGCGTCCACGAGTGAGATTCATCACGTATCAGTTGTTTACGATTCCCTGAGAGCGTCACTATTTATATCTTCTTCAACGGTGCGCTTTGACATTTGGAGAAACATCAGAATGAACATTTGATGTGAAAAGTGATGTAAATTAGGGCCCTCCGCACAATACTACAGACACCAAAACCAGTCGCATTGATCGTGTATTTTCGCGTGATCGTCACTCAGAAAGAGCAAACGGAGCTTTGAATGTACTACGTGAGGTGGAAAGTGCAATGTTGTCCCAAACATACCACTTGGGCTTGTTTGGTGTTTTCTCCACGTGCTACACTTCCCAAACTCCAAACAAACTTTTTACTGACTCACAAATCCCCATGACAGCTGACAGCACCCGCGTCGCCCGCGTCCTACGGAGGTGGATACGGCTCTTTTACACGCCCCTTTATCTGGATTCTGGATCTGCACGGATCAACTATGAAACGATGATGATAGCTGTTTCAGCGTGTTTGCCGCGTTTGATGTTACACACGTTATTAGTCTGTTTTCTTTCATTACACAAGTAAATGTTGCTCAAAGTGAGCCGGTGAGCCCCCGATTGAAGACTGTCATGGATTATTTGCGATAATGATGATGATGATGATGATCATTTGCAGCTTTTCTCTCGGGCGGTTCAATAACTCTATGGGCGGTCCTAGTAGGCGGTCCCATGGTGTCTGGGACCTAGCTTGTGGGTTTTACGTGGCCCCTTTTTGAATCCTTAGCCACCAATTCTTTAGTCACTTTTTCACCACTCCCCGTACTCAACCAAGCCCCCTCCCCTCCCTTTAATGACGTGAATTGTAAGCGCGAAACTTTGAACACGGTTTAACCTCGTTCCGTGACACTCATGTGTTGACAGCGTAGAGTGGTTGTGTACAATGAAAAACAAATGTTTCCCTTTCTTAACAAAATCTATCAGCATTCGACGGCACATACGGCATTCACGCGTGAGGACCTTGGAGAAGAGGTACCAAAAGAAGGACACAGGCGACCAGTGCTTTACAGCAGCAGCTGTTAGCACTGCTGTAAAGCACCTTTCCGCGGAAGTCCGGCGGCGATCGTACGCAAAATCCCAAATGACAGCGGTGAGTGACAGCGCTGCCGCGCTATCACTCACTTTCCATCGCCGTCTCCTCTCGCGCAGTCACGTTATCTATGGCAAGATGTGCTACCGCTCCCTCACTCCCCCTCCCCCCCCCCCTTTCCCCTTGCCAGCTCCCCTCTAAAAAAAAAAAAGGAAGAAATTCACCCGCGCGTCAACAAAGAGGTGCGGTTTTGGACGTTTTTTTTTTGGGTGGCCGTGAGGGCCATTAGAACAGTGGCGTTATTGGTTAATATTTTTTTTTTAGGTAAATGACTACAATGTTTTTATTAACGTGTGCCTTTTTATTTTATTTTTGGGGGCGTAACGTAGTTGGAGAATCGGTGCTTGATCTCATTGTAGCCTAGCCGTGAAGTGAAATTTGAAATATAAAGCTCATAGTGGGCGACACGATCCCAAACCGAAACTGGCAGGTGAGGCGCGTCTGTGACGTCGACCTGAACCCACGAGTCCGCGCGTACGCGCCGCAGGTGACGTCAGCAGTGCGACGGAAGCGTAAAGCGCAGAGATGACATCACGTGCGCGCTTCGCCGAGTTAGTTTCGGTTTGAGGCTGTCTGCAAGGATAACAAGAACGTCCAACGACCCGATCCAGGCTGATACCAGCCAATCACGGCGTCGCGTACGTTCACGCGAGGCCGTGATTGGCTGGCGACTAGTCAGGTTCTTCCATTTTTCCGACTCGTCACATAAGCCGTGATTGTACGGACATTTGGTCGTGTATAAAACCTCCAACCAAAGCCACAAAGAAAAAAAAAAAAAATTGCAAGGCTTCCATTTTGCGGTCACTGATGAACTGGAAGGATTTGAGTAGGCGCGGTCTTGTACTCGTTGCTGGAAAAGAGTAATAGATCACAATTACAATCACTCTTGCTTAAAAGGTATTCAGTTAGATCACTTGATTACTCGAGACGAAGAGTCATAGGCCGTTGCTTGAAAAAGTAACCATTACTTCTCCGATTACTTCAAATTTTCGAAACGACAGAGCGTTCTGCCGGTTTAAGAATGGGTCTTTTCTAGTGTCAATAATTACTGGATTAGAGTCGCCGAATTACGAACTACTTATCTCCTTAATCCACCGATTTACGTAATCTATCCTCCCGTGGGAGATTTAGTTGGAGGTTTTCTTGGTAGGAGACTTACTGAACAAAGGGTGCCATTAGAAAAGGAGGGGAAAGGGGGGGAGTAACGGTTACAAGTAATTTTAATATCGATCAATCAATCAATCAATCAAACAATTTTATTTCCTCTCCATCTGAGAGGGGAAGGCAGGAAAAAACAAAGTAGCATGTCGATACTTGACGAAGCCCCCGCCTCCCCGTTACATCCGCAGAAGGAGCTCAACAAATGAGTGAATGAACAATTTAACATATATAAAGACAGGTAATCGAGTGTTTTTACAGGACAGTGGTGTCAATTACATACAATGCAAAGGGTTAAACAAGGTTAACATAATTCAGTATTTCACACGCTTGCTCCGAGAGTTTAGTAATGAGCACACTATAATGCACATTGACTTTCAAAAATATATACGCAACTGTCTCTAGAGTCTATACCATCAAAACATGACAACACCTATTCAATGGATCACTCAAATAGGCCACGAATTTCTTTTGTGCTTATGTTCGCCACGGAAATTTCCTTTGCTTCAAGGTTATTTAAAATTCTTGGGAGAGTAGAAGCCAGTCTCTGGACACCATAATTGGTTCTGGAGCGCGGTGCGGCCCAGTTTCGAGAATGACGAGTGCTGTATGATGCGTCCCGGGGCTCCAAACATGAGAGTGAATTAAAAACGCTCTCAGAGTTGTTTAATGATCGTTTATATGACATCAAAAGCTTATAACTACAGTGATTTGTGGTTTTTAACATGTCAAGCTTTTTAAATAAAGATTTCGTGGAATGATCATCCGCTACGTACATTACACATTATTCATATTGCCCTCTTTTGCATTATAAAAAGCCTCTGAACGTTCGTTTTCGTAGTGGTACCCCAAACCAGGAAACAGCAATCGAAATATAAGCAGAACAGGGCCTGATATATAAGCAGCATTATCGAGGATGGTATGATATTACGGTATTTATACAAAACGCCTACAACCTTTGAGAGCTTTATGGTTGTGTCCTGCACCGTCTCATCCCACAGCACATGTTCGTTAAAAGTTACGCCAAGCAGCTTAGCATTTTTTACAATTTCCACATCTCGTGAGGCAAGCGAAAGCCCTCCCGGCAGGTTGCTGGTGCAACTTGTATGTTTTGCGCGGAAAATAATTGCCTTAGGTTTTGCAGCATTTGTTGTTAATGAATTTGCGGGTAAACTCTGCAAGAATAGATTTGCTCTTCCTATAACGACGTCAATGCTAGTTCCAGAAAAAAACAAGCTTGCATCATCTGCGTATATTATGTAGTTGACGTTATCTAAGTTCACCATGTCATTTATAAAAACATTGAAAAGAAGGGGCCCGAGAATACTTCTTTGAGGTACACCTGCCTTTATTTGGCGCATGTTTGAACGCTCCCCGTCAATTTCAACGTACATATAACGGTCTTGTAAATAGCGTTCGATTAGGTTCAGAGCAACACCCCTGACGCCATTAAGGTCCAGTTTCTGCAGTACCGTTTAATGTTGAAGGCAATCGCCGAATGCCTTCGAAAAATCGATAAATATGCCTAACGTTAGCAGTTTGTTTTCGATGTTGGTTAGTATCATTTCTTCCTCTTTTAGTAACGCCAACTCGATCCAGTACCCCCTTCGGAAACCAAATTGACAAGGGGTAATAATTGAGTATTTTTCACAGAAAGCATATAGTCTCATGTGCATAATATTTTCTAGTCCTTTAGAGAATACCGGCAGTACAGACGCCGGCCTGTAATTACCCACGTGGTTCTTATCCCCTGCCTTGTGGAGGACAGACACCTTGGCCACTTGCATTCTATGAAGAAACACCCCGTCCTGAAGGGCGAGGTTATAAATGTGGGTCAAACAAGGGACGATATATGAAGTACACGCTTTACAGGCCCGATTTGAATGCCATGCACGTCGTTACTTTTACTGTGTCTAAAATTGTTAAATACTGATACTAATTCACTGTCAGGGCAGTGGGCAGAAGAAAAACACTACGCTATTAGTATGTCCGCGAAATCATTACTGGATCTGTAAGCCAACACGGCTCCAGTTATGTACTTCCCGTTTACAGTTATCGTTTTAAATGAGTCACTACATGAGTCAGGTTTAACTAACATGTTCACTTTTGATTCACGTTTTGATTTACGAAGGCGTTTGTTACCATGTTCCTTCGAATTCGAACTTCGCGGAGGGCGCTTAAATCTCTAATGTGCTTAAATTTATTATAGAGCGCATTCTTCCGATTCATCATACTTATTATCTCCGAAGTATCCCAAGGCTTGCGTGATTTCTGATGCACTGGACACTTCTTGTAGGGAAAGCACCGGTTATAGATATTTGTAAACGTTTCAAGAAGGATATCATGTCTCGTCAGGTGAGTGACAGGAAAGAACCGCACTCCAGTTCGTAAGTTGTATTTCCTCTTCGAAATAGTTGAGTCTTCTTAAATCTCGGTGGAAAGTGTAATTTGTGTTCGATGACTTTTTTTTACATATATATATATATATATTTTTTTTTAGATCGGCAAACAAATAAATTGGCCAGGGGTCACTGATTGTGGCACCAATAACACCAGCAGTTAGGAGTGAATCATCAATATTTGTTATGAACAAGTTTAGAAGCGTTGTATTCGTATGATTTGCCCGAGTTCTTAATGATATATGTAATCAAATTATTACAAAATTACCCCAAACAGTGATCGATTATGGGTAATTTGATTACTCGAAATGTGTACCGCTTAGGTGTGAGTAATGCATTCTGCTCCACGGGGATTATGTCGAGAAGGTGGACATATTTACCTACGACTAAGCGACTGGCCAGCGGCTGCAGCAAAATAATAAACTGCAAATCAATAGGATGACCTCTCGCATAAAACCTTTTTAGTGAAAAGAAAACAAAACAAACAAAAAATAACGGTACTTACGAACTTGAATATCGAAACGACCTGCGACCATTGGGGAGTTTTAGTAGATCATTCCGCAAACCCGGATAGGATAACGGTTAGGGAGTTTTACTGATTGTTCCTATACTTCTGATAACGATACCTTAGAACGATAAGATGCACGCGTAAAGGCGTCGGCGGAGCATCGTTATCGGAGTCATCGGAACGATCTACTAGATATATTTTAGTAGATCGTTCCGATATCTCCAATAACGGTAAGGATTTACTAAAAAAACTCTATACTAAAACTCTACTCCGCCGGTGCCTTTGCGCATGCAACCACGATCTTCTAAAGCTTGCTACTGCCCGGATGCAAAGTTCGTGTAATAAGTTGGACACCCGAAGGACCCTCCCTTCTTTCCTTTTCCCACGCACGCACACACACACACACACAACCGGACAGAGCGAGTTAGCACTGAAGACCGCTCGCAATCTGAAAGCAAGCCAGCCGAGGGGGAACAGCCCTGACCTCGAATGGAACGGGGAAGCGGGTTAGGAGTTCGGCGGGCTATTACGTCAGCGCGCGGCCGCAGAGCCGTCGACGAGCAGTATCCCGGAGTCGCCGTTCGCTACGAGGCGCAGAGATCGGCTCTGTTCTACTCCGTTCGCCGTCGGTGTGGGATTGGAGGTCAAGCTTGGCGTCTGTCTTCGTCGTCGCACCGGAGTTGGTGGCGCGGGAGGAACACTGCGCCGGCGCCGTCCGGTGTGCACCCGTTGTGATGCTGTCGGTCGTCTCCACGGAACGACTGCTGACTGCCCTGGTATGTAAGCAACCGACTTTGTTTTATGACAGAGCCTCCACTGACCCGACAAAGATCCATTGTTACGACATCTCGAACACCCGAGACTTGGAACAAAAAAGTGGACTTTGTGTGTGCGTGCGTGGCGTGCGTTTTTGTGTGCGTGCACGCGAGTTTTGTTGTTCACTTTCTTGTGTCTAAGTCATGGATGTTTAAGATGTAGAAAGTTCACTGCAGCTTGCCTCCATATTCTTCGTCATTTCTATCTTTAACTGTTGTTTTGACAACAAATAAAAAAAAAACACACGTAAAAACACGCTACAAAAAAGTCCAAAAGTAAAAAAAAAGTTTGTATTAGGTTGGGTTGGACATGTCTGCTGGAGTGTTTGTCGTTTGTTGCTCTTGTGGGACTTGGCCCTCCCCAACGAAGTCGGCGTTCTAGATCTTTTTTTTAAAACGTAATCAATGTCGTGTTTTTTTTTTTTTTTTTTTACTAAAAGTGAGTTGTGAACATTACGAGACGACATAGTATGTGGGCATTTCCAACGATGCCGCAAGCGTGCACACAGTTGAGCCCAAGCCTGTGGGTAATCTGGTTGATAGCGTGAAAATTCCCTAATTCTGAAAGGGTGACAAAGTCGCCTCACTATTACTTAAAAAAGAAGAAAGAAAAGCGAAACATGGCAGTTAAGTGTTAAAAAAAAAAAGAGCTCACGTTACATTTGTCGCCGAAGAATACGATGAGTGATCCTTCGTTTTTTCCCAGCATAATCTCCTGGAAAAATAGACAACGACTTCTGTTACAGAGCAGAGAGTTCAACAGGCGCGTGACAGTGGGGCTTGAGATAACATCGTCATGAATTCGAGGAACCTGAAGCGATACCGTCCGTGGAGCCGCAGAAAAAGAAAGCCAAGCTCTCAAAACAAAAATCAACAATAAATAAATTTAAAAAAATACAGTTAGATACACGCATTCAGTTTGGCCTCTTGCAATAGCGGCCGACAGACTTCTCACGCGCAAGTCATCCTGTCTAAAGTCGCGGCAGCTAATACATATATCATACACACTACTGTCCTGTTGCACACAGTGGATCTTCTTGTGGCAGCCTCGTTTCTGCGGGAAGTACTTCGTTAAAATGGTGACACCACATCCTTGTTGTGCTCGGTCGCTTTTTTTCCTTTAGACTCCAAGGTCGCCGGGTTTGTTGTTTTCTTACACCTTTACCACCTTTACTTTGTTTTTTTTCGCACTTGTGTCGAGAGAACAGGAAGTTCTGGTTGTCGTCTCTTCTATGGTTACTCGTTCTCCTCTGGGAATCCTGGGACTGGACCTCGAGGGTGGCTAAATATATATATTTTCGATTACGCGGAACATCTGCGAATTATATTTTAAAAGCTTATCGGATGCCACACTGACGAACGCGCTAGTACGCAGGTTGAAAAACTTCAGCACTGCTTCGACCTTCACGCGTATGTCTCCCGGAGGACACGAACTGCATTGAGGTTCTAGTTGTTACGCTGCCTAATAAATTTTCGCAAGAGGACTTCGACGTCCAGATATCAGTATTTACGATGTTCTCTTGGAAAAAAGAAGCGACAAAGATTTCGTCGCTTCTTTTCGATACAAATCTGACAAAATAGCCAGGCTTGCATTATCTGACAAAATAGTCTGCCTTGCTTTTTCTGAAAAACTGGCTGACAAAATAGCCTTTCTTGCTGAGCTGTTACAAAATAATAAAATAATATACGCCCACTGCAATAAAGTTGAACATTGTAAGCCTGCCGACTGGTGCTTCGGCTAGCCCAATAGACCCTTTCCTTGTTTACAAACGTAAGCCATGTCTTGAATTCCAAGCGACTTCCGGTCGTTTTGTTTCGGCGAGCCTTCCAAACCTTCCAAACCAGTGTTCCAAACCACTGATCTCTATGACAATTGCTGGATCGCGCTTCCCCGCACCGAAAATGAAGCCACCGTCGGGATATGCTCTAGCGCTGTCAAGCCTAGACAGTTACCATGGTTACCGTGTGTAGGTCACGTGACAACAGAGACAACCGCCGCCTTGACAACGCTTCGGCGTGCGGTCGTGTATCACTACTGCGTGATGCACGTTAAAGACCCCAGGCTAGCGGCTGTACCGCACTGGCTAAATTTCTCATCTACAGCTGGGAGACTCGTCGCCCCTGTGAGGCAGACCAAGTTCTAGGCTGTATAAACACACACACAACCCAATTTTTTTTTGACAACGCTTCCGCGGAACCCGTAAGATGGCCGACCGGTGGCTTCAATTCCCCCAATGGCTCGAAGAGGGGAAGCGCGATCCAGCAATTGTCATAGAGATCAGTGTTCCAAACTTGTTTATGTCACTTGCTATGGTGCCCAAGTGCTACCGAAATGAGAGAGTTGGAGATTTAACAAATTCTTTCTGCTTAGCTATTCATTCAAAAATAACGTTCGGTATACTTGACTACCTTTTTTTTTTTTTTTTCAAGTTGGCTTTAAATCGGGTATGTTCAAGGCGGTACCGATAAGGTATAATATTCTAATTGATTTATCATCCTCACCCTAATGTATGCTTAGCTATTCAGGTTGGTGGTCGGTCGCGTCTCCGGAGTTATCAAACATTGCAAAATCCAACAGATCCGTTTCGCGCCAGTTTAACGATTAAGGTCTTTTAGTTTCTACTCCTGAAAGAAAAGTGGCAAGGCTAATTACTGAGTGATTGTGTAAGGGAGAAAAAAAGAAAGAAAAAAAGGAACGAGCAGGAATAAAGAGCGTTCACTATGCGGCGTATGAACCAGCGCAACCTGGGTTTGACTTTCATTGTTTCGACCACTTTGCAAGTAGTTCTTCCTCAAAGGTGAGGAAACAGTAACAGTCAAGAAAGCTATGGCGCAATTGATGACTGCTACCCACCGGAAAATACGGTAAGTTTCTTTAAAAATGAGTGGTCGCTTGTGCCTTGCTGGCTCACAGACGTGTTTTTTTTGTGTTTTTTTTTTTTCTTTTTGCATTCAGAGGTTTGGTAGATGGCGCCATCCTTATTACCGCATTGTTCTCCGCTACGAAAGTGGTCTGTCAGGCATGAGTGAAGCGGAGATCAGGCGCCCGATAAGCGTGCATAGACGGCCTGTTTGTGGAGTAGTCCTCGTTCCTCTTTTTTTTTTTAATGATTTATTAACGAGTTTTAGTAGATCGTTCCGCTAACTGCGTTAGCGACCGCCGATACTCCCCCGGTGCCTTCGCGCATGCATCCTATGGAGTATGGATATTGGGTATCGCTATCGTGGTTAACGGATCGATCTACCAAAAACTCTCTGTTACCACTCATGTCGTGTGCTCGGTTGCCAGTTGAAATCTCCGGTGCCAACATATACACCAACTCAACTCTCCTACGTCACGCCGCGGTGGTGGCGCGCCGGACGCACTTCCGGTCTGGGGCGGTGGACAGAAGTCGCCGTGCCAGACATGCATTCCTGTGTTCCTTTGGAAGAAACGAGACAAAAAACCTGCCTTCTCGTCAAAATGCTGCGATGGGGGCTTTACAAAGAGAGTCTGGGAAGGTTTGAAAATAAGTTTTCATGTGTTTTTGCACCCTCCGTTCGTCCGAGAACGTCGATAGCAGCCGTGAAAAGGGCAAACCTGACGCTGTCGAACTACGATTGCGTGTGCGGGCCACAATTTGTAGTCGCCAGATGTATTTGCTTTGTTCCAACATGACCGAGAGAAAACCCCCAAGTTGTCCGGACCACCCACGGATTCAGTGCGTCTTCAAATTCACACGGCCGCCTGATCGTTCGAACTTTCGTCTGCTCTTTCAAAGTTGTCTGCTTTTTGTCGTCTGCTCGTTCAAACAAAAGCGGCCCGTAGACCAAACTTTGACCCGGTGATTGCAATAAGAAGTAATTGCAGGCCTCGAAAGACTTAAGTAGGCTCGGTGTAAGCAGTAGATACAAGATGTTGATCATTGGTACCGGTGGCCATCACCTACTTGTTACGCTTTGTCTGTTCCCGCTTCCGATTTTCAGTATCGACGTCGATCATCGCCTCTACCTTCTTCACTTTTGCAGCACGAGGGTCGTCGCGACCGAAAATAGCTAGAAGAGTCTCATCATGGTTTTGTACGTCCATTCTGCGGCGGTCATGCAAATACATCGCCGCACGTCAAATTATTTATGCAAAGTTTAGCAGCGTAACGAGCCTTGATGATTTCGCTCAGGCGATTAAAGTGGTAAGACATTGCGATGAGGACGTAGAATCGACAACTCCAACGCGAAAAAGAGTATGCAGACTCACACAGACGCCGACAACGTGACATTCGAATGGTTTGTTGACGCGGGACGCGGTGCTTCTTGCCCGTACTCCATTGCGCGTGCGTTCCAACTGTCGTCTGCTCTTTCAAACTTGGCTGCCTTTTGTCGTCAGTTCGTTCAAACGACAGCGGCTCGTAAACCAAACATTGACCCGGTAATTGCGATAAGAACTAAGTGCAGGCCTCAAAACACTTTTGAAGGTTGGTTGGGGTAAGTCGGCTAAGTGTAAACAGATACAAGAAGTTGTTGATCATTGTTACCAGTGGCCATCACCGACTTGTAATGCCCGATTCTACTTGAGGTTTTCAGTATCGATGTCCACCATCTCAGCTACGGTCCACGCTTTTGCAGTCCGAGCGACGTCGCGACTGAAAATAGCGAGCAGAATCTCGACGTGGGAGTCAGGCTTTAGCGCCCATTCTGCGGTGTCCACGTGAAATGAATCGCCGCAACTCACATTATTCACGCAAAGTTTTGCCTCGATAGTTTTGCTGAAGCCGCTCAAGTAGTCAGACATTGTTAGGAGGACGTAGAATCAACAATTCCAACGCGAAAAAGAGCACGGGGACTCCCACCGACGCCGACAACAACGCAATTCAATGGTTTGTTTATGGGCGACGGCGGGCTTCTTGCCCACCATCCACGGCGCATGCGCGGCGCCGGTGACGTCCACTAGGGGCGCTCCGGTTTGTTTGTAAACATGAGTTGGTGTATATTGTGACCGTAGGTAGTTTTAGTAAATCGTTCCGGTAATTACGATACCCGATACTCCACCGACGCCTTTGCGCATACATCGTATCGTTATCCGGTATCGCTATCGGAAGGATCTACTAAAACTCTCTCGTATCTTTTAAACGCGCGTAAAACGTCCGCAAAGTCGACTATGATTCTATGAGATAGTGGTGGCGGAAAAGCATGGGCGAGGTGCCATATCGTTTCGTGTACCAGATACTGACATGTCGATGATTCACCGATAACTGAAAACTGGTTTTTGCGCCTGTGAGTAACAAGACAGATTCTTCTCTCGGAAGGGATGCCACACATATCTTACTCTCACCATAGATTACTCTCCTTAACTTTTCGCCAAAGCGAACATATCGCAAAAGAAAGTATACGCGGACATTCCTAGTTTGGGCAACGTATGTTTTAGAATGCCTTACGTTTTGAGACATGTGAAACTGCTTGTTTCTGCCGCATACCTTTTTTTTTAATAATCTTTCTTTCATAAGTACTACTTCCTGAGACAGGGCAGTTGTACCATAAAATAAAGCAAACATGAGGGCAGCAGATAAAAACGAAAACTTGAAGAAGTACCTCCTGGAAACTTCGGACAACATTTCGATTACAAACTCAAGTAAGAGCTAAGTGGAAACATCGACCCCCTCCCCCTAATCTCAGAGCTTTGCGGCCTGCGCTATATACGGAGCGCAAGTTCCCTTGGAAAAATTCTTATATGTATAAGAAATTGCTTTGTTCAATAAACGCATATGATCAAATGAGATCTTATAAGAGCATTTAAGAACCGTGTAAGAGTATATAAGAAAAATATAGGATTATATAAGAGCATACAAGAACCATGTAAGAATACACAAGACAGATATAGGATTATATAAGAAGTTACAAGACACTTTTTATCAGTTTCTTATAGCTTCCTATATAATAGTATATTGTTCTTTCATTGCTCTTGTATGCTCTTATAAAACCTTATTTGATCATATAAGTTTATTGGACGAAGAAATGTCTTATACATATAACATTTTTTACTAGGGTTCGTCTGCTTTTTTGCGAGGGTAGTGGTGACGTCAAAACGCCGCGCTCTGATTGGGTCTGAATGAAAGATAGTGGGTAGACCTCAAGGCAGCTTGCTTTAAGGTCTACCCACTATCCGTCAATTAGGGCAAATCAGAGCTCAGCGTCTTTCTGACGTCACCGTAACTCCTACGCAAGAAGCAGACGACTTGCTCTCCGCATAGTCACTGATGACAGCCGAAGGAACGCAGGGTGGGGCTTATTATCTTCACCGTTCTCGCTTCGTGGTTGGCTCGTCGATATTCTTATCGGCTAATGCAGCAATCTCATTGGCTGCTGGGCGATAAGAAGATGCCCGGGACTCGTCACCAGAGCTGGCAGTAATGTAATTACTGTAATGAAATTACAGTAATTTAATTACTTGTTCCAGTAATTAGTAATGTAATTCATTACTTTTTGTAGCAGGTAATTTAGTAATGTAATGAATTACTCCAGCGACGGTAATTGTAATTAAATTACCTAATTACTTTTTCGCACCAGGCATATTTTTTGTGTCCACAATACACAAGAACGCTTTTCTTTTTATTTTACTTTTTCTTTTTCCTCTACACCTTTCCAAAAAACGCTCTTTGGCCGCCGCTGTGTTGCTGATGCTAATGCGGCTGGTGCGACTCTCGCGCCCGCTATCAGCTAGACATTTTCTGCCACTCTCTTGAACTGTAAAAACCCGCTCAGCGCGATTCTCTACCTATGTTTTGAGGTTTTGCATTCGACGTTTTCTGGCCCCTCTTAAAAGTGTCCGCTTACTTTTCCTGATGCATGCTGCGTACCCTCTTTGTGTTATCTTCCACTGTGAGAAATAGGGCTGGTAAGTTTCTGCCATTCGAGCTTTTCTGCTCGACATTCTCGGGAAATGAAGGAGGGGAAGTAGGTCGAACTAGGGCCCCTGGTGGAACGGCCCTCGACGCGATTTTGCGAACAATGACAATAGTTCTCCCCCCTCCCAGAGATAATCCGCGTAGGGTCCTCAAACATCTCCAAAAATAGTTGTCCGGGTTGGGGTGGGAAACGGATCAGTCGCGTGCGTTCTTCTGTCTATCGGTAAACATGTTATTTGTGAGCGTGAAAAATGCATGCCTTTCGGCTATCTTCTGTTGTTAATTAATTTCGACAGCTAAACGCTTTGTCGTTTGACACGCGGCTAATCAAACGGCGCCGTAAAAACTTACCGTAGAAAACAAACAAAAAACAACTAACATCCCAGTCGCATTCGTTCTGTCACGCGCGTACCCAACAAAAATAGTTTACTGCTTTTTTTTTCAAATGTAGTACAATGCTTCCCAATGTCCTCGGGAAAATACATGCACCATGAAACACAAAATGCAGTGGGAAAACACGAGAATTTAGCCGCCAGCAGTGTTTGAAACTGCGCCTACACAGGCTGTGCCTGTGTAGGCGCAGCCTGTAAAAGTATACAAAAGTAATGCGGAAGTAATGTCATTACTTTTAAAAGTAATTTGTAATGGTAATTAATTACTTTCTGGCTGTGGTAATTTGTAATGTAATTTAATTACATTTCAGAAATTTTGAGCAAAGTAATTAGTAATGTAATTTAATTACAAAATATGAGTAATTTGGCCAGCTCTGCTCGTCACGCCCTGCGTTTAGACGGCTATAGCAAACGCACAAAAGACGACGAGCGGAGCGGCGTGACGATGCACTTTTTGGTGCTGGTTGATTGGCTCTATCGGATCGTGTAGCGTTCATCGCCCTGGCAAAAAGTTCTTGGATATGGTCTCCGTGGATTGGGTTGTGGGGGACGGAGTTTCTGATAGTCAGCAGAGGAGAGGTTCTGCGCTTGCTCACAACGCGTTCCATGGACCAATCGACAAAGATGGTGGTGCGCTGAAGAAAAGACGATTACAGACCATTCCAATCATGGCCTTCTGCAGTGTCGGGTTCAATCGGTGTTTCGCTGAATGAACACGAGGCCCGGCCGAATGCTGACGCAGCGTTCAACTACGTCGTCAGCAACAGAACGGATATGGATCGATGCGAATGGATGTATCTTTTATAACGGACGGTAGCTTGTGCCACCTAGCCTAGAAACAACAACGAAAAAATATGGTTCTTCCCCTCGCCCTTCGAAGCCAATTTGCTATCCCTCTGCACTTTTCCAACTATCACCGGGAGTATCGACAGGGTGACCTTCCGGGGATCGGGAAAAAAAACTAAAAACTTTACTTTCCTTTTGTCCTGGTTTTTTGTGCGCTTTTTATTTCATAATTGCCCGCCACCAAGTAGCCCAGCTTCCAACCCTGTTGTAACCCCCCCCCCCCCCCCCCCTTTTTTTTTGGCGAGGGAGTCGCCATTTCTTCTCTGCATCTTAAGAACTGCAGTGAAAAAACGTCCGGCTCCTCCGGGAGTATTACTAATTTCTCCATTTATATAGAGAAATAAAACACATGTAGGTGCACTTTAGATTAAATATATGCTATTTTATCAAGACGTACACATTTCGAACGCAATGACATCGCTTCTTCCTCCAACAACAAAATTTGCTAAGAACTACTTCGCGCAACGTATAAACAATGCGCAAAATTTCATTTTTTTTCTTTCTTGAGGTTAGAACGAGTTTAGCACTGCAGAGTTGAGACTTTATGACAGAGCAACGTGGGAGGGAGTTCCAATTTTCCTCTATCCCGCCTGTCCCGACAAACAAATCATTTCTGTTGTTTTCCCCGCGGGTTTAGCTTTCATTTTATCCGATGGTGTGCGAAGGCTGGATATTTTCTCCAATAGATGACTGCATCTCTACAAATGTGCATGCGGCCATACGTGCAGGAGAGGGCTCGTCGAGATGTCGTCTTGCACGTCTTCTCCGCCGTCTGCCTGCTGATTCTTTGGCGATGCCTGCCGCCAGATGCAAGGTTCCTGCTCGGCTGGGTCGGTACGATCCTGACCTTCGGAGCTCTGACCTTGGCCGTGGCCTGGCTTTTAGAGAGGTTCCTGCCCAACCCAAAGTTAGATCCCACGGGGAAGGCGGTGCTCATCACCGGTGGGTTCCCGATTTCCTTCGACGATATTAAGCAGCTTGTTTTACGTGCCTCAATTTATGACAATCGAGAGCAGAAAAGGGGAAGCATCAGGCTCTCAGAAAGCCTGCGGCCTTTGAAGTATATTCTTCGTTCCAGCTTCTTTCTAGCTTCAACACACTTGCGACCCGTAGTAATGCTATTGCATCTTATGTAGGGGTGAAGTTTTGTGTTTTAGTTGTTTGTTTGTCAAATGTTTCCAGTGTTTTATTGAGAGATAATTTAATTTAAAAATATTGAAGAATGATGAAAGGCACGTCTATGACCCTCATTTACTTCTAAAAATGTTGTCGTATCAACTACCGACGAGACGATGAATGGTTACAAGTATGTCCAGTCAACAACGTGTTTGATTTGAATATTTGACTGATGTATACTTGAAAACCTAAAATACGGAATCCGTCCCTTTTCCCATCACTCTACCATGTCACGTGACAATGTTGCCCATTGCTTGTTCCACTTTATGTGCTAGTGAAACCGAAGCTACAAGCACAGATGCGTTGACCTCGACAATACTTAAACGCAACCAGCTCGTTTGCTTGGCATTGGCATGTCGCTGAAAGCTTGGAGTTTGCTTTTGTAGTTTACGCTCGCACTGAAACAGAGTTTAGTCTTCATATTTTATATGTGTTTTGATATTATTTAAAATAAATACGAGACCAAAAACTAGGGGAGGTTATAGCACGGATCATTTCCATATTTGCATAAGATTCCCACATTTCTCTCTAACACTTCTGCACGACTGGCATTAACTATTAGGATGGGCCGGAAAATTATTAACATGAAACTTTCTTTGGCTAGGCGTTCGGCATTTCGTGAAGCCCAGATAAAAGCGTGGCCGCAATGCTCGACGCTGATTGGTTGCTGAGTGGGAGAAGAGGGATGAGGTGCTCAACGCAGGTTGGCTGAAGGGAAGGTCATGTGATTAGTGGGGTATGCGAGGAGGAGCTCGACCAGCTGTGCTCACTGAGGGAGAGGAGCTCGAGAGTATGGAAGGCTCTGGAAGACCACCAGGTTTATCAGCCCGATTAACGGTAGTATCGCTTCATTCTAAGACCATCTGTGAAGTGTACACGTGGTACGCGTTGAACTATTTGATGAAGAGCGCCGTGAACGTAGGCGTCTACCGTCTGGAAACTCATAGTATCGCTAAACGTTTGTGTTGGTAGAACGTTACACGAATGCAACATAAATGCTTAGCAATTTGCCATACATTTGTTGTAGATTGTGATTCTCTTACAGTAGACTACTGCAGTTGCCCACAGTAATCGATCATCAATATTTATTTATTTCAGGTTACCCCGCAGCACCAGAGCATAGCCTCCTTTATTCTCACAAAGCCTGGCAGTTCGACGACGGAGCCTTAGAGTGCCCGGTCGCAGATTTGGAGCGCGAGGATCTGGTGCCACAGAGCATCAAAAAGCCATTTATCTGGGAACCTGGACGTCAGCGCACAGCTTTTGCAGCGGCGAGGACCCGAAAAACACTTGTTCGCTCGGGAGGAGTGTGTTTCGGCGTCTCGCCGTAGCGGGGCGCCAGTCACGTGGCTCTCCTCTCATCCGTTGTCTGCTGCTCCATCTTTTCCATTTCGGCGGCAGCTTCTCATGGCGATCTGCCAGGCTTTGTCAGTATATAGGATGCTAAGGCCACAGACACTATTGCAGGGGGAGAGGGTGCGTATAAAAGCGTAAAATACGATCACTTAAAGTTCGCATGCATAAAATAAACCAACAAAGAACAGCAAACATTGCACAAGCCACATCAATTCATCTCGTAAAAAAACAACGAAATCGAAAAGGAAAAAAGTTACACATGTTCAGTTACGCACACGATACAAGCGATCGTTTCAATCAAATGTTTCCGTGTTTTGATTCGTGCATGCCGGCCAGATCGTTGCTGTTTGTGCTAACACGATCTTCACATCGCTGTTCCAAAGGCTGCGACCGTGGGTTCGGTGAGCTCCTTGCTCGGCGTCTGGACTCGGACGGATTCAAGGTCTTCGCCGGCTGCCTCTTCCCGGAATCTGTCGAAGCACGAGCGCTCGAAGAACGGAGCGTGTCGGGCCTCCGCGTCATCCCACTCGACGTCACCAAGGACCAGCAGGTGACGGACGCAGTCCAGGAGCTGGAACGCATGCTGGGCAAACATCGTGAGTTCTTCGGTATCGGCCGCACGCAGAGAACGCGATCGAAGCAATAGCGAGTTTTAGTAGACCGTGTTTCCCCCACCGCTAAGCCCCTCCGCTACCCGGAACTCTACAGCCAAGGCCATCGACGCGCAGGCGCAGTAGCGGTTTCTTCGTAGCGGAGGGCTAGCGGAGGTGGAAACACGGTCTACTAAAACTCTCTAATGTCGTCTATTACAACAGGGTGTCAGGAATCGATGAGCTCGCCTTAGAATTGGCTGCAAAGTTGGCGCCTGTACGTAACGAGCGCGGACTTTTACCTAAGGAATCTTTTAGAGGTAGATTTTAGTTTGTAAAAGTTCAAGACGTAGCTTCATTCCAGCGGAAAGTTACAACACCCTTGATATGGTCATTTGCGTAGGATCCTGCGGTCGAAAATGTCAGAGGTCTCTTAATTCTTACAGGAACGGAGCTATGCACTAAAATTCTACAAAGTAAAATCCATCCCTGATAAACACATTTGCTTAAAGTTTAAGTTCCTTACGTGTAGGGGCCATTTGTTTTATTGATTTTAGACTGACCCCATTGATTTATAACACCTTGGAAATTAGCGACGAGATGATTTGGTGGCTACCTCTTATGGTTCCCATTGGTGACGTCACGACCAGGGTTATCAATTGCCAACAACAATTTCGATAATGCGTGTAAAAAAAAAAAAAAAACACGATGGAAGTTTGGGGTCATAACGTCCTTAAACCAACACCGTCAAAGTCGACAGTCTGATGTTTCTTTGAATACAAAAATTGATTAATCGTACTTTGGACAATCGTTGGAAGGCCGGCCACAGCGACGCGTTTGGTCGCACACGTCGCCAATACCATGACGGGTAGAACGCGAACGGTACATAGATAGCAAGAAGAGATCCTTTGATTGCCTGTTTGTGTTATGCCCGAGTCCCGCTAGAGCGGCAAACGACAGTGACAAGCCTTAAAAAGATACTTCAGCGAAATTTGAAATACCCGTCGTGTTCACAAATGGGCTGAATATGATCCACAATATCCGTAAATGACAATCGCGCGTTTGTATTTTGAGCCTGGTGGCTGTATTTTTCGTTAGAAACGGCCCACTCTGGCAAACGCTCGGAGAGCAGCCAGCGGAGAGCAGGTCACATCCGCCGCAATCGTGACGTAGTTTGTCTCGGGACCTTACGTTCGGAGGCAGCGGACGATGCGAGCTATCCCAGCCAATTCCGCTCTGTGGACGTAGCCCGTGATACGCTTTCCGCGCGTCGCTGCGCCCCCTCTCCAAGGTCACGTGACATTCGCACGGCCTTGGGTAAGCCCCGATGGCTCGTCGTGAAAGCAGTCGAAGCACACCAGGGATCGGGCCACCGCAAGCAACCCCAAAGCTGTCTTTGTAAGAATTTTGAGTGACGGGTTATTCTTCTATAATCTTGTGGAGGGACAATGGCGACGTCTGGGACACACAAAGGAGAGTCTCAGGGAGAGGGAAGTTCCTCCTTCAGCTCCTCTCTCGTCGTGGCCGGAGGCGAGACAGTTGGATGGATGAATGGTTGTTAATGGATATACCCTTTGTAACAGGCGGTAGCTTGCGCCACCTAGCCTAAGTCTAAAAAGACAAAAACTTGATTCCTCCCGCCTTTTTAAGACCAATTTTTCTCTTTCTAGCTATCACCAGGTAGTGCGGGGTATCACCAGGATGACCTTCGGGGGATCGGGCAAAAAAACTAAAAACATCACTTCCCTGCCTCTTCCCCCCGGCGAGGGAGTCGCCAATTTTCCGCTGGTCAAACCTTTTTGGCGTTACCCCAGCACCGGACCTACTGGGAGACAGGGTTGAGACTTTGGGCCGGAGCCACGCGGGAGGGAGTCCCAATTTTCCTCTGTCCCGCCTGTTCTCAGCTGTGCTAGTTAGTTGTGCATCATTTAATTTTCCCTAGATAATTTCCACCAATCTTCTAATCGTCTCTTTGTCACCGTAATCCTTTTCTCTACCGTCCTTCCATCGTCGCCAGTGAAACTCAGGGCCCCGCCCAACCCGTTACCCTTCAGGGAGGGCAGGGCGAAGCCCCGTGCACTTTAAAACCAAGTGCTCTAGTATGATGAAAATAATCCCCGTCACGCTCTACTGGCGCCTAACCCCTGGTTAGCTCAGTTGGTAGAACGCTCCACCTGTAATGGAGAGGTCCCGGGCTCGATACCCGGACCAGGCGGATTTTTTCGGTCGCGCACCAGTCACCTAGCTGTGTTTGGAGATTTGTGTTTGTTCTTTGTCCCTCTTATTCCCCTTCTCCAGGGATGATTTTCATCATTCTTGTCCAGCTCGCTTGCACCTTTTCATTTAATTACATTTTAATTGCTCTAGTGTCTCGCTATCGTTATGGCAGGCAGCACATAATGTGTCTGTCGCCTGAAATTTAGCCCTATACGTCATCGTCCTCAAAACTCCCGTTCTTGCCTCGAACAGCAAAGCACTTCCCAGTGAATGTCAAAAAGATTTCTCTTTCTTATGTCCTGCTTTCGTGACCTGTACACTGCTGAAGCTGATTTCTCCTGCACTCTCCCCTGCCAGATTTTCCTCTCTGCCTCCTTCACCCCCTTTTTCTCTGAAGTAGTCTGTTCAGCCCCATCACCAGTATGTAGATATTTAAATGTAAGCTTTCGGATTTGGTTTGTCCATTTTGTGTTTCGTCACCACCTGTCAAGGTTCCTAGACGGGCATTACTAACGAGGCGTTAGCGACATCCACCAGGTGCTCTTTGCTAATCGCTTAATTCGTTGTAAAATTCCTTTTCGTGTTCTTTTCAACAAGACATTGGTGTGTCTGATGGCATAATGCTCCGGTGAACACGAATAGACCAAGAAATAAGCGCCGAAATATCGTTGTAGTATCCCTTCAGCACATGCAGCGTGCTCGCGATGGTACCTTTGGCAGGCGTTTAGTCGTTCGGTGCTCGTGAAGTAAGCACGAGTGATTGCAGGCCTGCCAACGGTACCATCGCGTGCATGATGCTCCTGTTTGAGCATAGCCTCCTTTATTCTACAAAGCGTGTTAAATCGCGAAAGACTGGTTCGAGGCTTGTCGCTGTCGTTTGTTTCTGTTTGTCGTTCTAGTGGGACTCAGGCATTATAGCCCTCACAGGATTAGATCGGCAGAAAAGTCCTTCAGTTTTCCCGCCTACAGCGCGAGTTCTCTACTTTCGAGTACGCTTCGGCGTCTTGAGAGCATCGAGCGCACACGAGCATTCAAACTACGACGGAAGGCCAGGAGCACGTGTTAGAGGCCGGGCATCGCAGAGACCCACTGCCGTTCTGACCCTGCCATTGACTATTAGCGGCGAGATGTTTTGGTGGCGCCCTCTTAAGGTTACCTCTCTTGACGTCATTACCCTGCGAACAACAAGTTCGATGGTGTTTGTAATGGGCGCAGTGGAAGCTTGAAATCGTTGCGCCCTGAGACCAACTCTGCCAACACCGTCGAAATTAAAGTTCTTACATTACTCTAATTTCTGTCGATGAGAAATCCTTTGCTGACGTCATAGTCAGCATTTGGAAAATCGTGGAAGGCTGACCACAGCGACGCTTTCGATCACGCACATCGCCAATAACGGTACCAACGATCTTGGTTCCGCAGACCTATGGGCAGTCGTGTGCAACGCCGGCGTGAACCTGTTCCTAGAGTTCGAATGGATGAGTCAGCGAGACGTGTCCTGGATGTTCGATGTCAACGTCCATGGAACGGTACGAGTGGTGCGCGCTTTCCTTCCGCTCCTCCGACGGTCCAGGGGTAGGCTCGTCCTCGTGTCCAGCTACGCAGGTAAGGATGCCAGTAGGCGCCACAGTGTTGGTTGGTTGGTTGGTTGGTTGTATTGTTTGCCAGACGTGACATTTGCCTCACTCACGGTGGGCACGTTTCACGGGCCTGGGTTATTTTAGGTTGATGAGGGTGAATGCGGGGAAAGGGAAGGGGAAATATGGTGATGAAGGGGTCCGGGGATGACGAGGGAAGCGTTAGCAAAATAATGACTGAACACGTTTCGTGGGCGAAAATAATAAAAAAATTATTAGGGCCGTTAAGACGAACTATGACATATGTTCAAACAATGCTGTACACGACAGAACCCCACAGCGCGCACCAGCAAGCACAAAATAAATGATGAGAGTACTTATATCGACCTAACTATACTTCGTTTAACCCCACGTGCGAGCGAAGGCAAAGCTGGAAGCGCGAGCACGAAAGCTCCGCGCGCTCAGGCTTTGCTCGAGCACGCGAGCTGGGGAGAAGCGCTAAAAGCGCTGGTCCCGCGCTCTTAGCCCCGGCCCCGCCCGCAGATATGGCGAAACGAAGTATAGGCTACCGTTCTAAAGTTTCTTACACGTCACAGTCACAGTCTTGAGAGTAGTTCGCACGCGCCCAAAAAACAAAACACAAATTTTCTCAGCCGTATGCACGTGGAAGTTGGTCCCTTCGGAAATAATGTAGCTTCGAGCGTGAAAGGAATGTCCAGCCCTCTCAGGCAGTTCAAGAATTCAATTCGTTCGGATGCGTAGTGTTCGCACTTAAAAAATATGTGTTCAATTGTCTCTTGTTGGTCACAGTGTTGGCAATTAGGGCTGGCCGCTTTTCCAATCCGGTACAAGTTAACGTTTGTGTAAGCGGAATCCGATCTAAGACGGTGAAGAAGGGAAGCAAACTTGCGTGTTAAGCCCCGCGTACATGCCGGGGGAGGCGGGCCATGCGCTGCAATTCTTGAAACCGGATGTCTATGCTGTATCCAGGTTTGGATTGCTATTTTTAAGTCAGTCTGGGTCGGAAGCTGTAAAGTAGCAGTAGGTAGGAGCAGAGCGTTGGAAGCCAGTTGGTCCGCCTTTTCATTGCCAAGAATGCCAACATGTGAAGGTATCCATTGCACTCGAATGTTACAGCCTCGGAAAACAAGTAGACGTCCCAAGTTAAATATATCACGAGTCATGTTGACATTAACGCCTCTGCCACTTCGAATGCTTCGCACTGCACACTGGGAGTCCGTTGCGAGCAGCCAGTTTTCTGGTGGTCTTTTCAAGATATAAAGAAGAGCTGCGTGAATTCCACAAAGCGCGGCCGTAGTCGATGAAACAGCGTGATCAAGCCGTCCTGACCAAGAATGGTGTTCTGATGGGATATGGTATGCCGCAGACGCGGAATCGTTAATGAGATTAACAGAGCCATCTGTGGATATGATCTTAAATGAAGCGTGGCGGGACGCCAGGACGTCTTCCGTCAAGGCGCGGCTGACCAGCGAGGAATGCTGTGATTTTCCATGAAAGCCAGGGATGTCATCATATACGGTGAATGGATGCTCACTCCACGGTGAATCGGCTGGAGAACGCTGAACAGCTGGTGTAGATCCGAGCGCCTCTATCAAAGTGTTGCAGTGTCTGCCATAATGAGAACAATGCCGCCGTTGGATATCCTCGTAAAGAGAACCACCGCTGCTCGACTGGGCGAGTCGAACCAGATGGCGAAGAGCCCGTTCCTTAGCGTGCAAAGATACTGGCATTTCCTGGGCCTCAATCCACGTTGCCTCTATTCGAGAGTAAGAGGGGAGTCCTAGGGCCATCCTTAGTCCAGCGCGATGACGTCGTTCCAGCTGATCCCACAGAGAGCGAGTGGGGGGCAAGTACGGCGCGACATAAAGAATTCGAGACAGGTTCAGCGCTCGATGCACGTTAGTTAGGGCTCGAGGAGTTGGTCCCCAATCAAGGCCACGAAGCCTACGAATAAGAGAGGTTGTCATCGTGCTTTGCCGTACAAGAGTAGTTACGTGGCGACGAAAGCAGAGCCGCGAGTCGAGATCAACGCCCAGATAACGGTAGTTTCGCACACGTGGCAATCGGATCCCAGATAAAGTTAAACGTGGAAACGCGTGGCGAAGAGGACGGCGGGAACATGCGAGCACAGCCGTCTTTTCTGCCGAGATGGAGAGACCGAGGTCTTCCAGCATGTTTGCAACTCGCTTAAGGCAGGTTTGCATAAAAGGGCGAAGTATACGGCGATCGGAATGGGAAGCCCACAAACAAATGTCGTCAGCATAAATTATCATACCACTAGGATGAGGTGATGAGTCCATGCACAGTGGTAGCGTTGCCATTACGACGTTGAAGAGTGTCGGGCTTAGACAGCTACCTTGAGGTAGTCCCCGCAGCAGTGGGCGAACAGCACCTTGAAACGTTCCCAGGCGGACACTGATAGTCCTGCCGTTCAGGAAGTCTTCGAAATATCTTAACATCCTTCCCGTTACGCCAAGATGTCTCAAGCACGCAAGAACAACATCATGGGGAACAGAGTCAAATGCGCGTTCCACGTCTAAAAATACTGCCAAGCCTGTATGTCCCTGGGAACGGGCGTCTTCCAATGCTGACGTGAGAGTCGCAATGCAGTCAGCGGTGCAACGTTCGCTTCTGAATCCTGCGAGCTCAGGGGGAAGAGCTTCAGTATCGTTGAGGAACCACTGAAGGCGTGTAAGGAGGCGCTCTAAAAGCTTGCCAACGCATGATGTCAAAGATATCAGGCGATAGGATGACGACTCCGAGGAGGGCTTGCCGCGCTTTAAAAGGGGTGTTACTAATGCGTGTTTCCATTCTTGAGGGATCACACCCGAAGACCAAACTGAATTTAGACGTTCGAGTAAGGAGCTGCGTGACTGATAGCTGAGATTTCGTAATGCTTGATATGTTATGTGATCAGGCCCGGGAGCGCTGTGACGCTTGCATCTTCGAAGAGCAGCTTCCAGTTCTGACATGGTGAGGGGGTGGTCCAGATTCTGCGGACTTCGCGATGGGCCAGTCAGCGATAGGGGCCGCGATGACCTTACAGAGCGTGGAGCAACGACAAAGCGTGTCGCAAATTCGTCGGCAAGTTGACATAATGCCAAGCCAGTTTTTAAACTAAGAGCAACGAACACGTCTCGAGGTGTCGGAGATCCACTCATACCTCTGAGCACTTTATAGATCTTCGGCTTCGGTGTACATGGGGTCAGTGACGAGCAGAACTGGCGAAATTGTCTGCGACGAAGTACTCGGGTGTGCCGGCGTAAGGCTGACGTTATACGGCGACACTCCACCCAATCGGCGATCTTGCCAGAGCGGAGCGCACGGCGCTGGGCACGACGGCGAGCTGCCCGAAGACGAAGTTTCAAGTCCGGGCTAGGTTGCGATACTCTGAGTGTGATTTTTGTTGTAGATTGGACGAGGCAGCTTGGAATGGCTTTTAGGATATCCTCTGACGGATCGAGAGACAGAAGACTTTTCCGAAACAGGTCCCAACTGGTTACATGGTACAGACGACGCGGCAAGCGGCCCACCCTGGGTATACTCATCAAAACTGGGAGATGATCGCTTCCGCGCGTGTCCACGTCCAGCGACCAATATACGTCAAGATCGGGCGAGGCGAAACTAAGGTCGAGGACGCTAGGCTTCCCGCGATGGCCGAAAAATGTTGGAGAGCCATCATTTAAGAGCACCAAGTCTGTAGATTCAATGGCGTCTGCAAGGGATGTGCCCCGCGGCGTCGTGCGTTCACTACCCCACGAAGGGTGATGCGCGTTAAAGTCTCCACATAGAAGCAGAGAACCGGGGAACTGTCGACGTAAAATTTGAATGCTCTTCGCATCGAAGCGACCCGCAGGAGATATATACACGGATACAATAGTCATCCTAAAAGAACCAAATATGACAGCGCAAGCCGCGAACTCTGCTGTTTCGGTACACAGATGTGACACATCTTCTGCAGCTTGTTGAATGGTGGAGTGAACAAAAATCGAAGCTCGCGACAGGCTGTTTGGGTCAGATACGGCACTTCTATAATGAACATATGGCTGAATTCGAGATGCAGGTGGGAGCCGGCCTTCCGAGATTGCAAGTATAGGCACTGGCGTAGAGGCAAGATAATATTGCAACTCAGGTAGTTTAGAGGCGATGCTGCGGGCGTTCCATTGTAAAATAGAGGGACAGACTGCCATTATGATAATGCTAAGCATGATAAGGACCTTCATCGCAGGAAGCTTTCGATTAAAGGTTCTATCAGTCCAATGAAATGCAATAACTTGTCTGCCCATGAGTACTTTATGAATGGTAAAACTTCTCGTACTGCAATGAATATCTGGCGAACGATGCTAGAGAACGAAGAGGAGCCGGAGAAAATTTGAGGCGGACGTGAATCTGCGATTTTCGGTGCGGTGTCTGCGAGTTCCTGTGCAGGCTTTGGTGAAGGCCGCATTTGCACCTGAGGAGCCGACGTTCTAGAGCTGCTGCACAGTACGTCCTTGAAGCTTCGTTTCTCGTTTTCGTTGACGGTGGACACGGGGACCGACGTGGTACCTGGTTCGATGTTTACTGCACTTGATGCCTCGGGGAGAGGTGAAGAGGTCGATTTATCAGCGCAATTTTGTTGCGCCTGGCGTCTTCGCGAATGTCTTCGCCTTCGTGGGTGTTCCGGGAAAGAGCCGACGACTTCTGGTGCAGCTTGTGCTTCCGGCACAGCCTGCGCATCAGTAGGCTTGTCAAATGCTGCTCGTGCTTGCGCAAACGGCACGTTGTTCTCGCAGCGATAGCGGCACACGGTGCGCTCGGCTTGCCAGAACGGGCATATGTGAGACGTTGCTTCATGCGACTTGTTGCAGTTTACGCAGTGGAGGTCAGAGGCGTCACACTGCGCAGTTGCGTGGGGCTGCGCACAGTGGAGGCAAGTCAACTTCCTCTTGCAGCCAGCCGCAACGTGACCGAAGAGCCCGCATCGGTGGCATTGCAGAGGGTTGTTAACGTACAGGTCGACTTCATGCCGGACCAAGCCAACGTAGATGTGTTGGGGAAGTGTGGCAGATGCAAACTCAATGCGAACTGTGCTTGATTTTCCAAGCCGACGAACACAACGGATGCTTACACTTGACCGTAGCGCTCCGACGATCTCGGTGTCTGAGAGAGCGATGTCAACATTGCGCACGATGCCTACACTGGAAACTTTTCCACGGGGCTCATAGGCTCGAACTTTCATGCCGCAAAGCGTGGTCAAGCCTAGAAGCACCCGCGTTGTCTGGCCATTCCGGGTGTCAACCGCGAGAAGATTTTTTCGCCTGTTGAATCGAGCCTCAATGACGCATGAGGGCACCAGCGTCTCCAGGGTATTAGAGACGCGGACCGAATCAATGGAGTCGATGCTCACGTCTGGGTCCAGTGGCGTGAACAGAACCGCCAAACCAACTGTCGGCTCTGGGAGGGTGACGATGGTCGCGTCGCTGGAGCCAGAGTTCTGGCTGCTGCAGCGTCTCTTCTTTCTGCATGTCACTTCCTGGAAGGGACCTTCAGTGTCTTCAATCAGCGAGTCGGACAGGCTTGCGGCGTCATCCTGCGCGGTCGGGTCGGGTGTTTCATCCATGGCAGTTGCAGGGGCGGTCGTGGTGTCCATACCTCGCCGGTTTAAAAACCGGATGGAAAAGTCAGAAGGCCCTGGAGGGGACTATAGGGACCTCCCGATGACGTTGAGAAGCTACTTGCTGATATAAATTCGACGTAAGCAAAATATTCAATGAAAATAGAGGAGACTAGAACACACGTCCGATGCGTAGCTTTGTCTTCGTCTTCTTCTGGCGCCACAGTGTTAACACGGTATATGCTGTAGGGATGGGTTTCATGAGAAAAGAGACACGTTACACTAGAGCGTTACGCCAGACTGACGCACAGGTGAAGGTCATATAAGCAACATCGTGATGTCGCGTGATATGATGACGTCACGTGACATCCTGAGGTCATGAGACACTGTGACCCATTTTTTTCAGGACTCTTTGTCCACGAGACTCACACGAAGGGGTTATTTAAACCTATTGCTTGATGCAAAGTAGCGCTTCTGTGATGTTTTCAAGCTTCCGCGTTTGTGTTCACAACAGAAAGCATTTTCCGACTCCAAACTCCTTGTAAGAGTTACCACAAGCGGATGCAGTTGCGGGCACTGTTGCATGTGTCCTCAGGTCCCATGAGCAGATGCTCCTTGTCTGTAAGCGACGAGTTGGAGAACGAATTTGGAAGACGGCAAGGTGCGTTCTGACCGCCTTCTACTTGCGTTTCGCAGGTCGTGTGGCCCCCATGTGGATAGTTCCGTACGCCATGACCAAAGCGGCCATCATTGCTCTAGCCGACGGCCTGAGTCGAGAACTGGCCAAGTGGAAGATCTCTGTGTCAACCATCGAACCTACCTACTATCTGTAAGTCCTATCCTTTCTCTGAATGTACACCCTAAAAGAAGCCCGTACTCCTACCTTCCCGCACAACACTCAGAGAGCCAATCACCGCAACTTACGGAGGCAGCTCCGCGAGTCAGCGAATGACGATGCCGAAACATATTTTTAGACAAAAGACAACAACAGCAACAACAAAAAACGCAGTCTGAGTTGTGACGTTTTGCATTGCTTAATGTCACAACTCAGACTGCGTTTTTTGGTCTAAACATATATGTTTCGGCATCGTCATTCGCTGAGCTGCCTCCTTAAGTTGCGGTGATTGGCTCTCCGAGTATTGTGCGGGAAAGTAGACACGCGGGCTTTTTTTAGAGTGAATGCACGGTCTTCCGGTCAATTTAATAAAATTTGCGACCTTTCGAGTAAGCCATGACCAGGCTTGTTTTCTACCACTTTCACGGTTGCTTAGTCTTATAGCAATATGGGAGCTATACACAGCTCATTTTGTTTTTCGTTCTGGTCTGACCGTATGACGTCACAACGTTACGCGACGTCATGATGTCAAGAGACATTAGGTTTTCCGCTAAAGTTAGTGGGGAAACTGACGTCACATGGCGTCATGGTATTACGTGACTGCTCGGCTTAAAATTGTGACGTCAATATTTCCGCTAAATTTAGCGGGGAAATTGTGAGGCAACATGACGTGCTCAAGTTACCCGACATCATATGACATTTTGTCACGTGACATGAATTTTCCCGATAATTTTAGCGGGGAAATCATCACGGTGCCACGTGACGTCATGTTGCTATGAGACGTCAGAGCGTCACGTGACCTGACGTCCCAATATCACTGCTAGATCTAGCGGGGAAATAAGGAAGTTTTCGTAGACCGCGTTTCTCCCTCCGCTAAGCTCTCCGCAACGAAGAGGCCGCTACTGCGCCTGCGCGCCGATGGCATTGGTTGTAGGATTCCGGGTACCGTAGCGGGTTGCGGAGGGCCTTGTGGGACAGCGAAAACGATCTACGAAAGCCCCCTACATATACGATAGAGAGTGCGGATCGCTAAAAGGCGAATCAAGTGCTATCGCACGCTTGTTGAAAACAGGCTGGATGTAAGCCAGGCGACTTCCTTCATCTGCACATCTTAGCTTTTGCTCTAACATCCATGGAGAAAACAAACGTCCCGCGCGCCTTGCAGGGAAAGTTTTTACAAAAGGTCGTAATATCTCCTCGACGTTGGGGAACACTGTCCAAATACTGAAACTGCAAAGTCGAGATACGCGGCGTTTTTTGAGTGGTCTTGCAAAATCTGAGCACTTAATTATGCAAACCTGTGTCTACATATTTGTTTTAAGCAACTATAACAGCTTTAATCAAAATTTGTCCGGTATTTTTTCAGAACCGACATCAACCCCCGGACAGAAGAACACATGTTCGGCAAGTTCGCAGAGCTGCCGGAGTCTGTGCGCGTTGCGTACAGCGAGTTTTACGCGCGGGATCGTTGCTCCGGAATTGTCCGCTTCCTGAAGCGGATCTCCCGGACAGACCTGTCTGAGGTTGTGGACGCCATGACAGACGCCGTGTCAAGAACGAGGTCCAAACGCTACTATCGCTGCGACGGCACAGTGTCTTGGTGTCTGACCCTGCTGTTCTTTAGCTTACCCAGCTTCTTCGCGGACGTGGCGGTAGCCATGACGTGGGGCTCCAGTTACAGCCCTGACCGAAAAGGCGTGCTTAAAAGAACCGGAGGACACACAGGCAAGGGGTCTTGACAGTTGCTGATGTTTCTGTGAGTATGTACAGTCTCGAACGATATGAAAGACTCATTTGACGAGCCAGTTTCGGGCGACTGTGCTGGATTCGCTTGGCCAGTCTCACATCATAGGAGTTGGGAAATAAATGAACTTTTGTTGTAGTCTCGCTTTAAACATGAAGTGCCTGTGGCAGAAGAATGTTTATAGCCGCCGCATAAACTGCCGTGGCAAACGGGTCTTTCACATTGTGGGAGACTGTACCTACATGTACTGAACGTGGACACGTCTTCTTTCGTGACATCATACAGTGTTCTTTCTTGGAACGGCAACGGCTGCCGGATTGCAAGAGGGAAACTCTGACCAACATATTCCACTCTACAGTTAACTGTTGCCAGTCTCACGTGCAAACTGGAAGAGCGATGAGATGTGTTTATTTCAGTTGTTGCACGGTCCACAGGTGCATTAATTCGAGAATATGTGAATGAGAATCGCTGCGATAGTCACAAGGCTGAATGATCTCAATTCTATTAATTTGCTGGTGTTCGCCGCTGTGATCCAAATGAGTGGAGTTTTGGTGGTGACAATTTATGTACATTGCTTTTTTATGTGCGTGTGTCGTTAGGCGAACATTCCTAAAGGCTGCGCCCTTAAGAAGAGAATAAAAAGACACCAACGTTGCAATGTGAATAATGCCGAGTGATCATGCCAGTTGTGTCGACTGGCCAAGTCGCTTCTAGCGGATAGACTATTGCTCTCTTTCAACACTGTCACCCTCCTGTGCAGGGGGCATTCACTGGACGCCATATTTAAGAGCGCTGCTTAGAGCGTATGCTCAAAACGTGCTGACATTAATAGAATGCTAACATCTTGATGTAGAATGCACGCTACAAAAGAACTGCACTCTCACGAAAAAATGGTGTCAAAAGGTGTATCGTTACACCCTTTGTCCCATATAATACACCCCCAAACTTCAATTCGACGCCTACAGTCGAACAGGCGGACCCAAAGTTTAAGAGGGACTTTATAGCCATGAGGTACAAATTATTAAAATAGCTAATGTACGTTTTACTGTCAACAAAAAAAGAATCGGGATTTTCTCGGCCTTACTGTAAAAACTCGGTGTTTTCTTTCTATCGTCTTTGATACGTACTTTAGCTATTTAAAAAGTTATATGGCACCGTTATCAAGCCCCTCGTAAGATTTGGGGTCGTCTGTTCGACTTTAGGGCTCTGTACGTCGAAATGAATTTTTGGGGTGTATTATATGGGACAAAGGGTGTAACGGTATACCCTTCTACACCCTTTTTTTTTGAGGGTGTGTAGAAGCTCGCCATCAACACGCGCTCAGCAGTCGCGCGAACAGCTATGGCCGTGAGTGAATATTAATTTTGAACACCAAGTAATTTGTCGTTGTCAGCGTAATTTAGTCACAGTTCTTATCATCATGATGCGCATACACCCAACGTTCTTAGATCTATAAGTTGACAAGCTACACGGAAGAGCAGCGTTCGAAAACGGTTATTCTCTGTTGCTGGCACGGGAGTATGTGAGGGAATATATAAAGCCCCTCAATAAAGGCATTTTTACAAGTACCGTCAACCATTGTTGTGGAAACGCGCAAGACACGTGGCACGAGCGGGTACTCCGCCGCCATTCGCTTCCAAGGGCCGCTCGTTTCAGTGCTGCGCCGCCATTTGCTTGCAACGGCCGTTCGAGACACGGGCTTTGTGCACTGGCGCATTTGACGCTATACTTGCAAGACGGACGCAAACACATCAAGGGGCTTCAGATGGATACCGTCCCTAACGCCACCAGCGTCAACGCCCCCATGGGCAACGGAGAAGGACATTTTAATGCGAAAGCATTAGCTGTCCCATGGAGCTAGCCGACGTCATCAGCTTTGAAGCCGCGCCCCAAACGGAAGCTGAACTCTCCTCTCACAGTGGAGTGAAGTGAAGCCGCGATCTGAAGGCTCCCAGCTTTGAAGCCGAGTCGAACGGCAGATATATTCCCTTGTCCCAATGGAGGGAAGTGAAGCCAGAATCTGAAACCTCCAGCTTTGAATCCGCGCAAAAAGCCACGCAAAACGGCAGCTAAATTTACCTCTCCAAAAGGAGCGAAGTGAAGCCGATTTCTGATGGATTGGCTCCCAGTGGCTGGCGCGCGTCATCAAGGAACGAGGCTCTCATTGGCTTTCGTGCGGCGTAGCTTCGAAAACCGCCACCAGAGAAGCCGTCTCCATGGTGGCGCAGCGCACGCAGCGGCCCGGTGAGGTGCGGCGGTGCAAGCCTGGCCCCACAGCCCGCCCGGGCAAACTCCGCAGAGGCTGCACGGCCGAGCTGAGCGCGGCGCGGTCACTTCACGAGAGCGCGCGCTGGACCGTCGGCCGCGACCTCGGCAGTGCCGAAACATGGCCGTCCACCAGTGATTTCCCTACACCTCCCCTACGGGTGTGTGCTCCCCCCCCCCCCCCCCCCACCTTGTTTTCCCGAAGATTAGTTCACAACATAATGGAATAAAACAGCGCGAAGATAGAAATAGGAACAGACACACCAGACAGGACAGAGCGCTGACTCGCAACTACGGCTTCTTTACTCAACGAAAAAGAGAAAGACAAAGAGAAAGAAAAAAGATAAAATTATACAGGAAAAGAAGAAGAAAAAAGAAAAAAGAAGAAAAAACATTACTGTACGCAATCACACGCGCACCTTTCACCCATGGTAGCTGACTCACACGTGCTGGACCCTCATTGTCAACTTCAGGAATTCCAGCTCCTTGCCTGACAACGCCACTGATGCTGCGCTGATACACTTTTTTCCTCGACTCTGGATGTGGAAGGCCTCCAGCACCTCGCGTGTCACTTTGTCCCTGTGTCGTCCCAAGATGGTGGTGGCACTAAAAAACGGCTCGCACAGGCACTCTTTGCAGTGAACCGATAGGTGTCCTCCCACTGTCGCTCCGAGGGAGTACCTGTGCTCGCGGAGCCTGTCATTCAGGCACCGTCCTGTTTGTCCCACGTAGGTGGAGCCGCACGAGAGGGGGATACTGTAGACTACTCCCGTGGCACATGGGACGAACGGCCTGGCGTGCTTCTTGCTTTTTTCTTTTTTCTTTCTCTTTGTCTTTCTCTTTTTCGTTGAGTAAAGAAGCCGCAGTTGCGAGTCAGCGCTCTGTCCTGTCTGGTGTGTCTCTTCCTATTTCTATCTTCGCGCTGTTTTATTCCATTATGTACAACGATCACAAACTAGCCCAGCTTTCAACCTTAGTATAGTTCACAACGACTATTCTACTCTCAATGCCCCCCCCCCCCAACCCCCCCCCCCTAAAAAAATTTAGACACCCCAAGTGAAAATTTTTGCAAGTGGTTCATTGAACAAGCACCACTAGCAAGTGGAACCAGTAGCAAGCGGTACCGCTTGCTAGTGGTACCGCTTGCAAACAGTACATTGTCATATAGATGCACAAAAGCAAAGCCAGATGTTAGTCTTTCTTACTTTTATTTTGCAGTTGAGTGCTTGTAACGCTGGCGGAACCGATTGATAACGCTGGCGGAACCGGTAACGCTCCAGGTAGATGTGGCACGACTTTTTGAAGTGCGCGCTGAGGGTGTCGAGCCTCTAGCGTTGATAAACGTCTCTCGTCGGAGTTCTAGAAGCGGCTGCCTGACGTCGTTGCTGGCGACGGCACAGCGACCGCGCGGGAGGTAGGCAGCGTGTCGAATACCCGTTGACCCTCCACTCCCAGGCAGTGGCGGAGCAGGCATCGACGACATTCTGAGAGCAGTGCGTGAGCACCCCACGCCCCCATGAAACAGTCGAAGAGCGAATTCCATCGCTCCCAGGGAATTTCAGACTTCCCTGGTTTGCTCAAGAAGTCTTGAGGAGGTTTGATGTCGAATCCGCCGTCCATCCCGTCGTCAAATGAATGTGGAGTCTTCAGTGGACCCGGCGGGTCGGGAAGGAACGTCTAGTCACCTGTTCTGCTCTCATGAGACTCTTTATTCAAAAATGATGGTAATGATGAAGTAAGTGAATGAACACCTAGCATAGAAGAAGACGAAGTTATCCGAAGATATGAAAATAGAACAATGAAGACGCAACAGCCCCAGTGGGTACACGCAGTGCACGTGACAGTTTTAGTGGATCGTACGCTAAAGCCTTGCGTACGCAATAAAATTGCGGGTCGTGAGTGCGCTTGCGCAGAACGCAATAGAAGGGCTAGCGTATTGCGTACGCACGCAACGCTGGGGATTTTGCGAGGCGGGCTAGCGGGCTTTGCGGGACGTCTCGAGAGATCTCGGACTTAACGAGAGCGCCAGTTTCAAGATGGCGGTTACCTCGACCGGCGCAGCAAGCGCGACGTGGTGTTCTCCAAGTTCTCTGTTACGTGAAATTGCGTGGTGTTCAGCTCGGCAATTCTTTCTGGGACCTACCGCGGTCAAATCAGATCGTCGTGCAGCTGAAGGAGTGCACAGTGAAAATGTTCGCCGCTCGGAATATGCGTCAACGCTGCGATCTGCTCAACGCTAAGCCTATTCGCACAGTTCATCGCCGACGGACGAGCGACTCTAAAAGAAATCGCCGAAGATCTCGCTATGCACTGGACATCAGGGTCATGAATTTCATTCCGCGATAGCATTGATAAAAGTTGCTGTTTCAACGGGACGATTGACGGAGGCTCTGTGTTCGTTTGGCTACGCACTCTTAAGCCTGGTTCAGACAGTTGCGTTTGACTGCGTTGCGGCAGCGAGAAACCAGGGGGGCTATGTTGCGCTTTTTGCACTCCCAGGAGACTAGGGAGAGGGAAGTGACGTCAAGTACACAGCAAACGCAGATTGGGTGTATATTTCGTTTTCTTCTGTCAACATCCAATCTGCATTTGCTGTGTCGTTGACGTCACTTCCCTCTTCCAAGTCTCCTGGGAGTGCAAAAAGCGCAACATAGCCCCCCAGGACATCTTTGCTACTTATATCGTATGCTAAGATGATTCTTTGAATTGGATTGCACGCTTCATACGAAGCTCAGATGTGGCGGTGACTCGCTTTCGGTTCTCAATGCAACGCAGTCAAACGCACTCAAACGCAAGTGTCTGAACCGGTCTTTACTCGTAGCCTCCGTGCCC